TTATCGCATTTAATCCTGGATTGATCTGGTCGTCCACATTTAATTCAATTAAATATCCTGGATCAAATTTGAAATGACAGGTCTTACTCTGGAAATCAATACAAAGCCCCTTGTGGTGTAGGAAAGGCATTCCTAAAATTATTTTGTATCGATTTGACTCAATGACTAAAAATTTCTCCCACCATGTAAATTTTCCAATTTTAATCCTTAAGTTGCATGCATTTATTACATTTATAGGAGTTTCATTTGCCGCCATTAAATGACTAGGTATGCTTTGTTTACATTTAATTGCATGTTTACTCTTCAATAATTGCTCGAATAATTCTAAACTTAAAATGTTGTAGGAAGCACCACTATCAATTAATGCTGGGATAGTTATATTCTCATTGATAATCACATTTACGCACGGCAAATTTGATACCGTTCGGCCCTTTGTCGGCATACAATTCTTCCTATTTAAACTATTCCATTGTTTTGTTATTTTCCGGAACTCCTTCTTAAAATCCTTACTATGTTTAGTAAACTCATTATTGCGATTAACTGAGCAATAGGTTTGTTGATTGTTTTTATTGGCGGGAACATTTACCTTAAACTGGTGCTGTGACTTAGTGGCAAATTTTCCCGCGTCTACTAGTTTTTTGAATCACGATAGCAATGCCGGGCTAAATGGCCTGGTCTGTTACAAATAAAACATCTCTTTACATCACTTGGTTGGCGACTATGGTAGTTTGAGTGATGGTACACATTTTGCTCATTTACGTGATTTGCAGGCAATCCAACAGGCTGCGAGACAGGCATGGCCGCGGTTAATACCGGTCTCATAGGGACTACGTTGGCGCACGCTTTGTTGCGCAAATAATCATTATAGACCAAATTGTTCATTTGCACCACAATAAGTTTCAATTCATTCATTGTTTCGGGGAATTTATATACAGCTATCTTGTTGCGGGTGTCCGGGTTCAATCCATTTCTAATAGAGTCAAGCAATTGTTTCTCCGTTAGGTTTGCCATAAATACTTGGTTATTTAATTTAATTTCCTCGCAGTACAGTGATAAACTCTCATCGTAGCGTTGGGGACGATGAATATACTCATATTTTAATTGCTCTCCCAAAGCTGCTGGAATAAATGAATTTAATATTTCCCTGCGTGTTTGTATGATACTTTTCCCGCCGTTTTGGCATTCTATTATTGTTCCAATGAGCGGAGAAATAGCGTACCTGCTAATTATTCTAAATATCTGATCTTCGGGTAGGCGCGATTCCTGTTGTAAAATTACTGTCTGTCTCAGAAAGTTTAGTAACGGGGTTATCTCCATACCAGTACAATTCTCTGGAAATTTTGACAAAATTTTTCCAATGGGTTTGCTAGTTTCTGGAACAAGTCGACCGGTGGCAGCGGTGCAGGAGCGGGACGAACAGGGTCCGCGGGGTGCGGGGGCGTACAGTGACCTTGAGGTGGGACGTGTGCCGTGTCGTGGTTCCCTAATCTCAGCTGATTACTAGGTGAAGAGGTGATAAGCTGCCCGGTTGATACGCCGTTTATTTCCTCATCGGCTGACTCACTCTCGATTAACGATTTATTTAATTCTTCTTGAAAACGTTGGTATTCGTCCGGAGCGATTTTATTCTCGATTTCTGACAGTTTATTACTAAGACTAATCATGGTTTTGTCTAACTCTTCAACGGTTTTGCGGTCGGTTTCTAACAGTATACTTCGTTTTAGCATGTTTGCTCTTAGCTCTAAATGCGCTAGCTTTGCATTTATCTTAGCTAAATTCAGCGCCGTAGGCTCATCAGACTGTCGATCGATTAGTACTTGCAATACGCTTGACGCAATTTGGCAATATTTAATCTCCGCCAAAACAGTCAATTTATTTTCAATGTTTGAAAAATTAGGTGCCTGCCCAATGATTTTACGCAAGGATTTTCTGAGTTCATCTACACTTAATTTATTTAAAACCTCATGTTGACAGTCTAGCTCTCTGCACATTATTTCATAAATCAACTCGCCCTTTTGAAGATAATTGACATTGTAGTTCGCCATCTTGATAATAGGATAAGTGCTGATAAAGGTGAGGAAAGGAAGGATTTAGTGAACCCTACCTATTAGTTTCAAAATTCGGATCAACACATTAGAATTCTTTAAGCTAATTTAAACCTTTTTGTTTAGCACCTAGCTGTTCGATTTCACCGTTGTTTACTTGAACTGTTTAAATTCAGCCTATTTAATAAACCGGTTTAAGATTGTAATGATAAAATACCCTCAAAATCTTATTACAATATACTTATACCAACATGTCCTTTATCATCCCTTTATGAGTATTGTAATTACAGTTCAACAGTAATTACAGTTCTTAACTTAATAATCACACAACACCACACTGGATTTTGATAGTTCATAAAAGTTCAAATGAAATTCTCATAGTAGCCAAAATGACCTCGTTCAATGTCTTGGTTATCTTAAAGCTCAGGAAGTGTAGCAGAGTGGCGCAAATTAATTATATTCCAGGATGGCCAATCGAATATAATTATGGTGTGAATTTAGATCCACTTCCTTTAGCTTGTGGATCAGCCAAGAGGGTAGCCAAGTTGACCCGTGAACAAGGGGAGTCGAATAATAACGACTCAGTGAATTACGGTTCAACAATTTATTAATTTTTAAACCAAATAACCCTTTACACATATGCTAGCCTTAATTGTTATTAGTACCCAAAATTATGAAATGGTACATTACTCAATACAGCAGGGGTGGGCTGGGCCATCTTAAGAATTAGCTGTACAAATTTTGACTCCCGTCTGCAAAACCATTAACACAAGCTTAAATTAAAATAAAATTAATATTACAAGAGACCTGTTGGAAAAGCATAAAAGGTATAAAACATTGATTCGGATTTCTTATAAAGTGTTCAATACAAAAAAATCATTCATTGAGTTAAGTTACATTAAATTGAATAAAAATTTACATTTGACCAGAACCTAATATTAAAGTTATATAATTCTCATTTTAAATTTATATAGCTCTCAAAACTCTTCTGAAGTTTTACTATAAAGTTACAAGAAATTGCAAATTAAAACATGCTTGACCACACGTGGCAAACGAAATTTAACAGTGAATAAAGACTTGTACAAATTGGTTAATTATGTTTTTCAACTAAATTGTAGCACCTGAAAAAGTATTTTAAACATGAATATAAAAATCCTTAAACTAACTAAATGTAACACTTACATTATCACAGGAGCCGTGCAAACTTGTAGCCAGCACCCCCACTAGTACAGTGATATGATTTTAAAACCCAACGGACAGATAAGCACTGCCGACCTCGGCCACCGCAGGTGGCGCTAAGGGCGGGAAATTCAAATTAAATTTAAAATAGGCTTTAAAATTTCACAACATACTATGTACTGGCATAAAATATATCAACTAATTTAAGTCAGCTGTAAATACTTAAATTTGACAGTTCAACAAGCAGAGGTTAAGAGGTACAGGTTCTGCTCCCAAGAGATTCTTTATACAAACAAACATTTCAAAATAAAGATAAAAAATCTGATTGCAGATATAAAGGAGTTTGTTAATAGTGTCATTTGTTATTTATTTAGTATTCTATAAAGTAAACAATAAATCAAATAGATTGATATATTTATAGTTAGTAGGTATGTCATACATGCAATCTAATACATAATTATATGCAAAGAAACTCAAATAAACCTTAGATTTCCCACATGCCTCTGTCTTAATCTGATATAGACGCTTGAAATAGATTTAACATGCACACACATTAAAACTAAAAAGTATAAAATAATTTATAAATAAAAAACTTTTTTAAACAAAATGTTTTTAAACGCCCTAAAAAAGTAGAAAATAATTTACAAATAATTTATAAATATGTTGAGAGAGAATAAATACTTGTACGATTTAAAACGAAAAACGTGGGGTGCATGCAATAGATAGTTTACAATTACCTTCACCTACTGAACTTGTATTATTATCAATTAATTGCATGCACCCAACGTTTTTAGTTTTAAATCGTACAAGTATTTATACTCTCTCAACATATTTATAAATTATTTGTAAATTATTTTCTACTTTTTTAGGGCGTTTAAAAACGTTTTGTTTAAAAAAGTTTTTTATTTATAAATTATTTTTTATCATTTGATTAGGCTTTTAATTAGGTCCTAATATAGAAACAGCTGGTACCTAACAAAAGGTCATACTGTTGAAATCTTATCTAGTATTCAGTACCGGGGACCGAGCCTTGCTGGGTTTTGGTAAATTGGGTTTAATTGTTGAAACAATATCGTATATAATTTATGAAAAACATTTTTATCACAAACCATAGTCAATTGGGCGTTTAAATAATAACAACTCTGTAATCTATGTAAAAAATATACACTTTTATTATATTGCTTGATTATGATTAATTTAATTAATTACTGTAGCTTAATGTATGGATTGTTTTTTATGCTAAAATGTTTTTGAGACTAAACACTTCAAATGTACACAGCAATATCGACAGCTGAGCCTGAACAGTAATGCAGTTGTAGACTCCCTACTTGAATCTTTTTGGTTTTGACCATAAATTATTTGAATGACCAACTGCTTATGATTCATGCTCATGTGCTGGATTGCCAAGAAATAAGTCACAAAATATTTGAATAGTGCTGCTGGGGTGTGATTATTAAATTCCTTTACTGTTTAGACAAGTATTGTGGTTCACTTATTTTGCATACATTGTTTTGAAGGACTAATTATTCATTTAAATACCAACTCATGACGGTTCAGATTTTTAAATTTTGAACAAGAGGATTCAGTCCTAGATATCAAAACATACCTGATATAGGTGAGTGTTTGTGTAATATACCTGTTAGTGGGTGTTAGGGCTATCTAGTGTTCAAACCTATAAATTTTGTGCCCGTATCAAAAATGTAACAGTGTCTCGGCTCTCGGTTTATGTCATGATATGATATTTTGTCTATGTCTGTTTGATGTTTTCAATTTCAGACGTCAAAACAAAGCAAAGACGCCAATAGCGCTCAGGATATAATAGAGATATGTCATGTGACTGATACCCACGTAGACCGAAAGTATGCAGCAGGGGCGAAGAGCACAAGCTGCAGAGAGCCTATCTGCTGCAGGTATTACCAAGGTGAACCTGAGCCGGGAGAAGAACCCGCTGGTACCTGGGGCAGTTACCCTAGCTGTGATATTCCAAGAAGTTCTGCGGAGGATGCTTTGACTGTAGCTGCCGCAAATAATGAGGTTAATGTTTTCATTATTTAACAACAAAAAAGGTCAATGCAAAACTGAGCAATTTTTTTTAAGGTTTATAGATTAAAATCTAAATCATGTAATTATTGATTAAGAACGGTTTCAACCAGTGAACAAGTATAAGAACATTTCAATTTGAGAGGGAAAAATATTTTATGGTAGTGTATGTTTCTCTTTCCTTACATTTTTGTACATACGTGTGCTTCTTCTCACCTCCTTGCTTGCAGTTTACCAAACCCTCTCAGATTCATTGGCGGGTGTCTGAGAGTTTATATATGTGTGCCTCACCTCACCTCCTTGCATTTTACCAAACCCTCTCAGATTCATTGGCGGGTGTCTGAGAGGCTATATATGTGTGCCTCACCTTCACCTCCTTGCTTGCATTTTACCAAACCCTCTCAGATTCATTGGCGGGTGTCTGAGGGGCTATATACAAGTGCCTCACCTCATCTCCTTGCTTGCATTTTACCAAACCCTCTCAGAATCATTGGCTGGTGTCTGAGGGCCCAGGGCCGGTGATAGTAGCTAGTAAGGGCTAGGCCACTCTTTTGATGTTTCGCAGAAGCCGCCGCGCCAGGTAGTGGGGGGAGTCGGCTGCCGCGTGACGTCACCTGGTTGCCTCGCCCAGCGTTTCTGCATTGGATCACCGCTTGTTTGTTTACATTTGTTGCGCTAAGTAGTTCAGTTTTAGTGTTAGCTGTGGTTAGAAGTGTTTTAAAGTAATATAGTATGTTACTGTCTTAGTACAGTGTGTTTATGATTTTCATCTGTTTTCTGCGGAATTTTTGTAGGCTCTAGAAATGTCATTTTTGCCTATAAGTTGGTTATTTATCATCGACATGAAACATGAGTTGTGCTGTTGCTGGGTGTAATAACAGATACCGAAATACAAAGGACTGTGAGGTAGGTGTTCTTTACCATCGTTTTCCAAATGACAGTGACATTTTGAAGCAATGGATCGCCAAATGTTACAGGAAAGACGAAATTAACTCAAAAAATGCTTGAATTTGTAGTGAGCATTTCTTGCCCCGTGAATATGAGGATCACATGAAAAACAGACTTTTGGGCCTTCCGTTAAAAAAAATACTCAGAAAATCTGCGGTTCCTTCTCAAAAGCTGCCAAATGCAAATGTATCTTCACAAAACTCTGAATTTAGAGCTGATAGGAGCCAAAACAGAACAGTTAGAGCTTCAGCTTTAGAAAGGTTGAAACAATTAAGTCCAAGGAAAAATCATTCTAGGCCTGTACAAAATCCCGGAGAATGTGTCACTGGCACAGAGATGAATCACGATGGAATACCCGATATGATCGATTGCAAAAACTGTAAAAGTAAAACAGAATTAAATGAAAAACTACAAACTGAAATAGTAGTCTTAAAATCGCAACTGAAATTAGCTAGACGTAAAAATAAAGTTTTAGCTAGCAGAAATTTAAGAATATCTTGTAGCTCTAAAAAGCTAAGGAGTACGATTAAACGTTTGCAAAGTGAAATATGCGTTTTGAATAAAAACTGTAAAAAACAAGTAGCTATAACTAAGTGGGCTGAGAAAAATATGACTCCCATGCAACTAAAAAGTATAGAGAATGAAAAGCAAGTGCGATGGACAAGCGATGATATATCTCGTTGTGTAATAATAAGGGCTCTGTCTCCAAAATCCTACGATTTCTGGAGGGAAAAATTGTCATTCCCCCTCCCATCAGCTTCTACCCTTAAAAGATGGTGTGCAAAGTTTACTTGTTTCCCAGGTATTCTGCGGAATGTACTATGCCTACTCAAAAAAAAGTTTGAGGAGCTATCAGATTTTGACAAGTTATGTGTAATTAATTTTGACGAAATGCACATTGATAGTAGTGTGGTTTATGACTCAGGTATGGACAAAATACTTGGTCCTTCTTCTAAAGTACAGGTAGTAATCGTGAGAGGGCTAATATCTAACTGGAAACAACCTGTTTACTTTGAGTTTGATACTGCAATGGACAAGTCGTTGCTGATGACAATAATAGAAGCTGTAGAGTCATCTGGGTTGTTAGTGACATCCATCGTATCAGATATGGGAGGAAGCAACTTTCTTTCTTTATGGACTTCCTTAAATATCTCTGTTGAAAACACGTCTTTTGCCAATCCAAACGACTCACAGAGGCAGGTTTTTGTGTTTGCTGATATGCCACATTATTTTAAACTTCTCAGAAACCATTTTCTTGACAGTGGCATAGTTTTGGGAAATGGTACCAAACTAGATTCCTCGATTTTAAGGGAAGTGCTAGAGAAGGACAGTGGCGAGATTAAGTTGTGCCATAGATTGAATCCGGCTTATCTTTCATTGAAAGGCAATGACAGACAGAAAGTTGGACCTGCAAAAGCAGTATTTTCAAGAACGACAGCGAAAGCAATCGCCTTACTGACAGAACACTACCAAGCTGCAAATTTGTTTGAGTTAATGGATGATTTTTATGACATTATGAACTCAAGTAGTCCACAATTTGACCCTGCGCACCCGCTTAAGATTGCTTTCGGTTTGACTGAACACGCAGAAGAACAGTATCTTATACTTAATCAAGTCGAGTATGTAGTGAAACAAATGAGAGTTAAAGGCAAACCTAAATTGCTTCCCTTTCAGAAAGGCATTTTAGTATCAATCGCATCTTTGAGGGACATGTTTACGCAACTCCAGGCGCAGTATGGCATTAAATACATACTTACTACCCGTCTCACTCAAGACGCTCTTGAAAGTTTGTTTGGTCAGCCTTGTGGGTTGGGGCGCTTCCACGATCATCCTAGCCCTTCAGATGTAATCACACGCCTAAGAACACTGATTATTTCCAACAAAATGCCTATTCCATCGAGGAAGACTAACATAGTATCGGCTGAAGAGAAATGTCCAGAAATCCCAGCTTACTTGACATCGGACTTGTTGCAAATGGCATTTACAACAGAAGAAATAGGATCCTTGCAGTCCAGTTGTTCAAAAGTCGACATGCTGCAGGAGAACACGACATTTTCAGGTAATCTGTAATCTTCATAAAATAGTTCTAACATTACAGCTGTTTTATCTAAATAAATTTAAATCATTTAGAAAATTGTATACGTACATTTTACAATTTATCTATACTATTATAAAGAAGAGGTGGTTAAAACTAATTTCTATAGCAAAGGTGTTCCAAAGATAAAAGAATAATAGTATTTATATATGAAATCTTATTCGATTGAATGATGTAATTGTACACTCTTATGCATTTTTCACGGATTTAGCAATGAAAAAAAAACTTTTAACTTCCTTAAGAGGTGAATTTTCTTAGAATTTACTTCATAAATAGTGTTAAAAAAATTAAGAGGCTAAAAACAAATTTCGATTATGGATAAGTTCTTTATAAATTTTACATTACCCACAAGTCAATTCTCTTTTTTGATACTTTGTTTTTATTTCAGACGACCACGACGACGAGAGCGAGGAAGCCACTACGTGGGCAGAGGAAGAGGCAGTTAAATACATAGCTGGCTATGTTGCTTTCCGAGTGCGGAATGTAGATCCTAGTCTTGGGAAAATTGTGGAAAACGTTAGTATTTCTGAGGAGGAGCAGCCGTCTTGGATTAAAACTCTATCTCACGGCTCCCTTACAGAACCAAGTGAACAGTGGCTTTCTGTAGTAAAAGAGTACGAAAAGGTGTTTATTGAGTTGCATGGTCCCCTGTTGAAGTTTAGCAGTGAATTTGGAGTTGTTAAAGTTTTAAAAGAGAGACTGAGTGCACAATTTCCTTATGTATGTAAGGAAGCTGTTCACGTATATTCCAGAATCAGGACATTTATTCGAGTTAGAGAGGTGAACAGACAGAAAAGCAACAATAAGAGAAAACAATCTAAAAAAGCTATAAAATGGACCAAGTCCAACAAATAAGAAAAGACGTTGCAAATTTTTGAAACTATTACGATGTATTAATATTAATGTATTGGTAATAAACATGTTCTATAATAACTATATTTTGCGTAGAATTATTCTTCCTTGACCACAACATTGGAGTTCAACTACTAGAGCATAGGTTTTTTGAAATGTTATGTCAGTGCCATTTAGGTGTCGATGTGCGCTGTGAAATTGTAAGTGTTCACACCTCGCTTTAAGTTTTTTTGTTTTATTTTAACATAAAACGAAAGTAGCATATAATGGATTTGAAAACCCTTTAATTTGTATATCTTAATTTAACTAAAAACTAAAAAGACCGTGAGTGCAATTAAAAATATCGCGGATATGAATTTTCTTTTGAGTTCGTCCTTTTGTCGCCTATTTAAAATTGTCTGCCAAACACATCACCCACATTCACAAAAGATAGCTGCATACAATAGCTTTGTAAACAGATTAAAACTAGTAAAAAATGGTATTAAAAGTTCAAGAACCTAATAAGAAATTCTAATTAAATATTTATATTGCCATTCAAATTAGTGTTTGTATTCTAAACTCGTCTTAACAATTGTAAAAATAAATCAACTTTAATTTTTGTATAGAAATATTTCTATTAAAAATGGTTAAGTAAATGTTTTTTATTTCGCAAAAACCTTAGGGAACAAGAAAAAATTGTTATTGTGTTAAATATATCTCCATAAAAAAAAACATTATTAAAGTAATCACATTTTCAAAGTCCAGAGCAACTCTTCGTACTTTGATCTTCAATAATAAATAGTAAATAATAATATTCATATGAACAAGTTACACCATTCCATAGACAATTTAATTTCCTTTAAAGAACACCAGAGGTTAACAAAATAGGTCTTTAAATTTAGCGTGAATTTTAATTCGAAACAGCGCGCGCACGCTGCCGAGCATTGCTTTTCATAGTACAGTACAGGCGCGGCTGACAACCACGTGACGTCACAGGGTGAAACGAGCGGGATGCAGGTACACCGGCAGAGTGGTCTAGCCCTTACTAGCTACTATCACCGGCCCTGTGATGGCCTATATACAAGTGCCTCACCTCACCTCCTTGCTTGCATTTTACCAAACCCTCTCAGATTCATTGGCGGGTGTCTGAGGGGCTATATAGAAGTGCCTCACCTCACCTCCTTACTTGCATTTTACCAAACCCTCTCAGATTCATTGGCGGGTGTCTGAGAGGCTATATAGAAGTGCCTCACCTCACCTCCTTACTTGCATTTTACCAAACCCTCTCAGATTCATTGGCGGGTGTCTGAGGGGCTATATAGAAGTGCCTCACCTCACCTCCTTACTTGCATTTTACCAAACCCTCTCAGATTCATTGGCGGGTGTCTGAGAGGCTATATAGAAGTGCCTCACCTCACCTCCTTACTTGCATTTTACCAAACCCTCTCAGATTCATTGGCGGGTGTCTGAGGGGCTATATAGAAGTGCCTCACCTCACCTCCTTACTTGCATTTTACCAAACCCTCTCAGATTCATTGGCGGGTGTCTGAGAGGCTATATATGTGTGCCTCACCTCACCTCCTTGCATTTTACCAAACCCTCTCAGATTCATTGGCATGTGTCTTGAGAGGCAAATATTATGAGTGACTTAACTGACCTCCTCCTTTAGATTCTAGCTAACTTGCTTGATTGAAATGGGAGGATATTTTCTTTAACAGTTTTCAATTCTTTGTTTTAGAAATACAAGTATCTGTATATGACTGGAGATCTTATAGCTCACAATCTTTGGGAAACTACACGAAAGAGCAACTCAAAACAAATAAGAGATCAAGGAACATCTTTTCAAGAACATTTTAAAGGAACAATGATTTTTCCTGTTTTGGGAAACCATGAGCCACATCCAGCCAATGTGTATGTATTGAAGTAAATAACCTGTGTCTGTTTATGCTTGATGCTCCCTGGAAAGCTTTACATTGCTTAGTTAATTACCAATTATAAAATCATTGTACAGTATGATGGAAACAGTTCCACCAAGAGTTCTTCATTCTTAAATTTTATTCTATAATATATAGATTTCCATTTACAACAATAACCAAACATAATTTCCAGGTTGGCACCTCTGGACATAAATGTCCCTGAGTATAATGGCCAGTGGTTGTACGAAGTTTTCTACGATTCTCTGTGCAAAGATTTACCTCCGGAGGCCAAAACTACATTTATGAAAGGAGGATTCTACTCAGTGTCTCCAGAAGAAGGTTTTCGTGTTATTGGGCTCAACACCATGTTTGGATACTGTTTTAATTGGTAACTGAAGCACTTTTTTAATTTAAAAAATGCTCAAATATTAATAATGATATTAAGTTTATTGTACTTGAAGTTAGTAAATGATTTGCCTTTAGATACACAAATTGGATATTCCACTCTCATGATGGAGATTCAAATTTATTTTATGACACAATGGTTCATATAGGTAAATTAAATATTTGGGAAATATAACAAAACCTTTAGTCTTTTAGATTTAGTTAATTATTTTTGGGTTGTATTGTGATGGAACTAACTTGTAACTATGTCTGGCATTAACAAAGCCCAGTTGATTATCTATAGGCCTACTGTGACTCACTACATTTTCTTTTACCAATAACTCCCCACTTTTAGCACTCAATCTTGTCAGGTGGATGATCCTAGACCCAGTAGACCCTGCAGATCAGCTGGCATGGCTCGTAGAAGAACTTTTGGAGGCAGAGCGTAAAAAGGAGAAGGTTCACATACTGATGCATGGACCACCCAGTGAGCCCGACACTCTACATGTATGGAGCAGAGAGTACCACAGAGTGATGGAGAGGTAGGATATACACTACACTATACTGTGTGATGATGCCGTCACCCACTGGTTCCTAATATCCGTTAAATTTGCCACCAACTCTACCTGTCTTGCCTCATTTCCTCTTCATTCCCTTCCTCGTGTCACTCTCTTAATCCTCCTCCTAAATAATGATTCGATATCCGATACGTATATATTTAACTTTATGTTTTATATGTGTATTTGCATGTATTTATGTGTTGTGATTTGAAATTATCAACTAGCCTAAGCTAAAACTGGGGTGTGTTTTAAAATTTCACTGCACCAAATCATGTGACAATCTGCTGATTAAAAATTATAAACGTCCGATGTTTTCAGGTTTCAGGACACAGTGGCTGCCCAGTTTGCGGGTCACACTCACAAAGATCAGTTTTATTTGTTTTATGGTCAAAACACTACAGCAGACCCTTATTCAGTATCTTGGAACGGAGGGAGTGTTACCACATATACAGATGCAAACCCCAATTACAAGGTCTACCATGTTAACCATCAAAACTATGTGAGTGTTCATTGCTTATTTTGACAAAAACTGCCTCTGATATTTACTTGGATTTTTATTTTACTTTGCCTTTATAGGATAAGAAATCAAAGAAAGAAATCAAGAAAGGCAAGAAATCTAAACTTTATGGATCCAGGCCAGTGGCGTTAGTACATTAAGCGGCACCCCTCCCCCTGCAATACATTTATACATCCCATCAAAACATGCTTTATTCGTTTATCTCAGCAATAGTGTGGACATGATCATCGTCCCCCGCGGTCATTTAAACTCGTCATCGTTTGCCTTGATCATTCGTGGTCTTGAAGACATCATCTTTGCCTCCTGCGGTCAGGGAAACCACATAATCTTTTTCTACGATTGTGGTAAAATCTTGATATCTTCTTTGGTCTTGAAGTTATCGTCTCCGGGGGTCACAAAAACAATTGCAGCAAAATCATGAATATCTTTTCCGGTCTTATAGACATCATCTTTGTCACCCGCGGTCACCGAAACGATGTCATCTTTTTTCCGCGATTGCGGCAAAATCATAAATATCTCCTTAGGTCTTGAAGACATCATCGTTTCCCCCGGTCACAGAAACATCACCTTTTTAGCGAATTTCCCATATAGGGAATAAGCTATTACCGTAGTACTCATGGTAAGACCTGGACGCGGGACCGATTTTTTTTTTCGTTTTGAGGTCCCTAGAGGCCAAAAACACCATCCGTTCAAATTCATATATATATATATATATATTTATATATATATTTATATATATATTTATATATATATATATATATGTGTCCGTTAGCACGATAACTCGAGCAAAAATGATCCGATTTTGATGAAATTTGGTACAAACGTGTAAACCTACGTTTATTCGAACGAGTTCGCGATCCAGCATGATCGGACCATGGGAACGGGGGTTTTATGGGGTAAAAATAGGTTTTTCCCATTTTTGACCCAAAAAACATAAAATTTAGCAATTTCTTTCCAAACCATTTTGTAGAGCTTAAAAAAACAAATAGTTTAGTATATTGAAGCGTTATTATGCGCCTAATGGTTATGGAGAAAATTCCAAAAAATTGTAAATTTAAAATTCCCATGTTATTCTTATGGAGAATAAGTAAACTGTTGTAGTTTGCTTGTTTATGAACATATTTTGATCAAATTTGGAAAATGTTTTTATTTCTTACTAACTATTACCATTTTACAAAAAAAAGTTTTACCCTCCCTGATGCAGCAAACCTAAGTACTTGTTAAACTAATTCTATTTAAATCGGGAATAAATGTTATATTTTTAAGTAGACATTTCAGTGTAAATCAAATCAGTCAAATGGAAATTCGCTTAGTCTGCAGGTTTGCTGCGGCGGGGGTATTTTGTGATTGCGGTGACAGTCGGACCTCAGCGTCCCCCCCCCTGTATTGTGAGGGTTGCGGTAGTGTTATTTACACCACTGACCAAGGCACAATTTAATCGCTGAAAGATAAAGTAGAAAAGGAAAAATATGATTTTATCTACACAATATCAAAATCATTAGATAAAAGAACGTCATCGAAACGGACTAGAATTGTTTAATAAAAATGAATATTTTAATCCTTTATGATTCTAAGAAAATATTCAATTGTAGTTTGAATGTTGCGAACACAAAAGTTACAAATATTTGACATTTAATTGCTTTTTTCGCAGATGGTGGAAGATATTGACACATACATCTACAACTTAACAGAGGCTAATCTCAACCAAGGAAAATCTCCAGACTGGTTTAAATTGTATTCCTTCAAAGATGCATACGACCTACCATCACTATCATATAAAGATTTGGATGACTTAGTAACCAAATTGGCAGTTGATGATAGATACTTCCGTAAATACAATTTGTGAGTATTCAACTATTATATTTAAGTTAAGGATGTTACGCAAGAGCACATGGATTTGTCATGAGGACAAGTAGGCTTATCTGAATTGGAAATTGTCTACTCTGGGACAAGAAACACAAAACTTTACACTGCCAGTCTGACATACACAAAAGTTAGTATATTTTAATGTTAGTGACGGGTGCCTCCTACTATCTGCTCGACAAATTACTTGGCTGTAAAATTAAAAACGTCTATATTAGTGCTTTGCAGAGCTTTTTCCCACCTTTACAACAAGCTAATGTGTATGATGTATAACTTGCAAAGATGGAATGAAATAATATCACTTGCGGCAAACTCACTACACCCTTCAATAGCTTTTAAAATTTCATATACAGAAAAAAATCAAACTACTGTATCTGTACTGCAATTATCCACAAATTCAACTATCCAAATTAAATTTGAAAATAATAATATAAATATAAATACCCGTGCCGCAGCAAACCTACAGTCTAAGTGAATTTCCTTTTGCCTGATTTTATTTTCACTAAAATATCTTTATAACAATGTCAAATTCATTCCCTGTTTGGATAACATTAGTTTATCAAGCACCCAGGTTTGCTGCTACAGGGCAAAAAAGCCTGTGTTGTTTTTGTAAAAGACTTCCATCAATGTGTGCCACTTTTCTCTGACTTGGCGTATTGCCTGTTTGTGCTTAATTGCTCAATAAATGATTTTATTTGTACCACATGGTCCAAGAACCATATGTCTCAGAACATTAGAATAAGGGTGTTAACCTTTAATCTACCTTAGGCCTCCTCTCCTGAAAAAATATCAGAACAAGTGACTGTCTTGAACTAGACCCTATCACTGTCTTGTCGTGGATGTGAGGAAGAGCTAATTTGTATTTCAAACCGACTGAACATATAAATCACTGTAAAGATCTCAGGTGATTTCTAGGAGTTTCAAGTAAAATACTCTACAGGCCGTACTGGAGTCAAGTGTTTTGGTTTAAACTCGATCAAATTGATGCACTTAGTTTCTCACATTTAAAATGTGTAACTTTGCTCACTATTACACAATAGTATATTTCGTACCTAGGGCCGAAAATGAGGTTTTGCCGGCTCATCTCGAACTTAAAACAATCGAGAGCTGCAAAACCATTTCGGTCTGTGGTACGGACGCTATTTTTCACCACACTATACCCTATTACCACTATTCACCTGGGGAGCGAGCTGGCGTAGTGGTTAGAGCGCGGGACTTCAGTCCCTGAGGTCCCGGGTTCGATCCCCGCCAAGTCACCAATGGATTTTATCTAAGTGATAATGCCGCAACCCCTAGGTCTAGACTGAAGTAATGTGAAAAACAATCCCAGGCTCGTGCCTAGCGTCCTTAGGACAAAAAAAAAAAAAAATAAATAATTTGAGGAATCAGCGGAAAAAATAATAAATAGTTGCTAGGCAACGGGGACAATAATACAATTCAATTGGAATGCTATGGATACTGATTGTGTATTTATGCATTAATGTTTTAAGAAAGTAAGCGGACAGCTGATTTTGCGACCCTAGGGATGTAAAAACCTGCTTGGTCCCCAAATGACGATGACAGCTGGCATGGCCAGCAAAACGTAACTTTCAGCCACCAATTAACCTATGTAAAACAGCTAAAAACATCTTAGTGTGGTGAAAATAACTTTTGTTTTGTCAGATAAAGTTAAGTTGAAGTTTTCAGCTCTGTGAGAAAAGCATAAAATCCGCACTTTAAACTACGAAAGATGTACATTTGTCCATAAAGTTAGTGTTAAAATTGATTTATTTATAGAATTATAATAAACTATCATTGTTTCAGGTATTTTTATAAAAACAGTGATGTTGCATATGAACAAGATTGCACTGGTAGTTGCCGTCAGCAACAACTATGTTTGATTGTCTCTACAGCCAATGAAATTGAATGTGAAAGTATACTGCTCAGCGACTAGGAAACAGAAAATACTGTAAACAACTCAGGGATAAATAATGCGAAGAGCTGCTTCCACTTTTTTATGAAGTGGGTAGCTTAATTCAATTATTTTACTTTATGTGAGAAAGTTTTTCAGTAAACATTTATAAAACATATTTTTAAGTTTATTCAATTCATTCCTCTTCTAAAGTCTTGAAGACTATGTGTATTGTGCGACTATTCCCTACACAATTTTATCTTTGTTGTTCACTAAACATATTTTTCCAACATCTATAATTTAGGAGTAAAAAACACGCAACATAATTGTTTCACTTGACCAATTAACCGCTATAAAACTATTTGACTACTCAAAAATATTTACTTTTGAGGATCGGTTTTACCATGATATATGAAACTAAAATGTCACCTTTTTTATCCATCCCACTAATGGACGCATTTGTCTATGGCTGTGTTTTTCTCGTTATCTATTTTATAAAATAATAAAAACTGTTACAAATTTTTAGAATTTTTCCATCTCTCTGTATTTGAAAATAGTTCATTTCCATACAGCTGAGATCTTCGGAAATCGTCAATTTCCATACACCAAAAACAAATAGTGATCAGCTGACTTTTCCTGACATAAACATTACTTTTGCTACAAGTAATGTTTATGTTGCTACACAAATAATACTCTGCCAGACATCAACAAAGTTACAACTGAAGTTTTTTAATTTTTTCAAGTTTGATGAAGTAGTTTTTTTCATCGAGATGAAAAGTATCGTTCAATAATCGTCACAAAAGTCCCATTCCGAGGCTCAATAGTGTTTTCCTTGATAGTGTAAAACACTATTTCGCCCTAAAATGGAGTGAATATACTATTTTTTTAAATTATGAAATTTGATATGTGGGTACTTACCAATTTTGAAATAGAATGTTCAAAATCTGCGCCAAACACTGTGGTCAAATCGTCCAATCAGAAACGAATGTGGATGGATCAGGACAGCTGAAACGACGAGAGTGAACGTTCAAAAGTCACTTGGAGGGAAGACTTCATTTTAGACAGACGTATCAATGAGTTTTGGACATTTATCAAATATACAATTTGTGGCTCAGAGAATTGCATTCGGTACAAAATTGTACCTGCATTGAACTGACAGCAATTTTCATTCAATGCTGAATTGCAAATAATCGTAAAGAATTTTTAATTGATCTAAAATGTACCGTCACATAAAGTTGAGAATTTAATTTGTCGAACTTCGTAAAAAACCGTTCTCGGAATAAATATTCGGTTGAGCGATAACTCTCCAATGAAAGTTACCTAAAATCTTCCACGAGTGTGAATGTATCTGTGGTCGACCTGTGTACATAAGTAAATGTCTTGTTCATATTCATTTGAGATGGAGACGCCACCTTTGTTTGAGTGAGGGATGAGAGTAGGATGGAGTATGCCTTGTGAATCTTTGTTACTGACAATGGTCAGCTGATTCATTAGTCAGGACCATTTATTGACAGCCCAATGATCAAGTACAGCTCGGCCTAGTTTCGAACCATCAAAAAGCTTCACACTTTTCTCAGAATCGAACCAGGAACCTTTGATTACCAGGCGAGCACTGCAACCACTGACCCTACCCAGCTATAATAGAAATTGTTATTACAATTAGATGTATCAAATATATTTGGGGAGTTTGTTGGTCTCAAACAATCATTGAACCATTCTTTATTTTCCTCGGGAACTATTGCACGTTGATGGTTTTGACAGAATTGAGAGAAAAGGAATAACAATCATATTATGCTCCACCTGGAATTCAATCCTGTGTCAATTTCAATAACTAATGTCGACAGAGGATTTATTATCTATTGTAGCGTTAAAAGTAGTATTTGGACAATACATATATATATATTTTAATAGCATCTTTGATTTTCCAGCAGTTCACCTAGTAATTAAGATAAAAGATTGACACACATTAATTTCTACAGCCTAACTGATCATATTATTACACTCAATTATTTGCGGTTTAGTATTGATTGACAATTGCTGTCAGTTTGACGTAGGTACAATTTTATCCCGAATGCAATTTTCTGAGCCACAAATGAGATGTTAGATATATGTCCTAAATTCGTTGATACGTCTGTTTAAAATAAAGTCTTCCCTCCAAGTGACGGTTGAATGTTCACTCTTGTCGTTTCAAACAGCTGTCCTGTATCCATCAGCGTTTGTTTCTGATTGTACCATTTGACCAGTGTTTGGCGCAAATTTTGAAAATTCAAATTCAAAATCGACACAGTACTTAATTATATGGTATCTCCAGGTATTTTATCTTTTTTTGAAATTTTGATTCTTAAAAGTGATTTTCCCCTGAACCCCATAAAATAGTGAAAAAATTAGATTTTTGCAAAAACAGCTTGACGGATATTTATTAAAACCATAGATTAAAGAGGTCTTGCCCACTCTTAAATATGTGTCAAAAAATAGCATGCTATATTCCTTTAAACTCTTAACATAAAGGTACAACCCCTATTGCTGTAAAAATTACTGGTTAAATGTCATTGCAACTTTTGTGATTTCCCTCATAAAATATCACAAGGTGTACATTCATTCTTCCCGTATGGGGATGAAACGAAGATAGTGAATAAGGCTGAGCTGGTAAGGCGACCAGACTACACAGTTCACTAATTTCAACATTTCAATAATTACTCCCACCTCTTACCCATCACAACTATTTTTGACAAGCAATTTTTGATGCTGTTTATTATGGCTTGTACTCAAGCAGAGCCCCTGGTGAAATCAAATGACAACTGTGATCTCTTCTGTGATATAGGCTAAGTTTTACATGTATGTTACATAAGGTCTACTGTGATAATGTTCATGACTCTGTTACAGTTTTTAGTTTATAGTTTTCTTTGACAATGTCTATTGCACAACTGTGTCTAATGACAATAAAGGATTCTTATTCTTATTCTTCAAAGACCGACGGGAACAATATTGAATTTTGAGACAACACTTCCCATTCCGGTAAGCCTGCTATCATCACAAAAAAATCTTAAAATCCAGGTCCTATTGTACTATGTCACATCCTTAACAAGTATTTATTACAGGTTAAGAGTTGGAGGTTTAAAAATTACAAAAATAGACAGGATCCAATTAATACTGGTTGATTGCTAATGTTTTACTAACTTTTACAAGTATGTTACAAGCTGTACATAACAAAAACAAAACATTTAGACTAGATTCAATATAAAATTCATGTTTTGTCAAATGGTACCCATTCTATTTTATGTTTCTTGAAGTCGTCTTCTGATAAATTATCCAAACTCTCCATCTGTAACATTTTAATATTTTGAATCAGAAACCATGATTTTTAGACAAATAATGTATTGATGAAAACCAAGTCTCTAATGTTACTGCATCGCTTCGCAGGGAAATACAGAAAAGCAGTGGTTTTCATGGTGTGTTCTCATCAATGTCATAAAATAGTAAAATTGTTGGTTCCAAGGTCTATGTTGTGTACTCTATGCCACCAATTATCTTAATAAATTTTAAGGAACACTATCAAGTAAACCGCCAAAATCCATAAACTCTAAAAGTAATAATTAATCATTACAAATAAAAATGTCTAGTGATAATTTAAATCCTAATCTCAAGAAAAGACTTTGATTTGAGATTTGACTGGATTCAAGTCTAGGATCTATGAATCTAATATTTATCTGCCTCTTCAACCTTATACTTACGAAAAATAAATAAAAGAAACATCTTATAACACTAAAAACATATATTTATGCTTATACAGTTACTCACAAGACAGTAAATATACATAAAACATGTTTCACAATAGTGGTCAAATGGAAAAAAAATAAATATGTACAACATAAAAGGTTAAAACTAGGTGCTACTATGTAACATTGTAATAGTTAGTTTAACCATAGACAAAAAGAATTAAATATAGACTGTCAGCCGTGCTGCGGTTACCATAGGTTCTGGCGCACACCACTGGGAGCGCCATGTAGTTACGTAGCACGTACGCCGTAACTACATGGCGCTCCCAGTGGTGTGCGCCAGAACCTATGGTAGACGCAGCACAGCTGACGGTCTATATTTAATTCATATTGTCTATGGTTTAACTCTGATATCAATTTTATTAATGTAAAATTAAAATTATCAAAAGGTATTCAATCTTAAACACTTAAATACATTATGCAAAATACTTAAAGAACTAACTATGTGAAAACTTGTTAGTGTGTCAAAATTATATATTGGTTGAATAATTTAATGAGAGGCAATGTCACTTCGCTTTAAAAAAGATGTGTCTTATTTTGTATCAAGTGTTGTGATATTGAGCCCTTACCTGTAGTCTAACATATCTGACCATGATTTCCAAAGTCCTTGCGTTTTTGCATTCCTTTTCAAAAAACCTCCTCCAGAGCGCGGAGGCCAGCACTCTGTCGTCAGTTAGAATCCCTTCATCGTACGCCAGAATCGCAGCTTGGAACTGATCCCCGAGCAACCTTGTTTGTTCTCTCGCCGCAGACAAGTTTTCAGGCTATGTCAAAGAAACTTAAGTATTAACAATTACAATATACTACATTAAAGATGCAATACCTAATGGATTGGTCTTTGAATATGGTAAGCAGCAATTCAAGCAGCAGAAGGTGAGAACAATCTCAATAGGGCAATAGGGGTGATGTCCCTATTATTTATGAGCAAACTATTTTTTTTATTTTTTATTAACAACCCTCCTTTAGTTTGAATGTGTTTTTTATATTAAAATTATTCAGTTTTATTATTAAAATCTCCCCGTCGCAGCCAACCTACAGGCTAAGCAAATGTCATTGGATTTTCTTATACGTGTCAGATTTATTCCCACTTTAAATAACATTAGGTTTCGACAATAATAGGTTTTTTACAAACCTCCGTCAAATAGTCCAACGATTAATTGCTCATCAGCTTACATGTTTCGTTGCGAAGACAACATTTTCAAAGCTTGCAACTCGTCAAAAACACATTTAAATCACGGACGATGCGAACACAAAAACATTAAAATGGACTATTCCATACTTACTTCAAACATTAAACTTATAACATAATTTTTTATAAAAACAAACAACACTGACATAGCATGAATTTGAGACCAATACTTAGTTTTTAAACCTATTAAAACATTACTTCTCAAGAATAACAAATTTTGAAATAAATATTCTGTTATCAACAATAATAATGACGCGTTTCAAAACTACCAATTGAATCTCGAACAATGCTCAGTCAATCATAACACTATAAATTGAAAGTAACACACTTCTCCATCGGATATTACTTCAGGGTATAGTCTTTAAAACAATATTCATAAAGATAAGCTTGAGTTAACATAAAAAGAGTTAATTTTGTGGAGTGTAGACCATATTATAAGACAAATTTCCAAATCAAATAAGCCTACAGGTGTTTTAACTGTATATATAATTTTTTTTAATAACAAGTTTCAGCTTACTCTGCATAGAGTAGGAAAAAAAAAATATTCTCTATATTTTAAAACAACAGACGAAAAACTAGGAATAAGACTAAAACTTTGTGATAAACACACAATGTCCGTCAGTCGCTCAGCTTCTATCACTATCACTTGTGAACAGAGTGGTAACTTGCAACTGTGCTTATGACTCTGGCAATAGTAGTTTCACGTTAAACATGGCAACAAAAGTCACATCACAGTAGGTACTAAGTGACTGTAGCTAACAGTCACATCAATCATTCAAAGAAAAAGAATGTTAAAGCTACTAATAAGCACATAAAATATATTTTTCTACCAACCCCAAGTTTCTTTGCCTTGTCGTTGACATCGTTCCACATGGCTTCCACAATCTTGTTGCGAATCACTCTACCGTCCGGACCGTACTCCATCGCCTTGGCCATCAACATCCACACATGCAGCTCCGTCACCAGGAACCACGAGTTGAATGTGTCCGGCATCGACATCTCTAACAATTAATAAGTCATATGGTTATTGGCATTCACTTACAGCAAGGAAGTGTGTTTACTGTTTAAGAATCAAGAATTTTTATTCACCGTAAGCGCTATGTTAATTAAATGCATTGGATGATACGGCATTAAACTAATGGTAGCCTAATAAGTTTACAGGCAAGACAAGAGCAAACTTACAACAAGTGCAGTATAATACATGCAAACAATCACAGTAATCTTAAAAATAAAATACTGTAGGTTTTAAAACACGCAGACTAGAGCAATCATGAAAACAGGCGCACTGTGTATACAATATATGCAGTGTAGTTTTAGGCTATAATAAATTAGTAAAAACATATCAGGGGCAGGAAAAGAATATAAAATGTAAAATACAATAACTTACAACAGACAAATAAAACAACTAAGCCTTTGGCTTAATTTTAATGTAAGTTATTAGTTAAAGGGTAATGCTAAAATACGAATGTTTCCACTGCCTACGTCTTTGTGAGCTAAGAACCACTGGGTACATAGGAAATTACCTTTGGTGATTTGCTACCTGCTAAATTACGCACTTATATTCAGTTGTTTGAAGTAAAAAAGTTGAGGTTCAAATTTCATTTTATTAGTTCTTGTTGAAACTAAATCACAGCAACTTGGTGGGAAAACACAAAAAAGGCCTCAAAATATTAAAAAAATACACTTACACGGTCTATAATATACAGGGTGACCGTTAAGTCTTAGGATGACTTTATAACTTTTAAACGACAAACGATATCACAACCACATTTGGTATACCGTTACTGGAAACTGTAAGCTACTTTTCTGTGTACATGGTGGTCGGATATCACCTTTGGGGGACGGCCCGTCGGGAGTCAGAAGAAAATCTTTAATGACAGCCTATGTTGAGTTGTACATCATTTTAAAGGTCTACTTCAACTGAAAACAATGCCGCAAACCGCACTTCAAAAGGTTGATCCTGCGCAAAATGGCAGATGTTCAAAGATTTTCAAAATTAGCCAATTTCTTTAAATTAAACACTTTTTTACAACTGTCATTTTTTAACGGATGGTCCTTTTGAAGTACGGTTTGCGGCATTCTTCTTTGCTTAAAATTCCCTTTAAAATGATTCCAATAACTTCACATTCAGTGATCCAAATAACTCTTCAGGGCGACAGCCCACAAGGAGTCGGAAGTAAATCTTGAATGGAAGCATAGGTTGATATGCACATCAAATTAAAGGTATTTATTGGTAGAATACAATGCCGCAAACCGTACTTCAAAAGGACCATCCGTTAAAAAATGACAGTTGTTTAAAGATTTAAAAATTGTTTTAATTTAAAGAAATTGGCTAATTTTGAAAATCTTTGAACATCTGCCATTTTGCGCAGGATCAACCTTTTGAAGTGCGGTTTGCGGCATTGGTTTCAGTTGAAGTAGACCTTTAAAATTATGTACAATTCAACATAGGCTGTCATTAAAGATTTTCTTCTGACCCCCGACGGGCCGTCCCCCAAAGGTGATATCCGACCACCATGTACACAGAAAAGTAGCTTACAATTTCCAGTAACGGTATACCAAATGTGGTTGTGATATCGTTTGTCGTTTAAAAGTTATAAAGTCGTCCTAAGACTTAACGGTCACCCTGTATATACTTCAATAATCAATAATAGACCCTAGCCACCTGTCGCGTTCTTTTTTAAAGGATCTTAAAATAAATAATTTGTATAAGCATTAGAGGAAGTAACAATAACATAAAATGCTATTAAACAAAGTTTTACCATTGAAAAATGATAAGTAGTCGATTTTATCTGCGATGGTCTCGTACAGGAAATAGCCAAGTGCTGATAGTTTCTGTAAAAGAAAGGTGTATGATAAATAAGTAGGCCTATGGCAATCGTAAAAATAAATATAGATAATGGTTAAGGACAAAGACATATTTTTAAATTCCCCATATCGTTGGTTAATATTAAATGTAGCCTTTGGGCTTGATACCATTTCATCATGCGCCAAGCCTGATGCTATTAACAAATACTAATCTTAAATAATGATGTTTCACCAAGGAGAAAAAAATCCTTGGCTGTTCTTAGAAAATAGACAGCGTCTTTTCATGGATGCCGGAACGAGTCTTATCTAAATTGCTGTCTGACTGTTCGTGCGTCAGTAGGTTGTGGATTGCAATGTACGCTGTCCAACCCAGATAAAAAAAGCAAATGAGCATCGATCAAGATTAATCCCTTTTACCTGTATTCAATTTTTTTTGCAAGTCTATGACTTTTTAAAAGTGACCTAACATATTTTTTTTTACAAAATAGTCCATGTTCAAAAACCCAGTTATGCTTCATATCAGACACATTTTCTCCTAAGTTTTTTACTACATACATAATCTATCAAAACGAATCAGTCGTTTAGAGGAAAGTTATTTCTGGCAACTGTCTGGAACTGTTCTGGGTCTGTTGTTTCTGCCTGATATGTCTGAAATGTTTGCATAATAAGTTTATGCCATACAACTGATGTAAATAAGTGGCATCATTGATTTGTTCTAAACAATAGCACAGCTGTATTTTTAACCTGCAACTTCAATAACAATCACTTTCTTTTACTATATTCCCTCTCCTTCAAATACAGGTAAATCTACTAGTTGTAACTAAAATCATGGTTTGTAATAGACATTTAGTGAGTGCATCACATTTAAAATATACTTACTGCATTATCAAGCATAAGAAATTTTATCTTTTTCAAAATTTTCTTGAAAATTCCGTCTTCGACTTGCAATAGCTTTCCAGGGACAACACTGCCATTGTTGGGAGAAAGGTAGAGCAATCTCTTATGCGCTGTACACACATTTGTTCTACCAATCAGAACTCGTGAAAGCTGAAGCTGACTTAGCGGTGATTTGCGAACCAGCACTCTTTCGGCAGTCTAAAAAATATTGAACAGTAAAATTACTAACCAGGGTTTCAAATGAAAGATCCTAAATAAACAATGAACTCTTTAGTATCACATGTTGTTTTTAACAATAGAAAGGCTACAAAATAGTTGATATTCTTAAAGCATCAGATACATTGCCCAAAGTAAATTTGTAAAAAATAAACATATAATTCAACGCCTACTTGGTAGGGTTTTTTACAGAGCATTAGGCTGAGGCTTTATGAAACATCATTTACATTGTTGAAACACTTGTTTATAATTTAAAACATAACTTGTCCTAGAATCTATGTTTTAGTAAAAATAAAATGGCAAGGCTGCTTTTTAATTGAAAGGCAGTTTAAGTTTAAGTTATGTTTAAGTTTAAGTTTTGGAGATAACCTTAAAAAGCTTCCTTTCCACGTTTGAGGGAGGTTTTCCAACTGTCTTTTTAGACAGTTTCCATAGTAGCTGGTACTTAATTAAAATCATTGTGAATTTTTTCTCCTACGGGGAACCTAGTGATATTAAAGTTACCCTAACACTTAAAGAACTCAATCAAACTACAAAACGATAGGTAAAGTTACTAAGTAGGCCACTATTAAAAATATATGGGTTGAATTAAGCATAACAAATCTCATAAATAGTCTGCCACTGCACTGTTAATAATTTTTTAAATTTATAATCAATATTCTTCAATGCCTCTCAAATATTTCAGAATATAGGCTAGTTAAATGATTTTTCGATATTTACTATGATGAAGATTATTACATAAAATTAGGGTAAAAATTGGACCATTGAATCTAAGTGAATTGAAACAGTTTTTGGAAAAATCCTGATTTTAGATATTTAAAGAACAACCTTCTATATAGTTCCGGTTGAAATAAAAATTCAACTAAATTAAAGACACAGCTGTAATTTATTTATGTAAATAATTTGCTATTGTTGAAATGAGAAAAGCAAAGTAACAGTTTACTTTTCAGATAAAAGCTGACTGACTATATTTTGCAACAGATTAAACAGGTAAGTTTAGTAAAATTACATTTAATAACCAAATTGTATTATTACAATTTTATTATATTTATTTTATTACCGTATAGCCTATTACGTGACGGGCATGATGGCAAACTTATAGAAATTCTTGGCCTTTGATGGTCAGAATTCTACCAAAATTATATAGGTCCTTATTTCATGATCTTAATGAGCACATACAAATAAAGCTTTGACCATTATTCTCGTAAGCTAAGTCACAAGTTGAACCTTTATGAGTGGTACATAAAACTGACAACCTCGACTATTGAGAACTCCAATCTTCAGTTACGGGTATGTCTCTTAGCTTAAAAGACTGCTTAGAGTGGTGGCTGGCCACTGATATAAGTTCTAAAATTGACTCACTGTTCAAACACTGACGAACAAATGATAGGCAGATTAGTTCTAGTTATCTTACTTAACAGGCGCATATGCTTATATGCTTCTGTTAATTTAGTTTGGTGATGCTGGTCAATAATGTTGGTTATTTTTATAAATTATACATTACTAGGTCAATAGCCAAGATATAATTTATTTTAACTCTTTCAATGCTATGTGACAACACATCGTTGTGCGTCTTTTGCCCGAAAAGTGCTAAGTGACGATATATCGTGAAAGCACAACTTTAGATTGTGTGAGTTTAAATGCGCAAATCGGTTGACTCCTGCAGTTGTTGTTTCGAAACAGCGATGGTTTCTTTCGATTCCTCATACGATCAAGGCCCGATATAGCCTATCGTTCCTTAGCACTTTTGAGATGAAAAATTTAACTTTAACCAATTTTTTCCGCCGCATACTAGACTTCTCCCTGCAATGAAATAAAATGAAAAATTCTTTATTTAACCAGGCAAAGTTAGGGCCACATGGCCCTGTCTTACACTTAACCTGACAAACTAAAAATATACCGGTAAATAAATAAAAATACAATGAAATTTCTTAATCTAATATAAATCTATATATTTAAAACATCAAGAACAGATTCCCTGTGGCAAGCCTAGCACTTTTCGGACAAAATAAGTAAATAACTCCAGCATGTTTCGGAAAATTACAAGAACAAAAAACTAGCATAGATAGGGTTAAAGCCTAATTTAGATAAATATGTCATCCGGTAGGCCTATACATTTATTATTGTTGTTGTCTTAAAAAACTAGGTAACTTCAAATTTGTTTAGAATGTTTACCGGGACATTTAGGTGCAATTTCTAAGAAACAATTACCTTTAACACGTGCACACCTCTAACTACGTCCCACAGTAGTTTGAAATAACTTTAAGTAGCCTAATCAAGTCCAGCCCAGAGTTAGATTCTATTTCTTGGTATGATGGAGTCGCTTAGGGAAAAAGGGTAGGCCTCTTAGACCGACAATGACAAAAACTAGTCAGGGTACAGTTTCGCAGAGAACCTGCAATATACTAACAGATTAAATATGGGTGTGTATCGATTTTGATTTGGTTTGGTAAGTCGCTTCGAAGATATTATTTTTCTCCAAATATAAAAATAAAATTAAGTAATGATCTATTTTCGTTTTTATTGATAAACGTTTTTGTTTAACTTAAATAAAACTATGGTACCGTATTTAATTACTACAGTAGAACCTCTTTAATCCGAACTAATTGGGACCGGGGGTAGTTCGGACTATTGAATAGTTTTGATTACAGAACATATTGTTGTTTTTACATAACAATAGCTAGGGAAAAGTGTAAAATGCTTTATAAAGTAAAATACAGTGTTTATTTAATACAGTAGTACGGTAAACATAGGGAATAAAAAGAACTGTACATTACAATTAAAATAATTACGGTTTGTATATCAATAAATCCAGTTTACAATAAAGAGCTACTGTACTGTGTATAGAGTACAGCAATAAGGCGTTCGGATTAGTGGACATTCAGATTACAGGGGTTCGGATTAAAAAGGTTCTACTGTAACTCCGAACAAACTTTAAATTTTGATATGTTATATCTTACTTTATAGTTTATTACCTCCTGAATCCAAGTACAATTTTTTCCCCCGCTGATGAATATTACTCAAGATAGCCATAGCCAGACAAAAATACAACATTAGAATAAACAAGGTAGGCCGAATGACATTACAAGAGGAATGAACTGAGACTAATCGCATGTAACTTAAACTTGGTTCTTATTTAAGCATGTCACGGTGGTGAGTTGAGCTTTATACAAATTTTGGCCTGTATTAAGTGTTTTGGAGTTAGGTTGGATTAGGAAGCTAAAGTTTAGGTTATAATGAATCGAGATGTTGGTTTGTGTCACCTTAAGACTGTTTTTGTACAGTTAAAACCCTAGGAAAACACTTAGATACTAGCTTACGCATTTTTGATATTGATATTTTATTGTGTTATCCACTAAATTTAATTGTGCAAAAACTAACTTATGTCTAGAAGTAGCATAGGCTCAATTAATGAATCGGTTCATTACAACCTAACCTTAAACTTCCTAATCTAACTTCACTTCAAATCAATTAATACAGTCACGAATCCGCATAAAACCCGACCTACTTTCCCCACATGCCTAAATACGAGCTGATTATTTGTTTTAAAATCGAATTGATTTCATTCTGCATTAAGTCGAGTAGCCTATAAACAGTTGTTTGCTCTCCTCACTCAGTCCTCAGTCCACATATGGACCCGTCCAGACCACGCCATATTACCATCAATACCGTTCAATGAACCTTAGATTCGTAATTAACCTTCGTTTAGAGCCATCTTAGGAATCTCTCCGACAAAAACTGATTGCATTTTTGGATTCAGTGTGAAAAAAACTGTAAGTAGACATCAAAAAATTAAACGATATCGCGTTGTAGACATATTAAATAATTGCCCGGTAGGTTTACAAAAGTATAAACGGCCGTAGTTCTGTTAATATATATTTTTTTTAAGAGGTTGGCGGCCTCTTTTAATTTTGCATTTGCCCGTCCACATAGACTACAGATCTGTGCGTGGAACGTATCCAGCAAAGCAAGGGGTGAGCCGGTACAGTACAAAGGTGAACTGTGATGATAAAAGTTAGTGGCAGTGACCAGGATCCGAACCCACGATACTACTGCCTTGGGCCCGAAGTCCGCGATGCTACCGACTGAGCCACCGACTCACCACACTTTTCCATGTTTCAACCAATTCTATGTTAATTCACACATAGGTAGTTGGTGATGTTATTCGATAGATTTTCAGCTAAAAATCTGGTTTCTGTTGATATATATATGTTGGTATATAAATATAGCCTATACAGGTTCCCAAGGTCACATGAATCGCAACAATTACCCAATCTATTTTGTCCCTTAGTCAGTTCTTATCACAAATTTGGTTTTTCTTGTTTTTCTGGTCAAGATCTGCTATCACTGTTGTTTTTAACATACGATGCAATATTAAGGGTAGGCGTCTGTATCTGTTGGCACAAACAATCTTACCTAACTAACCAAACAATATGTCGAATGAAACAAACGAATAATCAATATTTTCATTCGGTTGTTTGTGCCAACAGATACGGAAGTCTACCCAGTATTAATATCAAACAGAATCAAAATAAATGTATAGTCGTTATACTTATCGTCTAAATGTATGTAATGTATGTAATGATATGTAACTTAATCCAATAAGTTTAATATATCACAGGTTCTCTGCGGAACTGTACCCACTAGTCGTAATCGTGCACCATGCGGCCAGAACATGACTCGACTAAACTTACTGACTTACAACGAATGCTATGCCAAGCATCAGTGTCAAGATGGATCTTGATAACTTAGTTATCGTGTACTTATTGCATTTGTAACCTAGGCTCGTTTAGCAAAGGAGAAAGCAAAAATCAATGCATGTGCCCAAGTTCGAGATCCTGAGGAAAATTAACATATTTGTGTTACCGGTTTGAGTTAGCCTATTCCTTAACTTTGTGAGTTTTAAGCTACACGAAAGCTGACTCTAATAACATGAAATGGTAAATTTGTGATGAAATCAGAGCCTGAAGAGAACTCCAATGCAGGAGCTGAAACTAACTTACTTATGATGTTGTTGTATAACTATTTTATTAGTTACCATTAAACATGAATTTAATAAACTTAGTTGCACTTAATTAGGCCTTGATTATTTCTTAGTAATTTAAAAATACACCACTTGTATTTTACCTGGATATCCTTGCTATTTTAACTAGGAACGTTGCAACACTTAAAAAGTATTTGAAAAATTATCTAAAAAAAGACATTCTAAGAAAAGAAAATGTTATGTAATTAATAACTAAATTTACCAAAATTATGTTGATAGGATGATAGAAATTCATTATGTATAGCAAATAGACGTCTGGGTTTTATTTATCTAGGTTGTCACTAAATCTTAAATGTCTTAAGCAAATGATTCCTTACTTAACTAACACTAAAAATTCTTTAACCTAAAACAGCAGACAGCAGAGCACAATAAATAACAACACACACACACACCGATTGAAGTTGTTAGAGAGGCAGAAGAGTGTTGTGTTGTGTGTGTGTGTGTGTGTGTGTGCGCTGCAGCTGCAAAAGCCAAAGCAGGACAGTGGAATAGTGGAATGATGGAAATGAGGTACTGCGATAAAGTGTGATTGGTTAGTGCGGAGTGGTGCGGCCTTGGATTGGTACAGATCATCATCGGACCGTTTCCATAATTCCATTCCGTTTCATCCATGACCTATCTCTTTCGTTTCATGTTTCTGTGGCTGTGGCTGTGTGGCTTTGCAATGCCATCTTGGTATACAAAGTTCTCTCTTCTTGATTCGTGCTGCACTCTAACGAAGCAATTTCTAACCATTTGCCCGAGTGCGGCAAGACGTTGCTCCCCCTCTCTCTCCGCTAAAATGGTGGCAAACGTGCTCGAAGTCAGTGTGTTTATGCCTGATTATTGTTAGTGCGTTACAATTTTTCTTGACGTGTTACAGTGTTAAAACTGTTTCAATTGAAGGTTCTTATAATACTTAATGTCATAGTATGTTAATGGTATGTGGAATAACTTTAATTCTCCCATAGTTTGAGGGAGAGACTGGAGGTGCTAGGAGGTGACCTCAGTGGGATCTGGGGAACAGGTAAGTTACTATAGATGTAATCATCTTACGCCATACATTTTATATTAGCCTTCTTCATCATAAATGCACAGTTATATTTCAACACTAAGTAAAAACATCACTTAAGTTAGTTTCATGGACTGATTCACCTTCATTTTGTCTTGACTTAAATTGAGATTTTATATTGTAAGGTCCTAAGTTAGATCCTCTGCAATTTGAGGAAAGAACAAAACACATTTTTACAGTTGTAATATACTAAAGCTCTATCGTAGATAAAAACATTGAGTTATTAATATGTAGTTATAGATAACAACACAAGAAATTAGGCTATGACTTAGCCCTATTAAGGAACCATCGATGGAAGGTGAATCTCAGAAGATTGCCTAACTTAGGCCTGCTGCAGTTGAAGTCAGCCTCCATGATAGTCTTTACGCTCCATTTAAAACTTAAGTACCCTACTTGTCTGGTATTACCCTTGAATCTCATGTGCATCTTACAGGTGTGTCTTACCAATATGATTAATTAACACTCATGAATTAGATTACGATTTTGGTTGAAATAAACCTGAGTTGCATTTTCTATGTAGATAGTTAACAGCAGGGGTCTCCAACCTAAGATCTGCAGGCCGCATTTGGCCCGTGAGCAGATTTTGTCCCGCCTACAGACTGCAAGTATAACTTTATGGGCTAACTGGATGAAATTTTTATCATACAAATACCAATGATATTCTCATGTGATCACGCAAATGCTCCACGTGTTCAGGTGCTCTCGGTGGTACTGTGATCATTTCCCAAGATCGCAACGATTCCAGCCACACTTGTTGCCATATCTCGCTTTTTCGGCAAAACCTTGATCATATCCTATGATTGAGACAACACTCTTGATCATATCACTCGGTCTCGGTGATTCTACGTGATCGTTTTCCATGATCACGGTAACACTAGTGACTGGTTATTGTGATTTCCTTAGGACTTTCTCCTAGGAAAAAAGAACTGATGGAATGCCGTCAATGAATGGAGGCTTGGCCGTAGGATATTGATTGAACTCTCCGCCTACCGTACATCTACATATAAATACCAGATTTATATGTAACTAGCAGAGTACCCGTCCTTCGTACGGGGTTGGAATATAAGTATAAAATGCTTATTGCAGTTATACTCAAGCTATTTGCGTTTGCAATAAGGGAGGACACAGTTTGATAAAATTTTGCTTTTTTTTAATTTGCAGTATTCTACACATCTACCATAGCCATAATGTTCTACCACTTCACCTAAACAATAGAGAAAAATAAATTATCAACAATTCGCAAAATATCACAAATTATTGATGAAATTAAAAACATTAACATAAACTGTAAACAATCCTACTTTGACAGTTCTTATTGCGAATCACAGTTTTTTGTTGCTGCTTAGTTCAAATTAGGTAGCTGTTTTCATAAATGCAAAAAAAAATATAGTGCTGCACCCTGTTGGTAAATCTAATAACTTTTTAATGCTTTTCCATATCATAGAACCAACTTTTTTAGTTGAAACAGCTGACTAAATTCTTTAATTCCCTTTAAATATGAATACTCATAAGGTTAACATGGGGAACTACAGAGCCACTGGGGCGGAGCCCGAAAGGATTTTTGAGATAAGAATATGCCTATATGTTAATCGGGAATGTAAGCTATCATCATGCCAAATTTCAGCCCAATCCGTCCAGTGGTTTATGCGTGATTGAACTTCAAACACACAAACACACAAACATTCACAATTCACATTTATAATATTAGTAAGATTCACTGCCTTTTCCCATTTATCGAAATTCACGCACAATGCCCGGTCTCCAGACCGGCTGCGACTACCGTTTTATGAGATTTCAAATTAATAATTCCAAATTCTTACTTAGGCTAAGTTACTTCTTGCGGATTTCTACAGCTCGAGCCGTCTCTCCGCCCCCAGTGTCCACAACTTTTTGTCGATGCAGTCACCAGACTTGAAGCCCCTCTCGTCGCCATGGCTTCCTGTATTTCCATATTCCAACTGCGTCTGGGTCATCCTCTCTTTTTCTTCCATGGGGGAACCCTTTCCAGAACTTGTCGTGGGAGTTGGCCCTCCTCCATACAATTTACATGGCCAAACTAGACTAACTGCCTCTTTTGCTCTTCATCTATGTCCCCGTCAACTTCCATTTCTCTTCTTATATATCTTAGTTTCTCTTTTCTGCCCAATATTGTATTTCTTAGCCAATTTCTGTAGCCAACAACTTTCCCATGTTCCTTTGCTTCAAATCCCCAACTTCTGACCCATACGGTACCACACTCTGCACCATTAACTTACACACTTATAAATTTTCTTCTTTGTTTCCTTTGAGACACACCTCTATCACTCCAAACTGAATTGAAAGTTTTTCTTATTTCCTCCCTCTGAATTCTTTCTGCCACTTCTTCACTGCTGCTCCCAGACCTATCAAACACTACTCCTAAATTTCCAGCTTTTCCGACGCCCTTGATATCCAACTTCTAACGGCAGATTTTCCGTTGTGTCGTTTCTGTCCATAGAGTTTGTTGCTATAAATTACTGTATTTCAATACCAATTACTTGATCATGCCAATCTGAGAACTTGAAATGGAGGTCTTTCAAAACTTTTTATCTGTCCTATAGTCTATCCCTCGTCGGGAGCAAGTTGGTCTAGTTGTAGAGAGCGGGTTTTTTACCAATTGCCAATAGTTTTTAGCCATGTTATTGTGTCCTTAGCCCTACCCTTAAGTCCTAGGCTGAAATAACATGTAAAACAGTCCCGGGCCAGAGCCCAGCGTCCTAAGATACAACTAAGGTAGGGCACAAGAAATCATCTAGGCCTATCGAATAGTGAGAAACTAAAAGAGAAATATCTTAGGAGTGATAATAGTAGGCCTATATTTCATCACTAGGGTATAAAATGACTTTTTCGACCCGGGCTCAAGTTTCACGACCAAAGCGAAGCCGAGAGTGGAAAATGAGCGCGGGTTACTTTTGGCCAATGTGATGAACTATGTTTGTCATCATTTTGCACCATTAATTAATCAAACTAAGTTAGAAAACGAAACTTGACATTTTAAGATAACCTCTCAAAACGACTTCCAATTTGTTTTCAGTTTTGGTCATTGCCAAAAAGCAGGTGTTTAGTAAAGTGATTCAATAATTTCATCGAATACGATTGTGATAGTGTATATCATAATACTATCGATATGTTGAAGTAGGCTAGGCCTACACGTTTTTTATTGTCAAGCATGCAACAATAAGCTATAGGCCTAACCGATGAAATCAATTGATACATAATTTCTATACATGTGATTGCTTACAATCAAAATTTACAACAGCTGATTTTTACTCTCTAGAGACTAACAAAGGCGTTTTACTCCCTAGAGAGTAAAAAAACTACCTACTTCAGACCTGCAACGCATGTATTAATAACTGTTACCGGTACTATTGCTGCAGTATGAGGAAAAATGATCATTCAACTACCTGTTCTTAGAGAATAAAACCTTCAGTATCTAATAGTCAATGGTAAAACCTAATGACAGCTGTCTCATCTGTATGCATAGATGGGATTTCTATTTCATCATCCAAATTTAATGTTGGAACTTATATATTATCAACTTACTATACACACACACTCACACAAACTGTTAATTATCTTGTAAACTCCTTAAGTAAAATGTAAATATTCAATAGCTGTTGCTGTACAGTACATCCATAGCTTAGGGCCTATATATAAAATTAGATGGACTTTTTTGTTTTTGAAAATTTTTGTAGGCTAATTAAAAGCCTAATGCCTAGCAGGATAGAAAATATTTGACCTGCAGATAATAATTTTTAAGCACCATAAAAGCTTCTAGGCAATTATAGTTTTTAGCAAATTTCCCTATTGGGGAAGTAGCTATTACCGTAGGTCTCTTGGTAAGAATTGAGCCCGAACCGATTTACTTTTTCATTTTGATGTCCTCAGAAGCCAAAAACACTATTCGATCAAATTTGTATTTATTTGTGTATATACCGGGTGTCCAAACTAAGTCTTGGTCTGATTTAATAGCTTTACTGTGCAAAAGCCATACTTAACTTGTATAGCTTGTTTTAAAGGGAAATGAAGTTTTATTTAACTAAGTTGGTACATAGATAAAACATACGCCGTTAATAGATTTCTCATCCTATGGAACAGCTGAAGACAATTTTATTGTTAGTTCTGTACGGTTTATGTAGAGGTCGTGTTTTGTTTACAATTTGTTTCCCGTTATTACAGTCATTTAAAACCTCGTTCAACCAAATAATACGATCTGATCTAATCATAAACAATAACTTGTCCCCTAGTTTGAACATCAATGCACAAATTAAATAATTAACCCTAAAATAATAGAAACAAAATTTCGGCGACACTAGCGCCCAGTGTCACCGTACATGAACTAGACACGAAAAACGTGCTTCAAAATTTACAACGGGATGAGAAGTCTACTTGTGTTGGTTAGTCTATGGTTGGTAATACCTAAACACAGCTGATTGACAAGAATACAGTAATGAGTCAATACAATAATAAATCAGAAATGGTGAGTTTACAAGAGAAATCACAGTGTGTTTTGTTGTTTCATGAAACCCAATCCCCTATTCAACGACCTTCCATTTAAGTGGGAAGGTTAACTGACACGATTCTATAATATGGGGGAGTAAAAATCCCAGGATTGTGATTGAAAATCAAAGGGACAGTTTAAAACTAAATGTTTGGCATCGTATTATTATGCATGATGGAATCATTGAACCATTTTTCTTTGCTGAAGAAAATGTGAATAGGTTTGTTTACTTGGATATGTTGGAGTTCTTTGTAGTCCCTCATCTAGAATAACTGCAACCTATGATAATTTTCCAGCAAGACGGCGCCCCAACTCATTGGGCTAAATGTGTGAGGGATTATTTAAATCTCCACTTCCCCGGTCACAGGATCGAACTAACGACCGGCCCCACGAAATGACCACCTCATTCCCTCGATGTTACCCTCATGGATATATTTTGTGGGAATCTGTCAAGGACACTGTCTAATAGACAGTGTCCTAATATATAGTGTCTATTCTTCCCCGGTTCCTAATTTACTAACAATATGGGAGAGAATCAGAAATGCTGTAAGGCGTCTGTAACCCAAGATATGCTGACTAAAACCTGGGACAAACTGAAACAAGACTACTTGTTTGACCTCATTAATGTAAAACAGTCCAGCAGTCCTGAAGACTTGAATGTAGGTAACAGTAGGGGGAGGGGGAGACAGTCACCCCTTTCCCCAGCGAAGGTACCAACTATGTAAGAAAGGGCCATGTGGCCATAACTTTGCCTGTGTAATAAATGATTTTTCATTTCAACTATATTTTTTTTTGCGTCAACAGATGAGGGAGTGAGAGGGAGCTCCCTCGTCTGAGAGTCATTTCCTCCCCTCTGAAACACTGTCACCTCTGACTGCTCGCCAAGCAAGCCCTCCGTGCTTCCCTCGATCAAAGAGTCCATAAAAATATTTGCCATCGAATCGTGCCGCAAGGAGTGGGCCCGCCCGGAATAACCAGGAACGGGTGTACGCTCAGGGACATAATCCCTACCCCCATTTGCCTTGTACCAGAAATCATGACGTACCAGGGGTGTCTGTCAATGCAGAGCTCGACCTCTGCACCCATGCCACACTCTCTGATTAGAGTCGGAGGGGCTGGTCCCTGACAATGCATCAAAGAGTTCCCATTGGCAGTGCGAGGCACAAATCAGCCCTTTTGCACAGGTAGGTCACTCTCAAAGCTCAATCGTTGAAAAAAGAAGAATATAAAGAAAGACAAAAGATTTTGAGTGCTAAGCCAAAGATAAGAAGGAAACTTGGCCTCAGAGAAAGTTGGGGGGCATGAAGAGAAGGGTCTCCTGTTAGTCACCTCTTACGACAAGACAGGGTAAACACTGAATAATGGTTCATTTTTCACAGATTTTAAAATTGCTCCTAGGCTACCACCATTGACTATTGGGTACTGAAGTAGACATCCCATCTATATGTACCAGCTGTCGCCAATTTTCATCTAAAAAGAACTTAGTTGTATAATGAGTCAGTCACAGAATCTGCTAGTGTCTAAAACTTCTATTTTCCACCTTTTTTGTTGTTGGTGTAGTTGATGGGTCATAACAGTTGCTATAGTTCACAATAAGTCGTTCCATCAGCTTTACTTGGTAAAAAAGTTTGTGTAGGCTATTCAATAGAAATTAGTAAGTTAGATCAACACAATCTGTCAGTGGCTCATATGAACTACAACTATTTTGATTAAAAAAACTGTTGACAACTTTAATGGGGGGATGAGATGTCTAGTTGTGTCAATAGTCAAAGCTACCACGGTAAAAGTAGATTTTCCAATCTCGGTCTTGGGGAATTTAAATGGGTAGGCCTCTATACCAAATATTGTACAGCTGTGAGCACATTAAAAGCCTTCCCCCACCACACCATTGCTTTTTTTTCAGTTTACTAAAGAAATGCTGATGGATCTCAATTAAAACACATATTCAGGGTAGGGAGGAGTGACGGGATAATTTTTCGGACTCTTGCACACAATCATTACTAGCAGACATTTCAGATGAGTTGCAGCAATATATCTTTGGACCAAGCTACAATTTAACTTCATTTGTCATCTGTGAAATTTACTCACTGGAATTATAAAAATTAATTGTTTTTTCAGGTCACCACAATGCGGGCCAGGCCCAGCTCTAGTTCGCGATCCGGCAAATCAAGCCGCACAAATGGAAAGTCCCACAGCTCTGGTTCAAGGATCAACAGAAACAAAAGTACTGACAAGAAGAACCTGCCTGACTTGTCAGTGCTGCGACAGCCGGTTGTGACCAGCGTGAATGGACTAAGACAGGCAGTGAAGGTGTTTGAAACTGGCACTCCAGAGGTAATAACTCAACTTATACATTCATAAGTTTCTTTGTTACAAAGCAAGAATAGAAGAAAAATGTTTTAGTGAATTTCCCATATAGGGAAAAAGCTAATGGTATAGGCCTCATGGTAATACCTAGATGTCCCCAGAGGTCAAAAACAAAATTTGTTTAAATTCTTATAGTACATAACTTCATAGCACGACAACTCGAGTTATCAATGATCCGATTTTGATGGCATTTAGTACAAACGTGTAAACCTACTTTTATTTGTACGAGTTTGTGAATCAGCATGCTCGTACTATAGGAGCATGACAGAAAGGGGAGTTTTAAGTTGTAAAATCGGTTTTCCCATTCTTTACCCCATAACATAAAGTTTTGAATTTTTTTTCTTACTATTTTGTAGTGCTTAAAAACAAATAATGTTTAGGGATATATTTTGATCAAAATTTTTTTTATTTAATGCTAAACTATTAAAATTTCACTAAAAAAACATACTTTTTCACCGTCCCTGTAGCAGCAGACCTAAATAGCCCACTCATTAAAATTAATTTATTAATGTTATTAAATAGTTAAAATTTACATTTTTAAGGAAATATTTTAGTGAAAATGCTGTACAATCAGATAAATGGATATTAGGTTATTCTGCAGGTTTGCTGCGGCAAGGTATGATATATTTTTTACTTAATGACTTTTCTGGTGAAAATTTCGTTCTCCTTAGTAGGTCTTATGGCTTGTACCGACCCGAATCTTTATCTTAATTACAATTTTGTTTTTTAAAGAACATTAAAAAGCGTAGTTAAAATTAATTTTGTCTTAATATTTCAGTTCTGATTGTAACTTTTATGTTTGAAGTAAATACATAAATTGATAGGTAAATTAGTTTAATAAAATAGAACTGAACTTATTCATGAGTCAAAAACTAGAAACAAAAACAATAATAAAAACAAGTTAAAAGTCAGCTGCAATTTAAACAATGTTAAAACATATCAGTAACCAATCACCATATTACCTTCGGGAACATAAATACCTATCTCCTTCATATTTTGTGTAATGATTCCGTACCAATTAATTGATTGACAAATAAAAGGTTAAAATACCTGATTGTCGCCTTGTGGTCGAAAGTATTTGTCCTTAATACTTTTGACCACAAGGCGAAAATCAGGTATTTTAACCTTTTATTTATTTCCTCCAATTGTGAATTGGAAACTAAGTTATCTCAACCTTTGTTGAATTATACTAATTTAGTTTAGAATTAACTGTAAGAGAAGTTACAGTGTTAAATAAACCTGGACAATAACTACAGCATTAATGAAACAGAGTTAACTTTTTGCCTTTTAATGTTAATGTTTATCACAACCACACCTCTCTAGCATCATAAAAGTTGGTGTTACCCCAAACCAACTGTTTCAATTGTTGCTGAAATAAATCATTTAATTGTTGTTATTGGTGCAAGTCAATGTGCCACAAATTAATTGACCAATGTGGAAATAACAATGGGAAATTATGTGATGTGTTGTGGGTGTGTAGGCCTACTGTGTAATGTGTAGTGGTGGTGCTAGAGACAGCTGTGTTGTGTAGGCTCCTTGGATCTGACCCCCCCCCCTCTCATGCCTACTGTATGCTCAGAAAACATCTGCTAGTACAGTACAGTACAGTCTGTGCTGTAAACATCGGTTGTTTGGCTACAGGCTATGTTGCAATATAGGTTATTGCTGACTGTAGGAAATGTATATTTTAGAACAAATTACATTGCTACATATAAATTAAAATTCTGTATTACTAATGTCAATACAGGTACTCAGGTACCAAAGAATTAGTGGTCGAATAATTATTCTTGAGGTAAATTTATTAATTGTTTTCAATCTACACTAGAGGACCTATGCTGCCCCGCAGCGTTGAAATAAATATCTTATTCGAGAAATAAATCTATGATTTTTGATTGAGTAATACAGTACCGTATCTTGAACTTAACTGATTCAAACGATCAATAGCTCAAATTAAAGCCTATAATTTACTGATTATTATGAGTCTAAAATTTATAAAAACATAAACAATACTGGAGCTATTGATTTTTAATCATAGACAAAATTTATAAAAAATAGTTTGGTTGTTTACCTTGCGTTTGCTTGAAACTCGTCCGATTTGAATAACTAATAGCTTAAATAAAAGCCGGTATTTAACTGAAGTTTCTTAGACCAAAATATATAGGATTATTTCATTATAGCTGGTGAAATACATCTTAAATTGATGTGAGAATTAGAAAATAAATCAAATTTTTTTATTTTTTTTGGAGTAACAGTAGAGAAAAATATTTCGATGCTTGATGTGAAATCTGTGCGTGCATACCTTCAATTTGAGACCTCAGTCATGAAAATCGGTGGGGTAGAGGAGCCAAACAAACTCGGAAAAGAAAAACCAAATTTAACTCCCATATGAAATACATGGGGAGAAAATTTTGTTTACGTATAAGTCGAGTGGGATTGTAGATAAATATATGCCGATGCTTGATGTGAAACCTGTGTGTGCATATCTTCAATTTGAGACCTCAATCATGAAAATCGATCTGGCAAAAGAACCAAACGAACTCGGAGAAGAAAAACCAAATTTTTAAAATGTAAAGATGGTTAACATTTTTAATGATATGATGCAATATGACCGTAAATATTCATCCTATAATTAAATCACCATAACCTTAGTAACTTAACTTTAAACGGTGTGTTTTAGGTCTACAATCAGTTTTTCCTTATCTTAAGGTCAGAATGTTATTTTATTTCCTATAGCCTACAAAAATATTTTTCAAAAATGTTGAGTCATTGATTTTAGTTGTCAACAAGTTTTCAATAAAATACTTCAGTACCTAAAATGTCATTACACAATTTTTAAAACTAGCTGGGATGGGTTTGTGTTTGCACAAAAAAAGTTTTAGCTTAATTTTACAAATAGGTTCTTTGAAATAATTTAAAACTATAATAATAATTTGTATTTTATCCTATCCTAAACTATAATACAAGAATAGTATAATTCAATATTATTCAATATAATACGAGCTAAGTCTGTTTGTCTGTAACACATATCTCAAAATCCAGCAGAAGGATTTTCACAAGATTTTGGAATTAGGGACTTATAGCCATAAAAACATGATTGGTGACAGCCACTACCTTAGGAAAATTTGTATTTCGCTACACAACTCATTTCAAAATTTAACATTGGCCTTATGGGTTGCTAAGTAGCTATGATGGTTGAACAAATTAACAAGGAAAAAGTAAACAAAATACTTTTAACATGTGTTTACAACAAGACATCCACGGTAACTAGCTAATTACAAATGGTTCGGTCCCCCGGTACTAAAATATAAATATTTAATGACCACCAGTTATTAAATTTGCTTTTTAACCAGTTTCTCTGAGCGTACCCAGACACTGATATGTTTTGTCTCCTCAGCACTTTAACGACCCAGTTACAGAGCTTATGCTACAAATTCTTAATGCTACTCTGTTATGGTAGATTACTTTACTCAATATAGTGGTTTCTTTACAATTCCATATGTGTGAGATATAACAAACTTGCACAACCCGTTATGTTAGTTCGCCTAATTAATAGTGTAAATTTGAAAAGTATTCATCTGTTGTAAATACATATTTTCTGATCAAATAAAAGGATTACCTTATCCAACCACAGTTGCTGGTACAACTAGTTTTATTCGTTAGAACTTGGTCAGGTCATTGTATGCAGCCACATCATCAATGTTTTTTGTCCTAGGACGCTAGGCACGAGCCTGGGATTGTTTGTCACGTTACTTCAGGCTAGACCTAGGGGTTGAGTCATTATCACTTAGATAAAATCCAATGGTGATTTGGCAGGATTTGAACCCGAGACCTCACGGACTGAAGTCCCGCGCTCTAACCACTACACCGGTTCGCTCCCCATTAATACATCATCAATGTATTAATACATTGTGGTATGTCAAAAGAATCTTTAAAATATTGTCAAGATCACAATAGTCAAAACTAGTGATGTTGATCAAATTATGAAAATGGAATAAAAAGTGATAAAACTGGTTAAAACTGTAAAGGCGCTAGCCAGCACTGTCTTATCACTGTCACTGATTAAATATAACAACTAAACTAAGGAATGATCCTAGTTGTCATACCAGCAACTGTGGTTGGATGAGGTAATCCTTTTATTTTATCAATAATATATTCCAAACAAGGATCACAATGAATAACACATTTTCTCCATAAAGATAACATCATGAGTCATGAGAACTTTCAAGGCCACTGGGACATAGCCCTGATGGAATTTATTGAAAACACGTCTTATTGCACATTTGGAGCTTAAGAGTCCTTGGAGTCAGGCAGCCATCTTGGATAGTAAAATATCCTCTGCTGCGAGTTATTTATCATCCCTAAATATTTTTTCAAATACCAAAGTGATTGTAATTTAAATATGTTTCATAGTAAGATTAAAAATATCTTTTTATGGGTTTGTTATTGTTTGTGTTAACACAACTAGGCTCCAAGGAATATTCAGTGAAACCTCCATACAAATTCCTGGCTTCTTACGGTTTGTATTTTTTAAGATACTAAAAAGTTACTAATTACTAAGTTTTCAGTTACTAAAAACAGCCAGTTTATGGTATTTGCCTTTTACAAGTATAGATTTGGTGATCACCATTCATATAATAATAATATATTTAATTAGTTATTTAATATTATTTAATTATATTTATAACAAATTTAGCTATTTAATTATTTGATAGTTCTAAGCAATTCTAAAGCTACTATGAATGGTTTAGTGCCTGATGTACTATATATTAGGTGAGAATGCCCAGCTGTAGTCTATTGATCTATCCAGTTGAACTTCCACTACTACTGACCCTGTAATTTTTATTCCCAACTTTCCATGACTATCTGGGATTGTTTTACCATTGACTATTGGATACTTATATATTGTATATTGTTATATATTGTATATATATTGTATATATATATATATATATATACAATATATAACAGGCAACAGCTGTTTCATATAGATTGTATATGGAACCACTGTCGCCAATTTTTTATTAAAATACCCCTACCACAGCAAACCTGCAGACTTTCAATCATATTCAATCAATAATGCAAGTACGACTTCTACATAATGATTATATAATTATTCCAAATAAAACACTTCATTTTGTTTTAGGGATTACCCGTTTTAACGGACCTTTTGAGCTATCCAACCTTGGTCCGGTCCCATTAGGGTCGGTTAAGTCTACTGTATATTATTTTTTAAATATTATACATACTAGCAAAGTACCCGTCCTTCGTACGGGGTTGGCATATAAGTTTAAAATGCTTATTGCAGTTATACTCAAGCTTTGCGTTTGCAATGGGGGAGGACAAAGTTTGATAAAATTTGCTTCTTTAAATTGACGGTATAGGCCTACTATGGTATTACACATCTACCATAGCCATAATGTTCTACCACTTCACCTAAACAATAAAGAAAAATAAATTATTGCAAATTCACAAAAAATAAATACAAATTATTCATGACATTAAAAACATAAACATAACTGTAAACAATCCTACTTTGACAGTTCTCAATGTGTATCACAGTTTTTTTATGCTTCTTAGTTCAAATTAGCTGTATACATAAATGTGAAAACAATTATAGTGCTGCACCCTGTTGGTAAATCTTATAACTTTTTAATTCTTTTGTATATCATAGAACCAACTTTTTTAGTTTAAACAGCTGACTAAATTCTTTAATTCCCTTTAAATATGACTACTCATAAGATTAAAATGGGGAACTACTGAGCCACTGGGGCAGAGCTCGAAAGGATTTTTGAGATAAGAATATGCCTATACTGTATGTTAATCGGGAATGTGAGCTATCATCATGCCAAATTTCAGCCCAATCCGTCCAGTGGTTATGCGTGATTGAACTTCAAACAAACAAACAGACACACAAACTTTCACATTTATAATATCTATATCTATAAAAGAGGAACTATGTATGTATATATATGTGTATATACGTTATGGACTCCGAAACCGCTCGACAGATTGTAATGAAACTTTCAGGCATTATTAAGCATCTTTCAAGGATGGTTCGAGTGAAGTTTGGTGCAGATCCATCAAAAGGGCTCTGCCCCAGAGGGTTTTAAGTGGGCCAATGTCAGACTTTTTGATCTAGAATGTTTACAAATAAATATAATTTAAAAGCAGATGTTTACTTTCACCAACTGTTTTGTACGTTTGAATAACTACAACATTCTGTATTAGCTTTAGTCATGATTTGAAATAGTGCCACAGTGTTTCTACAGATTGCAGCACAGAAAACTATTTTACTTTTAAATAAGTCCAAATGTATTAAACCCCAATCGCAGCACACCTGTGCACTTAACAACGTTTAAATTCTCCAATGTTAAATATTAAAACATAAAAACCTTTATAAAAGTACTGTATTATAAACAATAAAAGGGATGACTTTTTTAAATGTATGACAGCATGTTATGAACAGCTAATTTGCAACCAAAAGGCGAGTGAGCGTAGCGAACGAACATCAACCTGGAGGCGAGTAAGCGTAGCGAACGAGCTAACCTGAAAACAAGTTAGCGCAGCGAACGATTTCCAACCTGAAGGTGAGTGAGCGTAGCGAACAAACTTCAACCGGGACGTGATTGAGCCATGCGAATACTTATGAAGTTAAACGGGGCAAAGCCCGTGGGTACAGCTAGTTATATATATTATAGTAAGATTAAAAAATTTGAACAAATAATGTTTTTGGCCTCTATAGATATCAAAATGAAAAATTACATCGGTCTCGGGTCTAGGTCTTCCTGTGCCACCTAAGGTAATAGCTACTTATTCCCTATATATTAACTCTTACAAGGCGCTCAAACTCGATGTAGAATAATATGATTGAGATGCATTAATTCTTTTCAAAAACAGTTGTTAGGCTTGGTGAATGTTTGTTAAGTATTCAAAATATCTTAAACACATAATTATCATGATTATCTTATTGATTTTTTATGGTTCCAATATTCTTGTCCTATTTTAAAATCTGAGGTTTGATATGTATTAACCTATGGTTGAGGTTAATACATATGTGTAGTTGAGGCTGCTGATGTCAACTAAATAGTTGTTTTTCTTTTCTTATTTAAGGGTAATATTTTGAAGATGGATTGAATTTGGGTTAAATTAAAAATATAGTAAAATAAAGGGTTAATATCAAAACACGCTAGATAAACCGTAAGGTAAGGTACGTAGATAAGGTATAACATACCTTATACCTGTCTTCAGCTGATCCTTCACCAATAAAAAAAATTATAATTTAACCAAATTAAATATTTTCCTTTCTCCCTTTTAGGTGCTGGATCTATTGAGCTACGATTGTGATGTGGTTTACGAATGCAAAGTTTGCCGCAACTTGTTCCGCAGTTTGGCCAACTTCATCTCACACAAGAGAGTGTACTGTACGCAGAGGTACAGTCAGTCCCAAGACCTGCAGCGGGCCAACAAACAGGTAATATACTGTTGTGTTGTGGTCGGACATTGTGTGAATAAAAACCACTCTTTTCAAGAGCATTCCTCAGCACTTATTCTGTATTGCGTGGCGCAGTTTCCTGAGAATTTCACAAAAACATCTTCATTGACTGTAGCCCCGCAGCAAAAAATCAATGAGCCAAATTTCTTTAGGTTCCAGAAAAAGGTGCTCATCACCATTCAAAATGTCACAATTTGCTTTGGTTTGACTATTGCCTGGGACATAAAATGCCTCTATTCCATTGGTTTCTGGAGTATCATAAGCAACCCACATTTCATCTCCCAATACTATCTGCAAAAAAAATGTATCGCCATCCTCGTCATAATAAATCTAGAAGTCAAATGCACTTTCCATTCTGCGGTTTTTGTGCTGTTCAGAAAGGGTTTTAGTCACCCAACGTGCGCAAAGTTTACGAAAATCCAGTTTTTCAGTTACGATCTTGTAAATTACTGCTTGTGATTTGTGAAACTTGTGGAAATTGCAAGAGCACTTAGCGTAAACTTGCTGTTGTCATTAATCTTCTTATCAACTGCATAAATCAGTTCATCGTTCACCATAGATGGACATCCACTTCGTTCCTCATAATGGACTGTATCTCGCGTTTCTTTGAACTGCCGAACCAATCTTCTTACCATTGAATCACTTATCTTATTTTCTGCATAAACCTCACAGATTTGTCGGTAAATGACAGTTGCTTTAATAATTTTTGCATTTGGAAAACGAATCATCGATCAAATTTCACAATATGCGCTTGACAAATAAGCGCTTCATAGTGCACTACAACAATAGCGAGTTCAAAATGGTGTCATTTCCTTCTGGTTGCCATGGAGTAACTGCCAAGCATGCTTGAATTGCGATCACAGCGCCACCACAAAGATTAGTGGGAACGGAACATAATTTCTAAACGTACCTCATAATATCAAAAATACACCATAAAATACAGACATTGTTCTTAATATCCGGTAGTTCTTAAGATTCTTCTTGGCAAGTCTTTAATTGTAATACTTCCCTATAGGGCGATGATGCAAATATCATCATCGGTGAGAAGCCCGCGGAAAAGCTGCCGACAAGGATCACAGCTCGGAGAGACCTAACATCCATTGTGGAGGCGCTCGGTGGTCAGAAGACGAGCTCGGAAGTGAACGGCCTCAATCCCACGGTACACCTAGAGCCGATGGAGAACACATCTTACGGAGTCTTCCAGACTGTACTGAAGAAAGCTGATGGACAGGACCTTATGAGGAACCAGGTATAAACAGATGTTGTAATTTGTGTTTCATGACCGTTAGCTTTAACTGTGCTCATATGAAAATTGCATGTTTCTCCCTTACTTAGCATTTTACAATGAGTGTGTTGTACTAAAAGACAACCAGTAGTATACACAAAGATTGTTGTGCTTAGTTAAACAAGTTTTAGTAATTATTAAAAAACAACAAAATAACAGTTAAAAACAAAAGGACACAACCTTAAAACTGTCTTTTGCTGATTCATGGTGATTATAAATTTATTAGGGAGCAAATTTTTATAATTTAACTTACTTGGAAAAAGGTCTCAAATTTTCTTTCTGCAAGATAAATGTTATTCATTGTCATTTATCTGTAGTCAAGGGTTGTTCTTAAGAAAAAGTTGCCTGGATTTTATGGTTTGAAACAAGATTTTGTTAGGCTGCCCATTTTATCAACACTTGGGATTGCAAATTATATGGACCAAAATAATAAGGGTTATTCACTTCATGCTATTCATACTTATTTAAGCCATTAAACTTTCATTAAAAAAAATAATGGTTAATAGATTCCTTACAGCAGAAAACCCAAGTAAACTCAATAAACCTAATGTTATTAAAATAAGGAATAAATATGATATTTTTATGGAAATATTTTAATGAAAATCAAATCAGACATTTCGATATTTGCTTAGTCTGCAGGTTGCTGCAGCAGGGGTATATAATTTTGCGATGCAAGTTTTTCTTTGCCATATTTATTTCTTTGAGGCTCTAGAATTTATCTTTTCTATTAGTAGTCTCCCCTAAGTCCATTTGGATTAGAAGATGTTTTATAATATATCACCCAGTGAGAATTAAAAATCTATTTACACCTCTGCTTAATAATTGTACTGCAAACGAATCGTTTACTAGTTTTTTCTTTTCCAACCTCCATTACTACAATCACATTTCTTATCTTGGAGCTTATCAGTGGTGTACTCAACCCACAACTAAAATTCTTCTGTATGCCTACTGAAGCCATTGTTGTACGAGATACAATGTTTTAATTATGGTTCTATAGATAGAATATAATCAATGAGGTTTCTAAGGTGCATACAATTTCATCGTTAATTTTGTATGGATTTAGTTTCCAAAATAAAATATTTTTTCTTTTCTTTGTTTAGTCGCCAAATAAAAACCATTTGATTAATTTTTTTTATCCATCCAGTTTTTAAATCCACTTAAACTCTAAAAGGTTCAATGAAGGGCCTTACCTAAAGTTTGCCTCTACCTCATCATGTCTTTCATCATTTCGAATTATTCCCATCTTCTGTCTCCGCCAAGTCCCTCCATTGCAGTCTTTCTTGGTCACCCCAAAAATCTCCTTTTGGCCGGGCTTTACTCCATTATTTGATATATTTTTCTTCTTTAAAATATTCCTACTTCTAGTAGTAAAATTATTAAGTTGATCATGAACCTGAAGCTTTTAGCATAATTAACAAGAGGTTGCTGTACTGATTCCCAATAATATATTAGGGATTGGTAAATTTATATAGGAGATAAATTTGTGAAAAGTAAATTTATGGTTTTAAATTTTAGTCATTATAGAATAAACTGGTAACTTCGGTCGTGTAAAAATACTGTGTTTACTCATGCACAGTTAATCAGTTGTTTCAATTTAGTTTTATTATTTTCCTCAGTCTTCTCAAGGGACACTGGAATTTTCAGGTTCAGGAGCTACAAAACTTGCTTTCCAAAAATGAAGTAGTTCTTGGGCCTGATGGACGTGTTTTACAAAATGGGCTTTCAGATTTGCACCAAGCAGAGGTGGAACAGGATCAGGGAAGTGATCTCATGTGTACAGATTGTAAGTAACATTTATCTTAAGTTTATGGATTTGTAAATAAAATCTACCTTTAGCTTTATGGATTTTTTTTTATTTATTTATTTATTTATTTATTTTTTTTTTTGAGCTGTGGTACGCTGTTAAGAAGCTTAACTTTTTGCTCTCCTAAAGACTATGTATCGGTTGTAAAGCTTTAACTCACAGTCTTTTGCATTGTAGCTTGTACCAGTTTTACATTTGTTTTCCCTGTCGCTCAAAAGGTAGTTTCTACTGCCAACATAAAAACTCAAACAGTTTTTGTTTGAAAGCAAGTTTTATTAAAAGTAACAACCAATTAAAGATTTATTTTACCTCTCACTGACTTTGATCCCGTTATAGATTTAATCAACTACAGCCGTTTTGTGTTACGTACAATCTTGCACCCCTTTAGGCTAGGTATATTACAAGATTCAATTTACCAGCAGCCTGCATCACTTTGTGACTTCAAAATGCGTGACATATTTGATATATAGTTATCCCTAATAAAAATAATATCCCTATTAGAGTACAGTATTTGCATCGCGAGCCCTATTATTTTTATTGTGTGCGCGATCTCTTCGAGGCATCTTAGAAAAATTACAAATACTAATAAAAACATACAAAGAAAACAGAAAATCTAACCTAAGTCATTTTCTTCTTTACTTTTTACACAAATAACATTAAAATATTTTACTTGAATTCCCTAAAACATCAATAAAACATACAATGAAAACACAAAATCCTCTCACAACACAATATTTAGCGTAAGCGATTTTCTTCTTTACATTTTATACAAATTAATATTACAACATTTTACTTGAATTCACTGAAACATCACCAACTTCAGATAACCCCATTTTCGTATGGATGTAAACAAAATTGTATCATGACCATCTGTTGTGATGTAAAGAAATGTAAACTTTAAAAAGTTCAGATAACAACAGAATTCTGCACAAACTATGACATTTTAAAAGTCTATAGGACGACGGGCTTTCACGAGATATCATCCAAACCTGCAAAAGGCACATACTAGAGGATAAGAACTTTAAATTGATACCGAATATGCCTAAAAAAAAAAAATATTTAGGGGTTGATTTGCTGTACACATAAATTCAACAAGTTCTTTTAATAATACAGATTATTATATTCAACATAGACTTGGACTGTCGCGTCGTCCTATAATCTAGCTACTAGGAGGTCACGAATTGTGGATATTTATAGGCATGCACTGTGGATGGAATACTCCCTGGTGTGGATTAACGTCCGCACAAGTGAGTACTACGACTATCCGCATTACTATCCTGATAATTAGACCAGTTTTTTGATAACAAGGCGAAATTGTGGTTCGTATTCCACCATAAAATATAGGTCCCTTAGTTGCCAGTGGCTGTATGGGCTATTAATTAACAGCTGTGTCTAAGGAATATGTCGTCCTTAGTCACTAACAAGACTACAAGAACACGCCACTCATCCTACACTCATCTCCACTTGGCTTAAAATACCTACTTCCGTATGGTCGCCATTTCAATGAAAAGTATTACAAGTATTACTAAATAAAAGCAATTGGTTGTGGTTGATATTCTACGTAGTTTTGTAACCGGTTTTTGTCTCACAGGTAACATCAAGTTTTCTAATCGCAAAACATTGACAAAACACAAGAGACACTTCCATGAACTAATCAGAATAAGTTATTCTTGCCCTTGCTGCAAGAACTATTTCGCAAATCCCTGGGGTGTTTACAGACATTTGTACAAAGGTAAGTGAAACCTTCAATCTTTACAATTGTTCAACATAACACTTTTCTATGTTGTGGGTGATGTGTCGATATCAAAATGCATCAATTCTCGATACTGATACCTAAAACTTAATTTTTGATAATGATAGGCTATTTTTTTTTTTAGTGATAGGCTACCAAAATAATTTCTGTATGGATTCAAGATTCAAGATCTTTATTTGTCATTAAGCAATACAAGTATTACAATAGACATCGTCAAAGTTGTTTTTTTTTTTTTTATAATACATACAGTTATTTCCTGTTAAGCTGGGTTTTCCTAGACGCGGAGTCGGCCAGCGGACAACGGAGAGCGGACTCAGCTTGTCTTAGGTAATTTAATGTTACTGTTTTCCTAGCAGCGGAGCGGAATGCCATGTTAATTTCAATTCCGCTCTCCGTTGTCCGCTCTCCGCTGGCCGACTCCGCGTCTAGGAAAACCCAGCTTTAGAGTAGGCCTAATAGCAAGAATGCACCAAGTGAGTAGCAATCACTCTTTAAAATATAACAGTTAAACATAATTAACTGGATTGGTTATAGCACACTGACCATTGTCTTTATGTCTTTCCATAAAGTAATTTTGGAGTAATGGTGTTTTTTTTTAGGTAAAAATATGAATTCAGCGATTTAAGTTTTTATTTGGAGATAGGCCTTTGGACATAGCTTCTAGATCGTTATTAAACATTAATTATTATCGAACATCGAAAGTTTTTAACTAGCCAATTTAAGTTTAACCTTTGACTTTTAATACAACTTCAATATCCAATAGTCAATGGTTCAAACCCTTCTAAATACTTGAAATAAATACCATGTCAAAGATGAAGATATTAAAAAAATTACCACTTTCTAGAGGTGTTTGAGATATCTTTGAGATATATCACTTGCCAGCTTGAGATATCGATCTAGCCAAACTCGAGGTAATATTTTGAACATCTCCGTGATCACTATGAAATCCTGAATTTCTTTCTTAGTCATGGAAACATCATCACTTTTAAAGATTGAATATCATTTCATTATGAGTATTCAGCTTTAATTTGAGCTCTTACGACGGTGGTGTTGTCCAGTAATTCAGCTACTAGGAGGTCACGAATTGTGGATATTTATTTATAGGCAAACACTGTGGATGCGATGCTCCCTGGTGTGGATTAACGTCCGCACTAGTGAGTAATATGACTGTCTACAGTACTATCCTGATAATTAAACCAATTTGTTAATTACAAGGAAATATGTGGTTTCGGATTCCACTGTAAATGAAGGACCCTTAGTTACCATTGGCTGTATGGGCTCTTAGTTAACAGCTATGTATTCTACACTTATCCTTCACCCATATTCGGGTTAAAATACGCACTTAGTGGTTCCCCCCATCTAAAATAATTTATATAATCTTACTATTGGCAAACGATTAACCATTGTAGTGAAACTAAAACATCAATTTTTAAACAACTAAGAATATTGAACTAATATTCCAATCTTTAAAAACATCCTCTCTTTATTCAATTTGTTTATTAGTCCACAGAAAGACGAGTGAGCAAGTAAGAAGACTTCGATCTCAGATACACAAAAAAGAGTTTAAAATTGAAAAACCTGCCATTGCTACAAATAATGGAAGTAAAAAGTCTGCCTCCCCGAACAGTAAAAAGAAGGCTGAGCAGGAGCAACAGCAAAAGGTTCTTCAGCACAATAAGGTAACTCTTTAATAACACTACTGATAAATCACTTAGCCTAATGTCTTTGTCAATGCCAGATATTATAATGGATATGATTAAGTCAATATCACTTGTTTGTACTGTCACCTATTCCGTGCTTAACACGAGCGAGTTTTACTTTGGTCTGTGTGATGAAACTTGTCTTATTTAAAGCACAATTGAAAATGTAGGGTACGGTAAGAATCAAAAGATTAACTTAGAAAAAAATAAACAAACAATTATAAATAAAAAAGAGACGACACATATTTTTAGTCATTTTTGTCATACTGCATTAAAAAAGCGGTTTTTAATGCATGCGTTGCGGGTCTAAAGTAGCATTTTTACTCTCTAGGGAGTAAAAATTTGTTTATATCCCTTATGGATTACAAACCAGCTGTTGTCAACTCAGTTGTAATCTTTGACTGTAAACAATTGCATGTATTAAAAGTATGTATCAATTGTAGGTAAATGTTGCCTTATTGTAAACAGTTTGACATATCGATAGTACAGTGTACACCAATACACTAACACAATCTTAATAGATGAACCGATTGAATCACTTACTAAAGAGCTGCTTATTTGCATTAATTAGCAGAATTGAAAAACAAGCCTCAAGTTGTTTTAGGAGGTTATTATTATAAAAAAATTAGGCGTATTTAGTTTTCAAGTCATTTTAACCCTCCCTAATTTTCCAAACTCTGCTTCCCCTCAATCGTAAATTTGATCTCGGGGTCAAAAAGAGTCACTTTAGGCCCTAGTTTTTTTTTCCAGGCACGCGCCTGGGATTGTTTTTCACATTAGGCCTACTTCAGATTAGACTGAGGGCATTATCACTTAGATAAAATCCATTGGTGGATTGGTGGGGATGGAACCCTGGGACCTCTTGGACCGAAGTCCCGCACTCTAACCACTTCGCCAGCTCACTCCGCACTTTAGGCCCTAGTTATCAAATGTACTATTAAATGTGATTTATTATTATTATGGCACGTCCCCTTAGGAGAGCTAATATTTTGTGGCAAATATCTTACCGAGACCTTTCATTCAACTATGCGCACTGTATTCAGTTGATTGGTGTCCCCGGCTTACGGTTTTCTCAAAAGTTAGTGATCCTTATTAGCTTTATGTAAAATATAAGAGTTAGCTGAAAATAGAATTTACAAATAAAATGTAATCTTAACATGTCATGGGAATGGTATTTGATTTTTTTAAATTTAGATAGATTTGGCATGGAATTTAGGAAATCATGCTTAAATTGTCAACGGTTTTAGCGTTAAAAAAATTATTCGTGACATCACTTCATGTAGAAAAAAATTGATCTGCCATGTTATAATTACTGTTTAGAGTAACATAAAATACCATGAGTAGGTTTCTTTTATCAATCTAGACTAATATCTAACCATTTATTTGTAGGAATGGATTGGTCACTTTGAGGATGACTTGCGATGTGGTGGCTGTGCCAGGAAGTTTGAACGCAAGGCTGCGCTCATCTCACATTCACAGATATGTCAGAAGAGGATAGCGGCATGCAACAGGGTGGAGCCAAGCCAGGCAGTCGTGCACAACCCCGTGTGTGCAGTGGTAGCACTCAGCCCGCTGCCCTGCTCCAAGAAACCGATGCCCAAACCATCACCGGAGAAGAAAATTGGCATTCAAGTGAGGATGAACTACTGCAAGAGCCCGTCTCAGGGTGGCCGAGCGCTGAGGTCCATCACAGGACATGACAGTGATGTGGAGACGCCCAGTGTCAGTGGCAAAGACTCCATGTACAATCAACCTAACAACTCAGACAGTTCCGTGTTGGAGCAGTTCCTGAAAACCGCGAGCAACTGCGGATCTCCAGAGGGAATAGAGAAAGTGAGCTCCTATCTGTCCAATACACTGGATAAAGTCGGCAGTTACGAAATATCCACTTGCAAAAGGTCGACTTTCCTCAGAGGTAATGTGGGGAAAAACAAGAGTCTTGAGGCTAAGTGTCTTCAGCTAAGATCGACCCTGGAGAACGGTTTCTCTGAGAGGTTAAAGGGAAAAGATAAAGAGGCTGAAAACACTGTTTACTTTGACGGGAATGTGGACAACACGTCAGAGAGTAATACCTCAGCCGTCAGTAGCTTGAGTAGCCAACTGACACCTCTAGCCGACAAGACATATATAGAGGTGGAACAGTCAATTGAGATCAAAAACATAAATATTTCTAGATCTTTAGACACTCCAAGCGCAGAAGCAGACTCCACTTGTGTGACCAACGGTGGTTTGCACATGACCTACCGCACGTACACAGGGAACATCAAGTTCTCACCTACCAAAGAAGTTACTTGTGAAGAAGTATCAGCTGAGTCTGACTATCTACACGACAACGAAGTTTCTGTGAATCTAAAACCAATCTCGTTGAAACAAGAAATCAAGAAATGGAGCCCAGGAAGGGAATTTGAAAACACAATATCGATATTGACAAGAAATCAGTTGAAAGCCATTTGTAAGGATGACATGTTACCAGTAAAAGTCGAGAAAAAAGTGTCCCCGAGTACTGATGCTGAGAAAAAAGTATCCCCGAGTCCTGATGCTAAGAAAAAAGAAAAGGATGTGGATGTTGAAACTTTATCCAGAGAAATGCTTAAAAGGTTAAACAAATATGTCGATTGGAGTAAGAACAAATGCCACTTGTGTAATAAAGTATTTAGGCATGCGACTACGAGCAACATTCTTAGGCATGTACGCCTACACACTAATTGGAAGAGGTACGAATGCCTTTTCAAAAGTTGTACATTCCAAGCATTTCAGAAAAGTGAGCTAATGTGTCATGTGCAAGAGCACAGCAAAGATATGAAGGGAAAGTCATTGGAATCACTGGTAGGTCTGATAGACACAAGCAAGTGGAGCCTCAGACTAAAAAAGACACCGAAATTAGTAGTTCTCCCAAAAGTAATGAAAAACAGAGTGAAGATATCCTTGAACAAAGGTGTGGAGGTCAAAAAGAACGTAAAACCAGCAAGGAAGCTGACTGAGGAAACAGTAAAACCAGTTACATCAGGAAAAGTCAAAGTTAAATTAAAACACAACGTTCAAAATGGTGCTAGAAAAACAACATTGTCTTCAATATTGAAGAAAAATAATGAATCCAAACAAAAACTGCTAACAGACTTTAAGAATTTTAGTGGTGTCGAAAGATTAAACGGTAAAAAAGTTCCTAAGAAAAAGATTAAAACAGAAAAGTCTAAATCCCCTAAAAGAAAATCAGTCGAGGGACCTGTGGAAAATAGAGAGTCTAAAAGGCTGAAATTAAGTCCATTACAGAATGGGATTCATAAAAAGGAAGCTTTGCCCCCTGGTAAGCAGATGTTTCTGAATGTATAAAGGGTGTTTCGTAACTCTCTACCAATCTTTCCTGGGTTCATACATGATTCAAATATCAAATTTCATTTAAACCATCTGTAAGGCAATGATTACAAAGCCGTCATTTTGTGATTTTCAAGAATCACTTTTTTCTTAATAGCCTTCATACTAGAAATTCAAAATGGCGACTATTTGAATGTTTTTAATAAGGATAATTGTAAATTGCTTGAGTAAGAGTAATCTAGCCAAATTGCACCTTATTTGGCCTTATTTTACAACTAACAATTGTAATATTTAACATACTTCGTATTCTATATTTTTGAACTTGGTGTCGTTTGATAGGAAATTGTAATCGCTAAATAAAAGTGTACTTGACATTTTATCATAAACTCAGCCTTGTTTTAGTAATTTAAATTCTAAAAATTAAAAATTAGCTGCCATTTTGACATGGACCGAGTTAGTTTTTTGTTCAACGTATTTATCTTCTACTTAGCGCATTTTGAATAGGCTATTAGCTATTTTTTTAATATTAGCTTTCAAGAACTTCATTTTAGCTCTCAATCTTTCTATCATCATTAAATATTTAATTTCTTTTTTCATCTGTTTTTCTTCATTGTATATTTTTGGAGTGTGCAAGCAATATATTGTGAAGTGAGTTTAATGCTTCTATACTTTAAACCAAATTAAATTTGTTTACCATCATTTTTATTTTTGCAGACAAAACACTACTTTCATAGAACAATGGTTACAGGGATCCCAACTATTATTTTGTGGCAATATTCATTGTAAAGAGCAATATTAGATATCATCAAAGTACCTTGTGCAATACTTTTGTTTCCAATATGTTTTAAGACTAGTTTTTGTTATTTTTAGCACACACAAATTTGAAAAAGAAAACACCAGAAAACTCGCCTGAACATAGAAATGAAAGTTCGACTAAGAGGGAGATTAAAAGAGAGGGATTCATTGTCAACCATATAACCTCCTCACAACAAAGTAATGGTGAGTTATCTCAATTCCAAAGATTTGATATGTTATGTTTATTAACTGTAATATTTTACCAGCTTAGAAACTTTACATTGGAATTAATCTAGAACATTTGGATAGTCTTTCTTTTTGACTTGGTTTTCTTTGCACTGTTGCGTCACAGTTGTCAGTAGATGACTGGCTCTGGCTAGTGGCAGTGTGGCTGGCATTTGCTCTGCTTAAAGGTCTTAAGCAAACTTAATATTTAATTCTCCTTTGAACATTTTAATTCCTTTGCAACAATATATATAATATTTTTTTGTGTTTCTTCGAAAATAAATGATTTTTTTTTTTTTTTGCCCGAACAAATCTTTGACCCGAATCGGTATCTCGGACCTACCGCTGGCCCGACCCGACCCAAAAAATGCGGGGACCAGCAGACCCCTACATTTAATATATTGTCTCGTTCTCATACAACTTCAAAAATATATAGTTATTCAAAATTGACTGTGAGAACGCTTTTCACTTAGTATGCATCACTGAAATTCATACTATAATGGCTGAGGTTGAGCAACAAATAAGTGTGATGCAGGGAATCGAGCCGATATAGAAACTTAGAAAACTGAAAGTTGTCAGTGAGTTTTTGTGACAGGGAAAAGTCTGTGAATTGTTCATAATTTTTGTACGACTAGGAATTAGGAACAATTGTCAAGACTAGGAATGAGGAACAATTGTCAACATCATATGCTGAGCATCTTTATTAAAGTTGTTGTATTTGTTTGAACCTTTCATCGTTTTTAGAAAATCTCTACCGTGAGAGATTAATAGTGTTGCTGAGACTGCATGTGATGTTTCAAAATGATTGCGGCAATCCCAAGAAACGTTCTCTAGTGGATTTGGATTTTTTTATATTCAAGATTGGAAATTCCTGGATTTCACAATGATACTAATGTTCATTTTACCCTACATTAAACCAAAACCCATAATTATATACACAATAATGAAAAAAACCTTTTTGTATGGATCTTTGTCTTTTTAAATTACAGAAATTTAAGTTTTTAAATCTACAAAAATCCTGGAAAACCTGAAATTACTTGTGTTAAATTACATTACGATGGTTTGCTGGACACCCTGGTAGGCGATACAATTTGTGCATTACGAAATCTGTTAATTACAGATAAAATTACTGGAAAACCAAACAGATATTTGGTTATAGTTCGAACAATCTGTGTTATTGGGCTGAAAAAACTAGTCTCAATTACTAATTGATGGTTCTCAATTTATGGTTTTTCAGATGCGACAGCTACCAAAGGTCGTAGTTCAAGGACAAGCAGTAGGAAATCCTCGGCTACTTGTGTTGAACAGCAGAAACCTAAGAGTTTAGTTAACTTGGTAATTAAAAATGAGGATTCTAACACTCTTTGTACTCCGGTTGCATATGGTGAGGTCCTTTCTTTGTTTGGGAAATCCCATCCCATCGGTGTGTGTACACACTTCCTTCTTCCTCCTTTACAGTAGTTGTCTGTCATTATTTTTGTATTTGTGTTTTATTTTCATTGTATTTTCTTCTATATTTTTTCTGTTTTCAATAGCTGTTCAAAGCTGTTTTTATTTGGACTTTTTTGTAGCTATCAAAATCATGCATTTGAAAAATCCTTCCTGTGTTCCTTTCACAACAATTTCCTGGGTCTCTGATGGTTTGCCTGGCTTTTTAACCTCTTCAGTTTTTAATCTCTTTCCAACAACAATTTACACTTCTGTTTGTGTCTAAGCTGGGTAATGCCTTGCATGGTTTTGCATGACTTGATTAAGATTGCTCTAAAATTAATTCATAGTGCAATCGTGATTTAACAATGGAATTCCCGAGCTGCAACTGTGTTTGTGTGACTGCAGCCTCTGGTATTAATCTGAAGATTTGGAATTACACTTTAACTCAGGGTTTAAGCTGCGGTAGCATTTTTAGCATTTTACTATACACAACTTAAAAATGCTACATTGATTTGCAGGCTTTAGCAAATTTGCTAAAAATAAAATTGAAGATGTAATTTTTAAACATGTAATAGGCTATTACTGGCAATTTTTTTAATGTGTAAAGAATAATATTTTTTCTAAAAGTTGTATGAGAGTTTGTAGCATTTTTGCTAAAGCAAATTTCACCCCAGCCTATATCCTGCTTTAACCCTAGGCCCCAAACTGTCATATATCAGCCATCAATAGTAACGTATCATGCTTTCATTTACAATTTTCCATGCAAGCATTTCAAAGGTAAAACAGTTGAATGTTGTGACATTTGAATGTAAAATGTGCTGCAACCTGGTACTCAAGCTTAAAAATTCTACGCTGGGGTTACTGTTAGGGTTTACTAGTAATGTCAGTGCGGTTGGCCATTTATACTTTAAATAGCTGAGTAATATAATGGATCATGTCCTTAGCCAAGAGTAAGTAATGTAGATCTAGGGTTGTAATGACCCCTAGTTCAGAACGTAAGTTTTACTTTTGAGGAGTTTACCGGTCTATGGGAGAGTCTACCTAAAATAGGCAGTGAACAAACGGGTGAAAGTTAATGGGTTGGTTTTTTGAGAGTTCCACCTCAAATAAAAAATTAAACTATTTCTACTAACCCTAACTGTGTGTGAGTGACTTTTTTAGTTGTATTTAAGACGAGGAAAACAAATTTGTATAGATAAATCAGTGAATAATCTCAGAGGCTCAAAAGGTTACGGTTGAGAGTACACTTTCCTCTTCATTTTAATTTATGTAATGTAGAGGTGTGCGTCCGGCTCGATTTTTAGGCTTAGTCTAGCCTGTAAGGTTGAGAGGTCGAACACTAAGTCAGAAAACCGAGCTTTTATGATTGCGTTCAGCAACTGCATCTGCAAAGATTGTGCAATCAAAAATGTCACGATTTTGATGCAGTTGCAGATGACAACAATGACGTTATAGTGGGAGACGATTTTAATGTCTACATAACTGCTGGATATTTTGCCTTGAATGCGGAGACGGCTATGTTGTCTTTACATATCTTTCAAATAATAATGTTTATGCTAATGCATTAGTAAGTCCATTTCAAATTTTAAGTTATTTTATATTTAAATGTTATTTTATATTGTTACCATAAAAACTTTCAGAAATGTTGCCTTTTGAACAAAATAAAATTAGGTGATGTTTATTCTAATTTTTTTCTTGTTTTGTAGTCTTTTCATGTACTTAAAAAAGTTATATTCAAATTACTATGCATCATAACTTAAGATTTTATTTTGAAAAAAAGATTTGTGATCAATAATTATATGGCATTATGTAAAATTCATAATATAAAAAAGCTGTACGTGCAAGCTTTTTTCCATAAGCTCAGCTCAGGATTACACACCGAATCCGACCTCAGATGGTCCGACCGTTGACACAATAGGCTTCCGCTAACATAACATCATTACATAATATCATTGTCCAAAAAAATACAGTACCCAGAAAGTGTTATAAAATAATTTTGTTTCTTAAGTCTAATGTGTTAAAACTTTTTGTATATTTAACTATTTCTGTCCATTATTTATATGCAGTTTAGGCTAAAAAGTTATTGTTTTGAAAAATCGCAGTTCATTTGACAAAATAAAATGGAAGCAAAACAAAGGAATGTCGAACAAAGCTTCAAGGTCAAGCTAACCGTTTGCACTGACAATCGTCTGCTCCTTGGGCCTACACATCTGTCTGCTGTGCGCTTGCTATGTCACAACATTTTGTGATTGGGTATTTGTTAACCATGGCAACTTGTTGAATGAAGAGAAACTCAAGAAAGAAGAGAAGAACAAAGAGAAAGAATAAGCTATGTTTTAATGTCATTTTTATCTTTATCTTTGATTCAATATCACATGACCTTTTACTTTCAAAGCTAAGCAAATTAGGGATAAAGAACAATGCACTTAAGTTACTGAAGTTTTACCTTTCCAACAGAAAACACTTTGTAGAAATAATTCACCAAAACAAAAACTGTAAAATGCGTTACCAATCCTCTATTAGAGATGTGAAATTAGGAGTGCCTCAGGGGTCCATCTTAGGCCCTTTATTATTCATTTGTTACCTTAGAGACTTTCCCCAACTCAGTGACTTGAGTGAACTTTGCCTATATGCCGATGATACTAATATGAAAATCACTGCGAAATCAAACGATGAAATTGAACTGAAGGCAAATTCCGATATAGCAGTGTTAAATAATTTGTTTAGTTATAATTATTTGCTTCTTAATCCAGGTAAGACAAATTTCATTTGTTTTCAAACTCGAGAATTAGGGGATCAAAATAAACCAATCATCAAACTCGAGAACACAGAAATTCTAAGTATGGACAACATTAAATTCTTGGGATTGGAAATTGATAAAATTATGAAATGGAACAGTCACGTTGAAAAGTTACTTGCCAAAATCACATCAGGATTATATGCTTTATTTAGGTTGAAACCCTTATGTGAAAAACAAACTCTAAAAGTTGTTTATTTTTCATATATCCACTCAAGTATATCTTTCGGGATTTCACTTTATGGTGCAACTAGTGATTACAATTTGAATTCTATTCTAAAAAAGCAAATGAAAGCTATTAAAATTATCTGCAATTCAGATTTTGAAACTTCTTAAAGAAGATTTTAAATCAGAAAATATAATGAGAATTTACGGAATGTACTTTTTTGAAAAAATTTTATCAGTAAAGGACAGACTTCATGATTTGGAACGAGTTTGGGGATAGTCATAATTATTTCACCAGAATTTGGGAAAACCTTGCAATTGGCCACCATAGTCTGAAACTTTTTGAGATAAAACCCATGTATGCGGGATCAAATTTTATAATAATCTCGCAAAATAAATTAAAAAGATTTCTCATCAGCGAGGCTATTTTTTCTTTTGAAGAGTTGATTAGTCACTGAGGTTAAAAACAAATTCAACCTAGGTTATGTATTTTTTGTTTACAATTGCATTCATTTTGTTTGGCTTTGCTTTCTTTGTCTTATTTTAAAAAAAGTGGGGAGCGAGCTGGCGTAGTGGTTAGAGCGCGGGACTTTTGTCCAAGAGGTCCCGGGTTCGATCCCCGCCAAATCACCAATGTATTTTATCCATGTAATAATGCCGCAACCCCTAGGTTTAGTCTGAAATAATGTGAAAAACAATACCAGGCTCGTGCTTAGCGTCCTACGACAAATAAAAAACATAAATAAAAAAAAAAGTTTGTGCAATTTTGTTTTTATTTTGTTGTGTAAGGAATGTTTAATAACTATTACTTGCAACTGTTGACACTATTCAATGTATTTCTATGTACAAGAGATGAATAAGTAGTTTTGAATTGAATTATCGGTGTATTTTACGACTGTTGTTATAATGTATAAGTAGGCTACTTTTATTTTATACTTTTTTATGGGTTAATTTTAAATGTTTGGAATTTTTTTTAGTAAAAGTTTGTGAAACCTGTGATTTTAAACATAGCAGTTTTTATAACTGAACCATGGTTAATGACCTAACATAATTATCATGATTGTGCAATAGCCTACTATAATTCTATTTTGAGGATGCAAATTATCATATTTAAGTCCATTAGTATTAGGTGTTGTTTGTTTATGAGTTAGTAATGACTGTTTTATTTCATGTTAGATTAACCGTGGTTTTCAGTTATCTGTTCAGTAGTCTATTCAAAGTACAATTAATTTTACTATGTTTTTATGTCAGAAGAACTATTGTGAAAACAGATTATTTCCTGGTGATTTTAGTGTGGATTATCCATTGCACACACATTTATACAATACTGCTATAAAATATAAAAAATGTAATGTTGTTTCAGAATCGTTGAACTCAGTCAACATAATAGACAGCCCGTCCTTAGAGGAAGAAGAAAGCCAGGAGTCGGATGGACCAGTCGATGATTCCCATCTGAAGGAGATCTTCATGGAAGTGATCTTCGGTTCAACGCCCAGTCCTGCAGTAATGTCTCCGGGGCGACCTGTCAGAAATAAATCCAGACCAAAGAGGGACAGTGATTTCATTTTAGGCAGTCAAAAGGATTTTGAAAAAGAAGATCAAGATATCAAGGTGACGTTTAGTAGGAAAAACTCAAAATCTAGTGTTCCCAAAATCGGCTCAGAGGCAAGTTCCAGCCCAAAGAAGTCAAAGTGATCCTCAGCTAGACTTGGGAAAGTTAGGTAGTAGATTACCTTACTATCTTCAAGGGTATGATGTGAGTAATTTATTACCTTCAAAGAGATTCCTTGACTTTTAAGTGGTAGTTTTCACAAATAAGTTTTATTATTTTTTCGTACTGAAGAGCGTCGGAGAAACTTATTTTTCAAGTCAGGTTGTTTTGTGATTGGTTTATTTGGTTTGTTGTGATAGCATTGTATCTTGTAATCATGTTGAGAAACTCTATTTTTCTTACATATGTTTCGCATTTAAATATAATATTAAGTGATAATTTATTTCTATATCAGTGAGAAATGCTTCATTGTTTTGTTCAATCATGTAAATATTGTTGAAACTAGCATTTATTATCAATGGCACCGAAGATGGTTAATCGAGAAAGTTTGAGTTGATTAGGAGTTAATTTTGATAACAGAAATATTTGAGCTATTACTTTTCAACATATTTAGAATCAGTGAGAAATGCTTCCTTGTTTTTTTCGATCCTGTAGATATTGTTAAAACTAGCATTTATTATCAATGGCCGCAAAGATTGTAAATCAAGAAAGTTTAAGTTGTCCGATTTGGAGTTTGTTTAGATAACAGATATTATTGAGCTCTTGTAACTGTATTTTGATAGTTTTTATTTACAATTTTATTGAACCCAACACTAAGTTCAATATGAAACTTCACTGGATTTTACTGGACCAAATAAGTTGCTTTTGTAACATTTTTAGTTAAATCAAATAAAATATTAAATTAGCATTTTTCCTATTGTAGATGAAACTCCAGTTGTAAATTGTAAATTTTGACTTTTGTTCTGTTACGAAACAAAATAGTTCCTGGAGTGTAAGCAATATGTTGTTATATGAGAAGGCGTCTTTCTTTGTAAATTGTAAATCATTTGTTTGTGATATTATATTAGTCACTACCAAGTACCAGCTGGATTGTCCGGAGATGATAACTCTGTGAGTCTGTACCAGAGTCAGTTGTAACATTCTGTAGTTATTGTAAATTATAAACTCTGTAAATACTGGTCAACCAAGTATCTTTTGGTAGTTTTCCTTAATATGTGATTCATTTAAGCCAGAATTAATTTAATTGTTCTAGTTAAAAACAATTTATAATAATAAACTGGATGTTGGTAAATGTGTGTTGAGATCTTCATTACAAACCCAGCCCAAGTATATTGTTTTTGTATTCGGCATTGCACTCACGGGTGTAGGGTTGAGTTATTTTTACATGTGCGGGTTTGAATCCGGTATGACATGTGCAATCCATATTAAGCTTGATAATGTGTTCCTTGACTGGTGTGGAGGGCCCACCTTAATAAACGGTGTCTAGTTTGGGTGGAAGTTGATTGAGTTATAGGGATAGCACACAACACCTGTTTTGCTTCTTTTTTGTTTACAGTTTTCTTTTTAGCGAATTTTCTATATAGGGAATAAGCTATTACCGTAGTACTCATGGTAAGACCTGGATTCGGGACCGATTTACTTTTAATTTTTATTTAACTTTTAACACAGTTAGCTGTATCTCGTCAAAGTATTCTGTTGTAGCAGCCGGGCGAGATAGACTTGTTTTATATAGTATTTTAGTAAATATTTCGCCTTTTTTTAAATTAACATTTTTCATTTTCGTCCTGGGCTCCAATCCTGCCAAATCACCAATTGATTTTATTTAAGTGATAATGCTGCAGCTCCTAGGTCTAGCCTAAAGTAACGTGAAAAACAATCCTGGGCTAGTGCCTAGCGCCTTAAGACAATTTTATTTTTATTTTTAAAATTAAAAAAATAAATACCGGTAAATAAAATGTTTAATTTGAAAAATTTGGTAATCCGAAATGGATCCGGTCCCAACCTCTTTTGAATATCGCGACTCTACTGTACATATATCTATATATTAATTACGTATGCCAATTATTTGCGTCAAAATTGTGAACTACTGGGAAGTCGTAAAATAATGGAAGAGGGCTCAAACTTAAGATAAAGTTACCTTACTTATTACAATTAAGACTTTTTAGTTACGTCGTAGAAAGTTCAAATCAAATGATTTACTATGTAATTTGAAAACTTGTGTATTATAACTAAATCAGTTAGCCTAAGCGTATGATTTCTATCATACGCTAAGAGTACAATTTCTATCATCATAGGTGATGGCTCAAATCAAAGGAATTTAACTTAGAATTTCTGAAAAAATAATTAAGTTTTTTCTTATAATTTGAAGGTTGTTGTGTTGAAGGAATATTTAACATAAGATAACAACATTGACTAAATAAACGATTCAAGATTAAATGGAAAACTTCTGCTTTGTTTTGATTTCAAAACACATGTTAAAGAAAAGATTTGTTCAATTTTTTTTGTAAAACTACTAACATTTAGGTTTGAGATTTATTGTAGTGTTAATCAACATTTTGTTTGAAGTGGGATAACCTAGAAAACCTGGGAATAAAGATTAAATAGGTTGGTACAGATATTTATTTGCAAGTTTGCACAATAGGCCTACATACTTTTGGTCGAGTTTTCGACCACGGGGCAAGCTCTAGTTTCAGTTAAAAAAATTAAAATGGCCGCTATTTTTAAATTTTAAGTTGAATAAAGATGATTTTTTTCTAACATGGATACGTTTTACCTAAACACATAAGTTACCAAGTCTCAAAAACATCGATTGAAACAATTCAAAGTAAAAATTACAAAATGGTGGATTTTGGATAAAATGTCATTTTATATTTATTTTGACCCAAGAAATCACTACATAAATGATCTCTCCACCTTTTTTCAACACCCCCTGTATTGTGTCACGTATGTTATTTTATTTTTTTCTATTGAAGAATTTGTATACATATTGTTACCGTATATATTTTCTTTAAGAGAATGAAATGGAGAATAATAAAAAAATTAGCTTTTTTGATCCTCAAAAAGTCCAACCAACGCCTTTTTTAATAATATAAATCATGATTGAACAGAGAAATGTATACGAATAAAGAACGCAAACTAGAAAATGAACATAAATATGGGCTTTAATCTAAGATACCTAAAGGAGTTAAATCGCCTTTGTACTGAGGAAAGTGACAGAATACATTTTTGATCAAAACAATTTGAACAAAGGAAAGATGTTGATTGTTGTTCCTTTGTTTATGTACTCATAGTCTGTTTTCGAGTTACTAGCAATGATACAAACAACACGTGTTGGTTTGTAGTTTCTGTGATGGATGCTTGATAGCCCAAGTCAACAATGGTACGTCGAGTTCCAGTAAGGAGACTGTCAACCATCAACACCATAAAACTCGCCAGCTATGGTGTATATTTCGTAAACATGGACTACGGCTAGACACACCCACAAACATCAAACCTATACCCCTACTGTTCAACCTACCTTATAGGCACTATTATAAGTAAAACACTAATTAACGCATTGCTGCTTTTCTACTTTGGCATGTAACACATCAGATTGTTGACTGAACTACCATTTGTTTTTTTTTTGTTTTTTTTACTATAAATATTATTTAAATAATTAACTTAATACATTTATTAACTTAAGAATTGAAAAGTTTCTTCACCTATGTCATATCTTACTGTATCGTTGTATTGTATCTTTGCAGTATGATGTGAAAATGTCATTGAAAGCTTCATGCAACGATTGATTTAGTAGTTTATAGAAGGCATGATAGCGACAAAATCCTGTGCGTCTCCCAGTTATGGAAAAATCATCATCTTCTTCCGTGATCGCAGCAAAAAATCGAACATCTTTCTTAGTTCTGTAGACATCATAACTGTCTCCCACATTCCACATTCATAAACAGTCATCATCGTCCTCGGCAGCTTTTAATTTGCAACATCTTCCCAAACGTTTAAAAATATTAATGCCCCAAATTTTTGTAATAATCCTATCCCAATTTTTGATTATCTGAATGTGTCAAAGGCCCAATTGGCCAATTGATTCGGATGGTTGGAATTTTTCTATAGTGAACTGTTGCTCTTGTGAGCAAAACCAGGTAACAAGTGGCATGTAGTTTTCTTGTTAGAAGTGGGCTTTGTTAATCTAGTACAATATATAGGTAGAGATAACAAGTGACATGATTGTTTACAAATATCAGTTTATTGGCTTCACTCTTGAATTTACAACAATAACCTACTGTAGAATCAAAACTTACTGATAAAATAAGTTATTTACAAAAATTAACAAAACATTAAATACATGAGCATTTATAATTACAATATCTATAAAAAAAAAATATTGTCTGGATGATTGTGTAGAAACAAAAAGAAAAAACTGAACATTAAGTATGCCAATATCCCTCACAGCCATAGAGTCAATTATGTCGATCAAAATAATATAATACAACAAAACTTCAACTTGTATCTTCATAGTTAGTGGGATTGTGTTTCTATATAAACCTTCCTTCCCCAATACAAAATTAAAATTTAAAGAAATTAAACCTGTCTAATTTGAAAAGGAAATTAATGCAATAAGACTGTAAAAGCTAAAAAGATTATTTCCCTATATGGGAAATTCGCTAAAAACTTTTTTTATTTTTTAGTGTTTTTTGTAGGATTGAAAATTTTTACAAAAACAAATTTCCAAAAACCGAAAATTTAAAATTTGTATTTTATTTGTACAGTATATTAAACCACTGTAAACTGTTTTTTAATATTTATATATTTTCATCAAATTTGGCAATTTTTAAATCTCATACTAAGCTATTGACATTTTACTAAAAAAAAACTCACTTTATTTACCTGCCCTGGAGCAGCAACCCTACTTACTTATCAAACCTAATTTTATTCAATAAATCTGACATTTTTTAGGAAATATTGTAGTGAAAATCAATCAGGCAAATGGGAATCCAATTGGTCAGAAGGTTTGCTGCAGCAGGGATATCAATAGTAAGAAATGAAATAATATACATTCTTTAGTGACTATCCGTAGTAAAGCTTCTAAAGTTACTGTATAAATGTGTCATAAAAGTATAATTAAACATCTAAGGTTCTACAAGCAAGCAGATTTTGATTAGAAATAGTTGGCAAATGATTTGTACACTGCCAAATAACTGATCATCAACACTTGATGGTGTTCAAAAACATAATAGAATGTTCTAATGATTATTTATATACATAATAGGAAATTTAAAAGACATACAAAATTCACATGTTGATATTATTCCAAGTAGCACCCAATATTTTCACAGTAGTTTCAGGAATGGTTTATGATTGTGAATTGGATAAAATTGCTTTATAAAGACAATGCTATGATAAAATTGCAAAACCTATGACAGTAACGATGGCGAAAATTCCTCCACTAAATCTATACAATAGTACCATGGACTAATTATTTTAGGCAGAAACTTTTTATTGGAGAAATGGATCTCAAAACATTTATTTGATGATTTTTGCACACTAGAAGCCAAAATCCAAAGTAACTTATAATTAATTAGAAATGTTTACAACAGATATGGTTACCAAGACATTGTCTACAGTTTGTTGTCAAACAAAGTGATGTTCACTTAAATTAGTTTGTAAACCACCTGATTTCTCAACATCTTACACTTTTTTCACTCTGGGAGTAAAAAAAAAACAATATTTGTTAAGTTTATCCTAACTAAATAATATTCAACAGAAAATTGGCTGTGTGAATTAAAAATTAAAAATATGATTGATTAAAAAAGAAATACATGTATAATGTCACAAACAATCAACGTAAACGTTTTAGGATAATGAGGAGGTAATTAATTTAATTTATGAAGATAATTAACAGTATGTAAATGGATAGTATTTTTCCTTTGCCAAATTAGAAGTTGGCAATGATATTATTTATCAAGTGTCGAACTGTACAGGATTCCTCAATACTGCAGTTTGGGCACAAAAAATCCTAACCTCAATGTTTCAACTCATGATCTTTATGCACTTGGACCTGATGCATCAACATCTTTCTCTCGTTTTAAAAAGTGCCAGCTACTTGCACAAACAGCTACTTTTTAATGAAATCCAACAAACATCCTGAATGATCTTTTTCCCCGCTGCTAACACTGGGAAGTATTTTGAAAGTGTGATTCAAATATATCTAAGTAAAAATAACTTGCCTTTATTTAATTAAAAATAAAACACTATAAACCCTTCAACATGTTACAAACATTTTATTTTTCAACAATAACTATAACATTAATGAAAAATAAAACCAACATTGCTATTCTATAAATCATATGTTAGAAAATCAGTTTTCCCGCTAATCAGTCATTGAATACATTATACATGTTACTGGAGTTGAGTTGGTAAAGAAAAACACTATGTATAAAATTGTTCAACAAACAATCATGTAAAATTAATATGTATCTGAGTTAAAACCTAATTAAATAAATAGGACCAAACATTCATATATACAATCAAATTAGGTAAAAGATTATATCAAAATAATTTAAAGAAACATTTACATGACTTAAGAATATTGTAAAAAATTGCTTTCAGCTACAGTATAAGAGACACTTAGTGTCAAAAACAAGTAATTTGAATAAACAAAACAATGGAATGACGTATTTTCAGTTGAAAATTATATAACTCTTTTCCATAACAATGACTTACACAGATTCATTAAAACCCTCTTTAAAAAAATGTGTGATTTAAAAACTTCTAATTCAATACGGTAATTGTAAATTTCAATTTATAATTTATGACCTCAATATTATATAAGTTGTATAATTTAAACTAACAATAAAACAGTAGTTTTTGAAAACATTCCCAACTGATTTACATTTATAGGCCTAGGTAGTTGTTTTTTTTTACTACAGAACTTTTTTTTATTGTTTCTATTTAACATGATTTTACTTTCAACTTAAAAATTGTAACTCTTGAATAGAAAATTAACATAATAAAAACAGAAATAAACTTAACAAAACATGTAGAACAAAATATTATGATAAGTTAAATTATGTCTGTTACAATATTATGATTTATGTTAACAAATACACCTAACATGATTTTACTTCATAAAGTTTTGACTGTTGTGATGAAGAAATGCAGTTTTGTACAACTTTACTATAAACATAATAAAAACCAAAGCTACATATCTAGTCAGTTCCGGCACTAAGTCACCTTTAATCATCCAAAATAAGACATAAATAAATAAAAACAAAAGAATAAAGCTTGATGGAAAAATCCCCACAAACATTTGATTTCACATTGAGAACTGGATATTTACAACAGTAAGGATTGCGAGGGGGATGCTACGTCGTTTTGAACAGATTGACAAGAGCTGCGTCATTTTCCGCAGTACCGTTTCCAAGCAGGTGTTGGTTCTTGGCTCGTTTGCTATTAGACTCTGTCCTTGGAAGCTCTCGGATGAAAGCTTTCCGCCTGAACAACTGTCCTATGCTGAGACCATGCAGCTGCAATGTAAAGCAAATTTAATGTTAGGTTCTATTATGGACCAGCAGTGCCCAATTATGTATACAAATAGTGAGTAGTCAAATGAGCCATTCATAAGTTGTGCTACTGTAAAAATTCCCTCTCAGTTCTGATAACACGATAGTTTATAATAAAATATAAAGGATTTGATAGTTAACTGTTTCCAGTTAATATTTGGGCTAATTTAGCAAAAATCAGTAATTGACACTGTACTCAGTCGGTGGCTCAAATTAACCACGTCAATTTTCATTGTTACAACTTTACCGTAGGAACGGAATTTCTTAACTCAATTCAAAGTCAAAGGTTTCAAGCAGTTGATAGCAAACAAAAAGTTCACAGTTTATTTGATAAGTCCTCCTCCAGTTCATCATGTTTTTCGCATCAATAATTAATTTTCAATTATTCATCAAAAAGAAATAGTTTAACGCCAATTCAATGGCACTGTTTGAATTACCTAAACAGTCTTTTAAACACAACACTTTTAATCACTTTAAAACTATTTTATAAATATTGGAAAATAAACAATAAATACTCACAGGCAAAGTGATTTTTTTGAACATTTCTTTTTTGGCTTTTTCAACTTTATTTCCCTTCTGTGCTTCTTTCATCATTCTCTCGTCTAATTTTTGGAGATCCAAGGGATTTACTTCTGGGATTTGCTTCATAACCTATAAAATGAACATAGCTAATGTGAGAGAGACAAAAAAAATTGTATCTTGAAGCCTTATCCAATGCAGAATAAAATCAACACTGGATCAGAATCAAGCCAAGGCAATTAAACCAAGACAGTTAAACAGTAAAGTCTAACTGTTGGCAGAAAGTAACAGAGTTTCGCATCGGTGCTGCTTGGTGCAGAACCATTGCCGCCATCTTGTCCTACACTCAGTATACATCTAGCCAGCAATGACATAGCGAGAGTGTTAAATCTCTTGTACTTTGTCTGCTAAAGTGTTAAAATGAGGATTGATATTATGATTACTGCCAGTTGTGAGGTATTTTGTGCCAGTTTGGACTCTTTTTTATTCATATAAGTCTGCTATCCTGCTATGTGCTTAGAAGGGTTTCAAGTTGAATTTTCTATTACTGCTTTAATTTTTTTTTTTTCATCATAGTTAAACAACACCTTACCCTTTACTTTGTGTAAGGACATCTATTATGTTATAACCAAACAAAATAGCAAATTTTATATGATTAAAACAAATGGTATTGGTATTAAGAATCGAGAATGGATATTTAAAGTATCGTTATTGAGAATAGATAAATGTTGGTATTGGCACATATCTAAATATTGGTGTTGCCGTGATTGCAAGATATGCTCTTCGTAGTTGCCTCGGTTGATGATTATGGTAACGCAGAGACAATGAAATGCTCACGGATATTACTGCGTTTGCAAGAGATTATTACTGATGTAGAAGAATATCATGTTTACTTGACTTTTATGTTTTTATTTTCATATCCTACAACACCCAGATTATGTTATCAGGAATCAAGCTAATAAATACAATCTATTACCTACAATAAAATATGCAAATATAAATATATAAAATATAAAATATATATTCTATATGTTTATTACATATAGAATATTATTATTCAAGGGAAGTTTTTTTCTTTAAAGCAATAATGCTTTAATATGTTTTAATGATTAAAATAAAAAAAACAAGGTACAATTTCAAACATACACTTTCTAGTATATTATTGAGTCATTTTTTAACACAGCAGTTCAATGCATTATGTGATAAAAATAATGATTTATTTTTAAAAATCAATTTAAAAGATTGACTATGAGTAAAAAACGGGTGTGATAAAGCATAAAGGAGGGTTTGGATAGTAGTACATAATATTAAGGAATTTGTCTTAAATTCTCCTGGAAAACTCCTTGAATTTCTTAAGCCAGATTTAGTAGAAGTCCTGACCAAGATTGATGGTGCCATAAAAGTTGCCTCTACCAATGGTCGAACTAAACATTTCACAGTCACCTCCAATGTTCTACGATTAGACAGGAGGCAACTAAGACCACAGGAATGGTCACGGGCCATGTCTTCCTGAGGTTGCATCATTGTTTTTGGAAGATCATGTCTTCCTGAGGTTGCATCATCGTTTTTGGAAGATCTACAATGGTGATACACCATATGGACAGTCTGAGGAGACGGGAGGACTATATCTGCCCTGATTGGACACTCACCTCCACTACCTCAGGATACTTGGGTCGCAGTAGCTCGTACAGCTGAGTACCCAACATCAACAGGCTGCCCTGGTTGGCGTCGTGCTGCCCATGCACCTGCAGACCCTGCAGCACTACAGTGATGGTATGCATTGCAAGTGCGGCATTCATTCTCCCCCCGACCACCAGCTGGCGCACCACAGGTGCTACCAGCCCCGTCGCTTTCATACTGCCATTGCTGTCGTTCCAAGACAACGCACTGAAAAACACACCATTGATTAGGAAATGTTAGTATAGTAGACTTTTATTCTTTTACCTAACCCGCCATGTTAAACTTCCCTATCCCCAGCGTGGTGTATACAGCTTCCTTACTTCTCGAGTGATGTAAAGTTGAAAAAAACTCACTCGGTGATGTAATGAAACCCATTTAAATAACATTGAGTGCTTAACTTAAAAAATATACCTCTATGGAGGCATCGACGTTCAACGCTAGAAATCAGCTGTGCGCTTTAATGTTATTGTTATGCTTTAAAGTATTTTGCTAACCTAGCTTTTGTTTGTAAAAGAACGTTACTGTTAGACGATGAGTGAAATGGATAGTGAAAACTATTGTACGTAAACCCATGTAGGCCTATATTGTCAGGTCAGGTAAAATCTTGTACGTTACACGTTACGCAAGAGCGTGTTTACATCACTTAGGTAAATTATGCAACTCGCTTCCGCTCGTTGCACAACATTCACCTGCGTGATGTATAAACGCTCTCACTACACTTGTAATGTAAATAGCTATTAAAGTACATTTTACATAGTTATCATTTGGACTATTAAACACAATTCACGTTAGATTTGATCTCAGAATTTAATTTAAAAGATAATTCAATCAGAATGAGGCATTGTTGGTGCGACTTAAAACCTACTGAGGTCACAATGGCCGAGGAGGTAAGGGTAAGGTAAGGTAAGTAAATTTCATCCGTAGTGATGGCTCGTAATTGTAACTCATTTAGTGACATATTGACAAGACATAGTGAGTGGCTTATTCAACTATGTGCTTTTTTAATTAAAAAAATACTACAGCTGGTCCATATTGATAGGTCTACTTCAGTATCAAAAAATCAATGTACAGGGTGTGGCAAAAAAACCGATCTATTTTCTTCAGCACACTGTTCAGCGACAGGCCGTCTGAGGGTGGTGGGAGTAGGCTCGTTGGAAAGCCTATAAAATGCAATTTTTTGTAATCATAGAGCAGTGGTCGTATGAGCTACGTGCGGTTGTTTAAGAGTCGTTTTTAAAAAGCAATAATTCAGTCATTGCAAACCAGTGGTAGTTCCGTGATTTTATTCTATTGATTATCTGTATGGATAACAACATTAAACAGATTTTTATTCTAATTAATCTGTAGAGATGAAAATTAACCTAAAAATTTGTGTAACTGTCGGACATGTTCGGGCAGCGGCTTGTATTCGGGCGGGCCTACGGGGACTGTTTTCCACAGCAGCACGAACTCAATGGAATGTTAGTTGTCTGGTGTCCAATCTGACTTTGGACGGCTTGTCAGCTTCCTTTTCAACGCAGAAGCCATTGTTCTAAAGTTAATAACCCACAGCATTATTGTGCTACTCAACGGAACTTCTCCATGTTGCCTTAATTGAAAGAATGCATGAAACTGCCGCTGAGCTGCAATGAATGAATTCAATACTTTTTTAAAACGACTCCAAAACAACCGCACGTAACTCAGGCGACCACTGCTCTATGATGACCACAAAAAATGGCTTTCCAACAAGCCTGCTCCCACCACTCTCAGACGACTTGTCGCTGAACAGTGCTCTGCAGAAAATGGATCGGTTTTTGTTTTTTTTTGCCGCACTCTGTATTTGGTAGGTCACATCAAGTTCCCAACACAAGCAATTTGATATTTCGTCCTAACAATGAAGCATAATTCAGAAGGAGGTGGTAGAATATCCAACCCTCTGTTGGGACTAAACATCAAATTATTTATGTTGTGAGATGTTTCTGTGTCACCACAACTGCCTGGAACTCTTTGCTTGGGCAAGTTAGAGGTGTATACTCATGTGTTAATAGCATAATTACCTGAGAAGACACAGTGTGACAGCCTGACAGGTAGGTTCACACTGCAGCACTCGCAGTCCTAGCTCACTGATGACCTCGGCGGTGCTGTGAACCGGCCTCTGGTCCCCGCAGTCCTCCTCCATGGCGGGGGAGTTACTGATCTCCACTGAGCCTCCGACCAGCGCAAGCTTCAACACGTCCAGGTACTCCCTGGTCAGCTGTCTGTTCAACATGTCTTCCAACATCTCCTGTGGGTACATAACAGTAAAACAATCTCCTTTATGTATGCTTCCTCACCTCTGTCTGTAGTTTACCCAAAAACAATCACTTTTGAACTGAAATTTCAACGGCAATGGAAGTCATACCATTTTGTTCAGAATTTAAATGACTACAACATACTAAGTTTTTATCTTAATCTTTTGGACCATTTTTCAGAAAATTAGATTTTCCGTAATTTGATCGGTTTTATGGAAAAACCACCATAAAAAAATTAAAAATTTCTCCTCAGAAAGTAAAAGAATCCAACTTAAATTTTTTTGTCTAATGTAAGTTTGGAAAATTATTCTTCCGATGAATCCCCATTTGGTAAAATATTATTTAAAGTGTTTGTGTTTTGGGAATGCATTGATAGAACAATACTAGGGCTTTCAAAGTCATCGGTTGGCTAAGTCTTCATTTGGGGACAACATTGTTTAGAACAATCATCTACATCTTTCCAGGAATAACGATTAAATATAATTATTTCAAAAACATTGTAAAACTATTACAGTAGATTTCTATTACATACTGCATGGTTAATATAAAGTATAATCACTGTTTTGACTGGCTGTCTGAAAGCCAGCTTTCAAGATGCAAGACTACAACAAAGAGATCTCAAGAACTGGTAAAGAAAAACTGCAAATAAAAAATATATGTATCACCTGGGCATCCGTGTTTTCGTCGTCTGCGGAACCAGACTCTTGAAGTTCAGCAATATGCTGCCATTTGGTATTCAGCCTTGAAAACACTGGACAAATATTTCATCAAATAAACATTAGACTTTTTATGGTCATGAAACAAGTAGGTTAGTTAGTTACAAATCATACTCATACTCACTAACACGTAGTTGTGACAAATCAAAAAGCTGTTTGGCAGAATCTATTATTCTCTAAAAGAGAAAACCAATTTAACTGATATAATAATATTTTTCAGTGTTTACATTAACTGATATTTACTTCCACAGTTCAGTTATACTTACTAAAAGGAGTAAATTGTGCGAGTACAGGAACTACAACAGTGTCGTAGCAGTCGGACGGACAGCTGGCGACAAACGGCTTGAAGAACACCCTCACAACTGGCCTGAGTCTGTAGTCTGGGATGTACTGTCAAACATACATCACACAGTCGTCATTCAAAAGTACAGCAAATGATACTTGAACAACAACAGTCTGACAATGAGGAATCAGCTAGGTTGGTATTAGTGAAACATCAGCTATAGTATTATGAAAGGGATAATATTTATTTAGTGGCTCAGTCGGTAGGTCGAGGACTGCACAAATCCATGGCAACGATGTTGTGGGTTTGCGTTGATGCCTACCACTGAAATCAGTTCACTCTTGCTTAACAGGTCAAATTCGTATGGGGGTGAGTTCAGACCGTTTAGTAACCAGGTTAAACTATTAAAGAAGATCTCAGTTTTCTAAACGGTCTGAACTCACCCCCCAGCCTGGGACCTGTCTGGGCCTTTATCAATTGTTTAGGTGGCGGAATTTCCTGCGTTACCCTGTGAGTTTTCACCGGCAGGAATTTGTCTAACATAATTGGCCACATTTTGACTACGTTCCCCCGTTCAACATGTTTACGTGTTGTACTTGTGTTGTGGTTAAATTTTGGCTACAGTACTTGTACTGTCCTGGTTCATCTCTTGCTTTTCTTGGTACTTCCTAAGCTTCCAAAGGCCTATGTGGACGGGTAAGAGCAAGGTTAAAAGAGGCTGCTTAACTTGTTATAAAAACAGGTTTAGCAGTGCTTGGCTACTTACAATCTGTTGCAAATGAGGAATCACAGGAATTCTTTTGTCTATGTTGTTGTTGGGCAGTTTCTCCCTTAGGTAATTTTCCTTAACCCCTTAACCGCCGTCTAAGTAGCCTCGTCAAAATCCGCCATTGCCACTTATTTTTGCCGTTTTTGACGATTTTTACTTGTGATTTAAAAAACTGTACCAGTTGTTTTTTTAAAGAAAATAGTTATCAATATTGTTTGTAGACATCTTCAAAAACATTAAGCTTTAACAATACCCTACTAAAATTTGTGATTGGGGGGGGGGGGGGTGGGGTTCGGGGGTTTCTTGAGTTAGGCCTATAATAAAAATTAGGCCTACAATAAAGTCTACAACTCTAATAAATCGTCATCCTCAAGCATGTCACCAGCTATTACGACTAATATTTACTACTCATTCAACACTACCAAGTAAATAACCACCACAAAACACAATTATAATGACAGGCATAATGTACGTAAGCATTACGTAAGCTTCCGCAAGCACGAGTTTTACTGAAACTACGAACGGAACTGATCGGGACCATTACTGCCCTATAATACCACTAAAATCCACCAGATTGCAGCACTAGTCAAGCAGCACTGTCAACAACTTGTTTACGTACGTATATCAGAGATAAGGCGGGAAGTGAGCTGTTAAAAATAAAACACAACAGCTGATTACGTCAACACGAGATAACTCGTACGTGGCGGTTGCTCTGAAAACTAGTATCGACCGGCATATCTCGTGCGTGGCGGTTAAGGGGTTAATGATTGGCTACCCACAAATTATTTCACTGTTACATAGGTTTTCTTTTGTCCGGTTTAGTTTGGTTTCCTGCATACGAATTCACTTACACTGTTTTTATATATGGCTGAATGAAAAAAATAGTACTTGTCTAACAGTGCATCAATGTTGCTGTATTAAATTGTCAAGTATAGAACAGTAGCTTGTTTTTTATGCACTTTATGAGTTCTTTTATCCGTTCATTTTTTTACTAATTTCTAATGATTCAGTTTAGTTTAGTTCCGACAAGAGTACAGTCCCGAGGTGTCCGGGCAAGAGAGTTGAGTCTCCAGTAAATTCACTAGCTTTCAGTATTTACATCCAGACTAACATTAAAACGGCAAACACCTAGAAAATGAACAATCTCTATGTACCTCCAGGTTGTGCAGCACAGTGACTATGAGACTGTCAGCCAGATGGGGCAGGTGGTAGAGGTCACGCGACAGGGAGGGGAAGGCATGGCCTAGTATCTGGTAGCAACTGTCATGTACTTGTGACAGGAAGTGTTGCATGCGATGCAGTGGCGTGTGTGGGGGCCGAGCCACGTCCATGGGGTCTGAGGACGACGGTACACCCAGCAGGTTGTTACGGTCTACCTCCAGCATGGCGTGGGCTCCCTTGTATCCCTGGAAAACAAGTAACGCTTATGTCTTGTACAGTTTGAGGTTAAGGCTGTAACTAAAGCACAAGGATGTTGGTTTTAAAAAGTTTTGCTGCAAATTGGCTTATCTGAATGGGAAAAGGTCCACTCAGGTACGATAATCACAAAAAACTATAACTATAGAATAAACTCAATCTCAATTATTCTCTTTCCATATTCCATTCTTTTTCATAGGCAGATGATTCTTGAAGATATTATAAAGTACATTATTACATTTAGTTTGAATTGTCATAAAAATATTTTATTCCAAAATATATTACTACAACAAATAAATAAACTAACATTGCATGATATTTTTCAATTTAATCGGTATTGGTGTTAAGTTTTAGAAGCCGATAAGTTACTGCAAGGAACATCGATATGCGTCGGAATGACCATGACGCAATCTCATTGGGTCTTGGCAGAAAGATCAGTTCCACTTCTATGCAGTGTTGCCAGATGGACGATAATGTTTGTACTTTTACAACTGTGGTAGTGGCGTAAACAAAGTATTTACTTTCCAAATTAACTACACATTTTCTAATGAGTTTACATAACATGATTTAAATTAGTCAAACTATTAACGTTTGTTTTCGAATTACGGCCACTCCTACGAATGATTACAAATATAGTTATGGTCAAGACTCACTGGAGATATCCGCCCTTGTGCCTCAGGTGTCCACAGAGAGTTAAACACCTTGATGAGAGCCAGCAGACCAGGCAGTAGAGGCAGCAGGTGAGGGGTGGCAGGGTTGCGGTAGATAGGGTTCCCTGCGTCTGTCCTCCCGATAACAAACCCTGCAACAACAACAATCACCTATATGAACAAATAGAGTCCAGGGGGTGATAGATAATAAAATATATAAAAGGTCACATCACCTAAACCTGATATTATGTCCTAATATAAGACTTCTTCAGAAAGTCCTATGTGAAAAAAACACATTTATAAATTTACAAATTTGTACACAAGGTTACCCAGGGGTAGATGACAAAAAAAGCTGTCATATTACCTAACAATATAGGCCTATTGGATTTTTTTTATTGACATCGATAAGCATGTGGAGGGACAAATCAAGTAGGCTTGGATTAAAAACACTCTGATTAGTAGGGCTGTACAATTGTGTTGTATTAAAAAAATATGTACAAACAGAACCTAATGGCAAGTAAAAGAAAGAAACAGAAATCATCCCACAAACATTCAATCACCATAAATGTGCTCAAAGGCATTATTTGTTCACGACATAGACATGTATAATGATTAAAAGTTTCATTATTTTTAAACACCGAGAAAGCTAATAAAATGTTTTTTTCGACGGCACAGAACAAAGAAAAACCTACCATAAGAATAACCATTAACAATAGTGAAATAAAAACAATAAACGTCACAACATTTTTAGGGATAGAGATTGATAATAATCTGAGTTGGGATGATCATGTTAAAAAAAGTAACAAGTAAAATTTCTACAGGACTATATATTTTATATAGGATGTCATTTTTATGTAATTTTGATACTTTAAAATCAATATAGTATGCTCATATTCATTCACATTTATCGTACGGGTTGGCAGTTTATGGGGGCACTACAAAGCAAAACTTAGACAAAATCTTAATACTTCAAAAAAGAGCTTTGCGAATAATGCTAAATCTAGAGCGTGATGCTTCGGTAAAAAATAAGTTTTGCAATTTAAACATACTAACAGTGTATGACCAATATATTTTGGAGTGCATAATTTGCACAAAAAGTCAACTCCACAATCACATCTTCCGTAGATATATACATTCCTACTACACTAGAAATAGAAATACAATTGACATCCCCCAACATAAACTTAGCTTTTTTGAAAAAAAAGCAACCTACATGGGGACAACATTTTTAAATAAATTGCCATTGAATTTAAAAACTCAGATGGATAAAAAATGCTTTAGGGATAAAGTTAAAGCTTATCTATTAACAAAAAATTGCTTCTCTATAGAAGAGTTTTTATTTGATTTTTATTCACCTTTTAAATCTGACAAGAATATTAGTTTTAAATCTATCAGTTTGTAATGTATATCTCTTTTCATATTTGAATTTTTGCATATACTTGCTGATCTTATAGATTTGTTTCTATTGAGAATGAAGGTTTTTAATTTTGTTGTATAAAACCGATATTAATTGTTGATTATATATGTTAAAGATTTCTGTAAAACTATTTGTAGCCTATGTATTGAATGTATTGACTCTATTCATGTATGTACATACAGACCGAATAAAGATTATTGATTCTGATTCTGATTCTGATTAAAGATAAACAAGCCTACTGTATTACCTCCTCTCAGAGCTCGGTCAGGGTCATCTGGCCAGGCACAACGTTTGACTACAGCACTCAGGATGTCAACACTGCACATGATCTGTGACAAACATAGATCAAACTTAAAACAAGATTGTTTATTTGAGTATCAGACTTATAACATGAGACAGGAACATGGACTAAGCAATGGTTAATCTGCTGCTTCGACGACATACTGTTTCTTACAGGGCATAAAATAACACGTTAACTGGGCGACACTTGTGTCACCCAGTGCTGAGATTTTGTCGCCCAGTGACTATGGGTGGTGCCGGCATATTTTTTTAATGATTCACATTTTAAATGTATCGGAATTAAACAAATAACATTATGTAAATATTTTAGAGTATTGAGCTATGAATTTGACCCAAGAGGTTGTGAAGGGAGCCTTGGCCTGTTACAACGTTCTAGAATACGTAATTAAGTGAGATTATATGGACTATTTACAAGTAAATATAATCGAAAAATTTGTGAAAAGATCGTAGAAATGAGTGATTTTCACTTTAATTTATGCAAAAATTTCTGGGGGGGGTACCTCGGACCCCCCTTTTTTATGGGTATTCCAGACCCCCCGGTAAGTCCGGCTCCACTGTCGCCCAGTGGAAATCCCTTAAAATATGCTCTGGTTTTTTAAGAAACATTCTCATGTCTCCATAAACCCCTACGAAAACCAAGATTACCTATTCGATAATCAACCCAGTACTATGCTTGGTTTGGAATCATGGAAGAAACTTGGAGCTTTAATCAAAGACACCGAGATAAAGTTGTTTTAAAATACAGTATTTGAGAAAACCTTGTAGTAAAATTTACAATACTTTTTATATCTTTACTATCAAAACTAAATAAAAACCATCTGTAAACTTTAGCCTGTCTTCTAGCATTGAGATCAAAACTGTAAAATACACCCTTACAAAGGAAAAGCAATTGGTGGACATCAGCGCAATCAAGCATAAGGAGACAAGACACACAAAAAAAGGCTTAAGATTTAACAATACAGTAAAACCCTGCTTATCTGGAGTCAGATATAAAGAACACAATAATACAACATCTGTATAAGGCTAAAGGGATTTTGACTCTTCGGTCTGAAGAGCTCTGACACATTTTATAGTTTACAAGCTAACAGCCTAGATTAAGTGTATTAAACCCAGAGAAAATGCTTGGTAACTAAATTAATAGTTGTTCAGACACAATACTAACAGTATTTTCACTTTTCTCACAAAAAAGCCAATTTTAGATATTGCTCTGTAATCTGATTTTGCAAAACCAGCACTGCCAAAGTCTTTTACCAACAAGTGTGCAATGTTAATTAGAAATCTATTTGCATTTGCAGTCTCCAAAATCATTGGATAGAGATTGTGCAATTATCACACCAAGTGTTGTGTTGTTGGCTAACCTGAGACCTGTTGCGGCCGTTGGTATCACTGCTGCTGGGCTCGACGGGAGGTTTGTCCAGTCCCACAAAAGCCATGAACCTCTCAGGAGTGGTGAACGCCTCGTTGGCCATGACCAGCCAATGCTCGGCCACTGGCCTCAGCACCTCTCCTACAAACACACTCTCTCTCTCGTACTCGCAGAAGTGGTTGCTGATCAGCAGCAGAGCTTCCTGGCAATAGTTCAGCCACTTATTAGTTCATACTCCAGGAAATCAGATCATAAACTGACCCTTCTGCTTTAAATTAACCTTTAAATTTAATTGAACAATATTTACCAATTTGTGGGAAAATACTAAAAGAAAATCAATCTTCAAGACAGCAATCAACCCTCCAGATCAGATCATATCAGTCTCCAAGATCTATAAATTTTTAGAATGAAATGTATTAAAAAGCCTTAACTTTTTCTTTCGTTTACAAAAAAAAAAAACTATTTGAAAAAAATATTAATATTTAAAAACATAAAACATGTGAAAATGTTGAAACAAAAAAGAATGAGTTTTGTTACACACTCACTTGTAAGCAGATGATCTCGAGTTTACTGAGAGCGTCAGCTTTGCTCTCCAGATCATTGACGATCATCTTGATCCTGTCAAACACAGGGAGCAGCAAAAGCGGATATTTCTGTCCGATCTTCACCATAAGGGAGGCTGCGTGACGGCGAACGTTCTTGACTGAGCGAGACCTTGTCTCCTTTGTTTCTCCGGGCAATGTGAACACCAGAGCGGAGAATATTTTGTCCAGAACACGCGGAAGATAGTTCTATGGCAACAAACAATAATAGTTGTACATATTTTAAAGATTTAGTGTTCTTGAGGTATCAAAATCAATAAGTACATGTAATTATGACATTTCTCTTATTTTTATTGAATATGATGACTAGACTACAAACAAAACCTGACGATTCAATAAAGGTACCCATGAACTGATAAAATAGCTGACAGAAAAAACCAACAGAGCACAATTTTTATCCCAGATTAAAGAAACGACATCCTATCCAAAATACCCTAAAATTTACCACTATGCCACAGTTAACTAATTTTTATAAATAATGGAAATGTTATGAAATGTAGGAGCTTACAAGTGAACAAACTCAAAAAAACACCATCATTTTTGTAATACATCATTTAAAAGATCTCTAAAAAATGTTACCGTTGTAGACTCGGCGGGTGACATGCTAAGGAAGACGAACAACGCTGAGATGCAGGACAACAGTGTGGACAATATGAGAGGATCTTGAGGCTCCAGCGCCAGACACAAGTCTAGCAGATGTAGTCCAGCAGTGACGGCCGGTCTCTCTGAACACATTACTATCCTGCTGAGTACACTGTCCAGGACCTGTCAACAGTATAGACACTATGAGAGGATCTTGAGGCTCCAGCGCCAGACACAAGTCTAGCAGATGTAGCCCAGCAGTGACTGCCGGCCTCTCTGAACACATTACTATCCTGCTGAGTACACTGTCCAGGACCTGTCAACAGTATAGACACTATGAGAGGATCTTGAGGCTCCAGCGCCAGACACAAGTCTAGCAGATGTAGCCCAGCAGTGACTGCCGGCCTCTCTGAACACATTACTATCCTGCTGAGTACACTGTCCAGGACCTGTCAACAGTATAGACACTATGAGAGGATCTTGAGGCTCCAGCGCCAGACACAAGTCTAGCAGATGTAGCCCAGCAGTGACTGCCGGTCTCTCTGAACACATTACTATCCTGCTGAGTACACTGTCCAGGACCTGTCAACAGTATAGACACTATGAGAGGATCTTGAGGCTCCAGCGCCAGACACAAGTCTAGCAGATGTAGCCCAGCAGTGACTGCCGGCCTCTCTGAACACATTACTATCCTGCTGAGTACACTGTCCAGGACCTGTCAACAGTATAGACACTATGAGAGGATCTTGAGGCTCCAGCGCCAGACACAAGTCTAGCAGATGTAGCCCAGCAGTGACTGCCGGCCTCTCTGAACACATTACTAACCTGCTGAGTACACTGTCCAGGACCTGTCAACAGTATAGACACTATGAGAGGATCTTGAGGCTCCAGCGCCAGACACAAGTCTAGCAGATGTAGTCCAGCAGTGACGGCCGGTCTCTCTGAACACATTACTATCCTGCTGAGTACACTGTCCAGGACCTGTCAACAGTATAGACAATATGAGAGGATCTCGAGGCTCCAGCGCCAGACACAAGTCTAGCAGATGTAGCCCAGCAGTGACTGCCGGCCTCTCTGAACACATTACTATCCTGCTGAGTACACTGTCCAGGACCTGTCAACAGTATAGACAATATGAGAGGATCTTGAGGCTCCAGCGCCAGACACAAGTCTAGCAGATGTAGCCCAGCAGTGACTGCCGGCCTCTCTGAACACATTACTATCCTGCTGAGTACACTGTCCAGGACCTGTCAACAGTATAGACACTATGAGAGGATCTTGAGGCTCCAGCGCCAGACACAAGTCTAGCAGATGTAGCCCAGCAGTGACTGCCGGCCTCTCTGAACACATTACTATCCTGCTGAGTACACTGTCCAGGACCTGTCAACAGTATAGACACTATGAGAGGATCTTGAGGCTCCAGCGCCAGACACAAGTCTAGCAGATGTAGCCCAGCAGTGACTGCCGGCCTCTCTGAACACATTACTATCCTGCTGAGTACACTGTCCAGGACCTGTCAACAGTATAGACACTATGAGAGGATCTTGAGGCTCCAGCGCCAGACACAAGTCTAGCAGATGTAGCCCAGCAGTGACTGCCGGTCTCTCTGAACACATTACTATCCTGCTGAGTACACTGTCCAGGACCTGTCAACAGTATAGACACTATGAGAGGATCTTGAGGCTCCAGGGCCAGACACAAGTCTAGCAGATGTAGCCCAGCAGTGACTGCCGGCCTCTCTGAACACATTACTATCCTGCTGAGTACACTGTCCAGGACCTGTCAACAGTATAGACACTATGAGAGGATCTTGAGGCTCCAGCGCCAGACACAAGTCTAGCAGATGTAGTCCAGCAGTGACAGCCGGCCTCTCTGAACACATTACTATCCTGCTGAGTACACTGTCCAGGACCTGTCAACAGTATAGACAATATGAGAGGATCTTGAGGCTCCAGCGCCAGACACAAGTCTAGCAGATGTAGTCCAGCAGTGACTGCCGGCCTCTCTGAACACATTACTATCCTGCTGAGTACACTGTCCAGGACCTGTCAACAGTATAGACAATATGAGAGGATCTTGAGGCTCCAGCGCCAGACACAAGTCTAGCAGATGTAGTCCAGCAGTGACGGCCGGTCTCTCTGAACACATTACTATCCTGCTGAGTACACTGTCCAGGACCTGTCAACAGTATAGACACTATGAGAGGATCCTGAGGCTCCAAGGCCAGACACAGTCTAGTAGGTGTAGTCCAGCAGTGATAGCCGCAACACATTACTCTCTGAACACCAGGGATGGACGGGTCCCGAAATTTCGGGAATTTTTCGGGAAAAAAATATTCCCGATTATCGGGACGGGATTACATTTGACTCGGGAATTTTTCGGGACGGGATTTGGTCCGATCGTCGGCGATTTTTCCGCTTCGCGAGTGCCGATAACGCCGTTATTGCGAGCGACAGGTCCGCGAACGCAGGAGACGAAGTCATTTCGGCGATTACGCTGTGACCGCGGAGTCCTACCGACGTCCGCGCCGTGACCGCGAGTCATACCGACGATCGCGCCGTGACCGCGGAGTCCTACCGACGATCGCGCCGTGACCGCGAGTCATACCGACGATAACCCGGTGACCGCGGAGTCATACCGACGATCGCGCCGTGACCGCAAGTCATACCGACGATCGCGCCGTGACCGCGAGTCATGACGACGATCGCGCCGTGACCGCGAGTCATACCGACGATAGCGTCGTGACCGCGAGTCATGACGACGATAGCGTCGTGACCGCGAGTCATGACGACGATCGCGTCGTGACCGCGAGTCATGACGACGATCGCGCCGTGACCGTGGAGTCATACCGACGATAACCCCGTGACCGCGGAGTCATACCGACGATCGCGCCGTGACCGCGAGTCATACCGACGATCGCGTCGTGACCGCGAGTCATGACGACGATCGCGTCGTGACCGCGAGTCATGACGACGATCGCGCCGTGACCGTGGAGTCATACCGACGATCGCGCCGTGACCGTGGAGTCATACCGACGATAACCCCGTGACCGCGGAGTCATACCGACGATCGCGCCGTGACCGCGAGTCATACCGACGATCGTGCCGTGACCGCGAGTCATGACGACGATCGCGCCGTGACCGTGAGTCATACAGACGATCACCCCGTGACCCGCGAGTCACAAGTTTCTATAGGTTACCCATTTTTTGGTTTTTAGCGAATTTCCCATATAGGGAATAAGCTATTACCGTAGGTCTCATGGTAAGACCTAGACCCGGGACCGATTTACTTTTTCATTTTGAGGTCCCCAGAGACCAAAAACACCATCCGTTCAAATTCATATATATATATATATATATATATTTATATGTGTCCGTTAGCGCGATAACTTGAGCAAAAATGATCCGATTTTGATGAAATTTGGTACAAACGTGTAAACCTACGTTTATTCGAACGAGTTCGCGAACCAGCATAATCGGACCATGGGAACAGTGGTTTATGGGGGGTTTTATGGGGTAAAAATGGGTTTTTCCCATTTTTTACCCTAAAAACAAAAAATTTTGCAATTTCTTTCTCAACCATTTTGTAGAGCTTTAAAAATGAAATAATTTAGTATATTGAAGCGCTGTTGTATGCCTATCGGTCACGGAGAAAATAAAAAAAAAGTGTAATTTAAAATTCCCATGTTATTCTTATGGAGAAAATGAAAACTGTTGTAGTTTACTTGTTTATGGATATATATTGATAAAATTTGGCAAATTTATTTATTTCATCCTATACTATTGACATATGGTCAAAAAACACTTTGTACCTTCCCCATAGCAGCAAACCTAAGCACTTGTTAAATCTAATGTTATTTAAATTGGGAATAAATATGTCTTATTTATGGAAATATTTTAGTAAAAATGTAATCAGACAAGTTGAAATTCGCTTAGTCTGCAGGTTTGCTGCGGCGGGGGTATTATAGATCAGTGCCACAAATGGTAAAAATTGATTTCGTATGTCTCTTTTGGTAACTGCAATACAGTACTTTCTTTTTATGCACAGAAAAAAATCCCGTCCCGTCCCGTCCCGAAAATCGGGAAGGAAATAAAAATCCCGTCCCGTCCCGTCCCGAACTAAAAATTCAATCCCGTCCATCCCTACTGAACACATTGAGTTTTTTAGCTCTCTGAACACATTACTATCCTGCTGAGTACACTGTCCAGGACCTAAAATACCAAAACTTTTACAGCCAATCTCATTTTACCCACCTACGGTAGTTATTTTGTTTAAAATACTAATATAAAAAATAAATTTCTAACACAATCTCGATCCAGAGCACAAGAAACACAACTTAGTAAATTATTGAAACAGAAAATGACACACAGACATGGCTTTGAAATACTCTTCAAATTCAATATTAGCGAGTTGAACCACTTCAATGAAAAAAAAGTGAAAATAATATTTAGCATATTACCGAAGATAGTGCCTCCCACTCGATGTATGAGGCAGACTGCAGTGTACACAGTGGCTCACGGATGGTCAGTGTCTTGTGTATCCGCAGTGTGAGCCACTCCTGCATGTAAGTGAAGGTGACGAGCGGCGCAACCAAGGTAGCCTGCAAACACCAAACTTATTTAGCACAAAGATTTAGTACAAATATAAAGAGATTTTTGGAGAATTAATCAGGTACGAGCATTTGCCACCACAACCTGTGTTCATAAAAAGACAGAAAAGAAAATGGAATTGTAACATAGTTAGGGTTTTCCATTGTACATCAAATTAAAATTTAAAAATATTACAGTGTCTACCTGTTTGAAAGTATCCAGCATATCGGTGCGACATCTGTGAAAGAATATGTTGAATTCTTCCTCTGAATCATAATCTAACACAGCGTACGGCGCAGCATCATTGGGACTGGCAACGGTCTTGTCTGTGGGAAAGACCACCTAAACACAGAAAAATAAAATTAAAAAGAAATACAGATTATATTTTTAATCTTTTATTTTATTATGAGATCAATAGAATCTAGGTGATTGATAAATCCAAGAAATAAACAATGACTATGTTTCGTTCTAATAGTTCATCCTAACGTCACAGGCTTAGTAACAGAGCACTTCTAGAGCATACTCCTGATTAACACAAAGAATTTTCTGGTCGAATAATTAACCCTAATTAATAGCCTTCTTGATCCACAGCACCACTGACAATTGCCAATCACTGATAGCACATGACATTGCAAGAATTAACATTTCCTTACCTTCATTATTTTCGGAGCGGTTGCTTCTATCCACTTGGGTACAAAGCTGAGGAACACCGAGTCTTTGGAGATGAGATCGTGTTTGAAGAATGCAGTCCACAGTGCGTTGGCGTAGTGAGCCACAGTGAGAGAAGGGTGACGGGAGAAGGTAGCAATGGCCTCCAGGTACATGGAGAAGTTAGGGGGCCTTGTGTGGCACTCGTCTTTACCCCAGAGCGAACACAGCTGCATCCCTATGCCTGTCAACACCTACGGACCACATGCAGCCTTGTACAAGTGTTACTATTTAAATGGGTCAATTTTATTTCTGTCTCACCACCGGAGCTATTAACCGAAACTGGTTGTGATACAGAGCGCTTTCTGTAACTTCAGTACATCATAGAACACAACTTGTTGGTTTATTTGAAACATCTGTCAATATAATTTTTTTTATTCTCTTTAAAATTGTCTTTTGAAATTCCTAAAATGAGTACCTTTAAGACGGTCCCAGGGCTAAGCCCTGAAAGTTCTCACGAAATTGATGATGTATAAACCGATTCTATGAAATTCTACATGTATGTACCAATGTTTCGTGGTCATCAGTCCAGTGAAGTCTGAGTTTATCACTGCCAAACATATATACAAACCAACGTCCTCTTTTATACTTATAGATTTTATCACCTGTGTATATTCTCAAGGATTTCTACTTCTACAACATTGTGCCGGACTTACAACAGAAGTTTTCTTTACCTGTGTGAGTTTTTTAAGGAACGTGTAATGTTTTTCATCGAGAGCCTTCTCGGAAGCCACGCCTGCAGCATGGAACATACAAGCCATAGCGTCTGCACTGAACAGAATCAGCAAAGGCCTTCTTTCTTCTGTCTTGCCCTTCCTAGAGACAATCTGCAACAGAATAATTGAATTTTACTTGCAATGCTAAAGTGTAAGATCTTACGTAGCCATGAAATTTACCCAGTTGATATAAGCTACAGTAGTTATTTAGTAAACAGCGATGGAATTAAACGTAAGATTGTTGGGTTCGTTGTTTTTAACTTAAATTTAAGGTTTATGATGAGAAGTGATCCAGTGTCTTTCTTTTTTTAAATGCTCAGATCAAAATAATCTGTTGAAAGTTCATAGGGTTGTGTTACTTGGCTGTCCATAGCCACTGGCCAGGCCCCTGATAAATGCCTAAAATCTACCAAACGTACCAAACGTTTTTACTCTTCCTGAGGAAAGTGTCCCATTTGGTAAGACAAGATTATCCTCCTTTCTTTGTTATATTCCCTCACAGTGAATCTGCAGATATGATCAACAGTCAGAATGTTGATCATGGGCAAAATGTATGAAATCATGTAATCAAATTGATTGAGTTTTTTCACCTGTAGAAGACATTCTGCTGCAGGAGTCTGGAATGTTTCATTCTTCAGTAAAAGACAGAGGATCTGCAGAATCTTTCCGTCGTCTGCCATGATGTGTGTCATCGCCACCCACTCAACAAACCCACTCAGAGTCAGTAGGACCACCTGAAAATTTGTGGATATTTATTTACAAATGCTCACCTACTTAAAAATCAAACTATCCTTAATACATAATACAAAAACTGGCAGGTAAAGTCAAAATTTGGATAGTTGCAATTGATCTACAAACTTAATTAACTAATATAACAAAACCTGAATGGTAAACCTCAACACAAATACAGTTGCAGAAAAATCATTTAATGTTGAGTGGTCTAGTAATTAAAGCTTTTGAAAACGAAATTCTCAATAGTCACAAATTGGCATTTAATCCTCTTTACACATAAAGTCTCCGAAACAACTTATCAGTAAGTATGACCAAAATAAGTGAAGCTGTAAAGAGTATGGAACTACAAATCACTCACCTGTACAACTTTAGCATGGGCTGCCGCAGCTGGCAAGCCTTGCTCAAGGGATAGGATATGAGTCTTGTAGTGCTCCTCAATGAGCCGCAGAAAAAACGCAAAAATATCCCCCATGTTGGTGGTGAGTGCTTGATACAAATCCTTCCTTCTTTGGGTGGACTCCAGTGTCTGTTAAGTCAACAAAACACTTAATTTGAAATTAAGTTTTATGAACACTTTTTTAATGTGCAGCTAGTTTATCCATAACCTTTACATAAACATGAGCCTTGTTAAATAAATTTTAAAAATATTAAAACAATTTTAAACAATCATAGTAGTTAAGATTTGTCAGATTTTACATAAATTGTTAACTTATCTACAAGAAATACAATAGTTTAGTAAGCAACGGATAAGACAAATATAAAATGAGACTTGTTTGCTTGAAGTAATAAAGCAACAAAAATAAAATAACCAATTCTTAACAATAAAAATTCTCTCCATGCAGAAATACAATGTACATTAATAGAATTAGCTAATAAACCTTAGAACATGAATTTTGTTAGGTACCTTGTACCTACTTAACTTTTGGACCATAGAAGTAATAAATAAAAATTCCCTTTATTTGAGACCAACATCAGAATCTAATAGCCCTTTCTTTTAGTTCACCTTTACACAGAAAAATCTAAAAAAAATAATACCTTAGGCCTTGTAAATAAAATTGGTACCTATATAAAATTAAGAATGAAATTGCTAAATTTTATGTTTTTGGGTCAAAAATGGGAAAAACCAGTTTTTACTTACGTTCCAATAAATGTAGGTTTACACGTTTACCAAATTTCATCATCTGATCATTTTTGCATAAGTTATCGTGCTAACAAACACATATATATATAGGCCTACATGAATTTGAGCGGATGGTGTTTTTGGCCTCTATGGACCTCAAAACAAAAAAGTATATCGGTCCCCGGTCCAGGTCTTACCATAAGTACTACGATAATAGCTTATTCCCTATATGGAAAATTTGCTAACAACAGTGTATTTTTATTTAGCCATGTAAACTATGTCAGAATAAATATTGAGAGACTGGTAGGCTACTCAATAGATAAGCAGGTACGGTACCGTACTGGTAAAACTTAGAGGATATTGAATTGATATATACATGATTTGATGCTTCTAGGTGACGAATAAGGTGGCTCAAACTGTGAATTAACACAAATAGGCCTACACACCTAAAGCATAGGTGCCAACCATGCCGACTACATTTCTGATATTTCACTGGGTTTACCTGAAGAATAGCCACATCCTCCGCCAGTCGAAGGAACACCAACAGAACAAGTTCAGTTTGTGTGCAACCTTTGGTGCATGCATGGCTCAGCTCTGTCAGTAATGTCGGCCATTGCTGAGGCCACTCACGCTTGATCATTTCCACAATCACACGAGACATCGCGTCCTTGATGTGAGCCTCTAGCTGAGCCGCCTCTCCTTCAATAAGCTTCATTGCATTCTCCTATAAAAAAACAAAAAGTTTACAAGAACGTCTTTTTTAAAGGCCTGCAGTTTTGTAGAGGTATCAATGTTCATGCTGGTTTGCGAACTCATTCAAGTTTATCCGCCTTTAAACCAAATTTCATCAAAATCGGACAAAAATTACTCGAGTTATCGCGTTCACAGACATATAGATATATACAAATCTATATATATAAAATTTGAACGTGAATAGTATTTTTGGCCTCTGGGGCATCAAAATAAAGAAGTTAATCAGTCCCGGGCCTAGGTCTTACCGTGCCACCTACGGTAATACTAGCTACTTCCCTTTACATCATCTACATGATGTAACATCATGTCATGGACATCAACATCGCCCATGAACCTGTTATGCTCTAGAATGACATCAGGCTTCTCTACAACCTGTTCTTCAGCCTGTCCCTTACCACTTAGGTGGCGTTTGATATTGTTGGTTGAAAGTTGGAAGATGGAGAATCAACTGATTTTGGCTACAATTGGTAATAATATACTGCATGGGTCATATGGCCTTTGAGCCAAAACTTCATTGTTTATCACATGAAAGAAGCGTAAAACCAATTGAAATCTATTCCTTGGAAACATTTGAAGGAAGCATGGTGTCGATCAAGATGGCATTTTAGTCCAGAAAGAGAGCATGGTTGGTTTCTGTACCAGTCCGATATTCAAAATAGCTGCAATGAAAGCTTTGATCTCATTCATTGTTACTGACAACCATTCCTTGACCCTAGACTTGTCCTTCAGTTGAGTAGAATTGACACTGAGAAGCATACCTGTTGGTTTCACCAATTATCAACGTGAGCAGAGAGGTTGTTTGAAAAATATGTCAAAGTACATATGGGGCTTGATGGGAGCTGAATCCACATTGGGCATTTATGCTTCGGCCCTACCTCTTCTAAAAAAGGTGTTGGAGGATCCAGGAAATTCTCCTCAGGTTCTAGCACAGTTCATTGAAACACATCATCGGAAGAATCCGTTTCAGATTCATCATTTTCCGATTTAACAAATGCTTGTCTTTAGTGGCTTTGAGAACGATTAGTATGAGAAGGCCTGGGCCTAGCGTTTCTGCATTGTTGCCATAGAATAACGGATTTATTATTTTTATTTTTTTTCTTCCAACGGTTCAAACAAAACAATTTACAATTATTTTTACAATTCATAATCAATGGTACTATATCAACGGGTCAAGCCAAACATGCAATGGGACCTATGTCATAACTACTTAGCCTAAATGGGAATACTTGACAACAAGAACAAACTAAAAACTCTATAACTGAGCAAAAGTGGACTAAAAATGATAAATCTTTGTAAATAGGTAACATTGAATAAAGTTGTGTAGTCAAAAATAGATAACAACAATAGCCTAATTGGAGTTGAACATGCAGGATCAGCTCTAGGACCATCTACACAGCTGTGTCAGGATAATTTACAGCAGCAGTATTTATTGGTGTTATTGCAGTAATAGATTGGAGTGATAACTAATGATTGGAGTAATAGATTGGACCACTGTCGACCTTTATTTACACAAATGAAAATTTTAACAGTAACAAACTTATACATTGTTCTACATATTCTAATTTACACTAAAAAACTAATCTTTACCTTTACCTCACCAGGCAAGATATACACCTACACAAAACCCGAAACAGGACAAAACTCAATATTTCACAGCACAGATTGGCAAAATTCGGCACATCACACAAGGCAAATTGTATCAAATTTTTCAACAAACTACATGAATCGGCAAGGACCACCACACTAAAAATCTTCAAAAATAAGGTAACTGCTTGGCTTTTAGACGATCCATTTTATAATATTTATGAATATTTAAATAGGTACATGTGTAGAAATTAGTTTCTAGCTGTAACTTGTAGATTTATGACAACCTGTTTTAATTTAATTTAACTCAATGACACTGCCTATCTCATGTAGGCCTATATGATCAACGGCAAATAAACCATTTCGGACATTTAATTTCATTTCATTTCTAATATCAGATGAGTAGGTGTAGGCTACTCAACTTCAGTGGGGTCATAATCCTTAAAACCAACATCTGTGTTATTAGGTTCAAAAGTGCTAAGTTATCAGATGAATGATAGTCCAATTCTGGAAAGAATAATGTCTTAGGCCTAGCTGTAGCTTTTTTATTCACTTTTTTTAAAGGATTTAAGCCTGCATTCGTCTAGGCACTAGTCACACGCCTAGGCCTAGGTTGCTCCGGTGGGCCTATAGGCTACCAAAAACACCTTGTGCAATTGGTACGTGTGAGAGCATATTTCTGGTAAATCAGAGTCAATTAACTGGTACATCTGGAGGTTTGCTTGGTCCTGGGATTGGATTTTCGATACTTCATACACCAAGTTTTACTTTCTTAGCTGGAGGAGCGTCAATCCCGTCTTCAAAATATGTATCAACAATACTGACGCTGTTTTCAAGTTGGTTGTAAACTAATTCCCAAATGGCGGACAAGAAGAGACAGAATTTAAAAAGAATCTAACCATTATATTGACTTAAGTGGTCCAATGCTGGCCATAAAATAATAATAAATAAATAAATTCCCAAATGACACACAAGTTGTTAAGATCTATTCTGTCACTTATTTTTGTTTCATAAATGGAAAATAAGAAGTACCGGTACCACACAGCATATTTAATAATAATATCAGCAATATTTAACGTTGTTTGCTAGTATTCGCGCACGTATAACCTGACAACAACAAACAAACATCAAACAGGCGATATCAGATGTCATATACGGCTAAAATAGTGTCTGCTAACAGACAAAAGGCAACAAAATTGCTACAAAACTGACAGCCGGAAGCTTTTGGATCAAAACTATGTGTTTTTAAGGCCAGTATGTTGTTTGAGTAATAGGCCAATATTACATACTGATCGTCACCGACAGCGACACTTGGTAATTTATTAGTAAGCACATCGCGTCACTATGAGCGACGCTGCAGCACTAAAAGGGTTTAATAATAAAAGAATATAAGCCTAGTTACTTTAGGCCTACACACTAGACCTACCGGTACTGACTCCGTTGAAACTTGAAAGTCACTTACCAGTAACTTACCTATACTCCCAAACCGTGTTTTTTCAAAATTGAAATATTTTGTAAGTGTATCAGAATAACACAAGAAATGAGTTAGGAAACTTAAATTTAGGCCTAGCCTATGACAATTATTTTGACACAAATTATGTGACTCACCTTAATAAATAGTTTTTCTGGTTGAGTGAGGTTATACCATCGGTATTTGACACAGTGCTCCATACACTGAAGGCCAAAGTGTCTAACTATCTGAGAAAACTCGCTGTGTCGTGCCAAGTACAAACCACATTGGACACACAAAGGAGACTTCTCTTTGAACTGTTCGCAGGCATTATATGCCTCTAGCCTTTGCTGCTGTGGCACAGAATTAGCCATTGCTAATTCTACAGCCGAAGCAAGTTGACGAGCAACTAGCTCTACCTCTCCTTCCATCTAAAACACAATTTTTACATTAATTGAAAATAGCCAAGTGCTACTAAATTTTAACGCAGAGGATACGCGTCTGGTAACCGGACGTGAATTGGGCGTCCGCCAGTGACGTCACCGGGTTGTGTGGGCCCGGAACACCATTACCGAAACAATACGAAGTGCAGCAGTTGGTGTGTGGTGTAGTGGAGAGAGTATCTTATTCGGCTGATGTTCAAGAGGTAACTTATCCAGATCAAATCCCATTGGTGATCTAAGTTAGTTTTTTGTCAAAGATTTTGCTTAGAATGTATTGTTAAAATTTGAGGCATTTAACTTATAATTTAATTCTATGAACAAAATTTTACCTTTATTTGATTTTTTCCTTATCAGTAAGTTACCGTAAGTTAAGTTTGGCTAGGTTAAGACAGTAAGTTAACTGCCTGACGCCTAATCCACGTCCGGTTACGGGACGCGTATCCTCTGCGAAAGTTTTATAATACAAAATCACAATTAACAATATGACAACTAAGTTAGCTTAACTCTCTACGCAAACTAGGTTAGTGATTTGTTAACTAGCATAAGTGTTGGAACATTTCTAGAATATATAACTTAAACAAACGGAAAAAAGCTCAAAATATCTAAAATTAATAAGCCAGTATAGCTGTCATTTGTTAACCCTAACAAATATCAAAAAAATAAAGAAGGCCTAGTTCCAAGTAGGCAGGACTAACAATAAGCTTTAGGCTACATTTATTTCTAAATTGACACAATTTAATATTTGATTGAAATTTAACTATTAATATCAAAAAACTATTGAGTTACTCCTAAAAATTTGTTATTTACAAGTTGTATAATGAAATTGAAGATGATGAAACTCAAATTTCTTCTAAAACATGTGCAACCACTTTATTATTGGAAACTAATGCAACAATGCTAATAATTGTGCATTTACCTCAACTGAATTAGGCCTTGGATGAAACTGGTGCAATTAATTCAGGGCATCTATTAAAAAGCTAGGTAACAAGTATAAAAATGTTATATTAAACTTTTCCACTTAATTTCTTGTAATGAATCGAAAAAATGTAGCCATGAAGTTGAGTTGGTAATTGTAAATACAGACGCCCGTGTAGCCGGTTGGAATGGATACCGTGCTACCACCACTGCAACTTTCTAAACTCACTACCTGCCATAGGTATAGACACGTAATAATATTACATCATTTTTATTAATGATAATAGCATAATAGCATATAATAGCTAGAAAAAATCTAAAACTAACCTCATTAGACAATCCATAATGAGTAGAGCATCTTTAGATAAACTTAATACTTAAAAAATCAATGGCTTAAGAAATCAATGGCTCTGACAACAAATTCAAAGAAATATGGCAAACGATAAAAAGAAATCAAAAATGTAAGGACGAATGAGGAGAATAAATAAATTAAGATTATTAATGATAGTGTTCAAGTGGTAAGTGATCCAACTATTGTGGAGTTGTTGAATGTTTTTTTCTTGAACATTGAAAAGCCCATAACCTCGGTGAGGGATTCGCCTTTTCTTCATAAAACAAAAGAAAATGCATGAGATTTTAAAAATAATTAAAGAAATTGAACATTTTATTGCAAAAACCCTAGCCCAACCTAGTAAACAGTTCGTTTGATGAACGTTTCCTGGCCTATACCTCCGTTGTGAAGTGAAACCACTGTATAAAAAATGCAAACAAACCACTTGCGACAACTACTAACCTATCACTCTAGTTTCATTTCAAAAATATTTGAAAAAGTGGCAATAATAAGATTAATAACATTTTTAGAAAAAAATAATATCATGAAGAACTAATTTGAATTTGTAAAAGGGAAATAATCCACAAATGCGATGTTTACCCTTATAGACTTCAGTCTATAAATATTTTAATTTTTTCTATTCACATCCAAGAACCACTCTCTTTTCTGAAAAATAACATATATATTTTTACAAGTTCCAATTTTATAATAATAGTAATTTATGATAAAACATTGTATTTTTAAGCCAAATTGTATTAATAATTTATTTTTTTACTTAGCCAATGATTTTTTTTTACTTAGCTGGTTCGTGTCCTATAAGTCAATAAGTCATTTATTAAGCCAGATCAACATATTCATGCATTAGCCAAGTCAAATTCTTAATTGATAAAACATCCAGTGACAGTGAAAATAACTAAAGTACTTACAAGCAACCACTCAATTAAGTTAACTCAAGTTAATTCAACAAGTGCCAACAAGTAAAAGTCTACCAGTTTTCACGGACGATCTATACTGCCTTATCTAACAGGATGGACTTTAACTCCCTTCTAAATTTACCCACATCCTGTTCAGCCTGTAATGGGAAAGGGGGGTTATTGAAGAGTTTCACAGCATTGTAGTGAAAGTGCCTCTGGAAAAATGCAGTTGAATGACGGGGAATGGCAAGGTTTGAAGTGTTCCGGAAAGAATATACTGTGGTTGACTGGAGTGGTGAAAGATGATATGTTTTTCTTAGCGAATGACAACGTTTCCAGAATATAGATGGGTGGAAAGGTAAGGATTCTGAATGATCTGAATATTTCTTTGCAGGAGTGACGTTTTGAAAGGGAGAACACAATACGGATCGCCTTCCTCTGGAGTCTGAACAAAAACAGTGTTCTTTAATTGGGTTTCAGGTTTCACAACCCCATACAGGAATGGCGTATGTCAGATAGGGATAGATGAGCCCGTAGTATGCAGACAGGAGAACATCGGAGTTGGCTGTTTGTCGGAGCATTCGAAGCATGAAAATACCTACCGAAACCCTTTTTACTACATGCTCAATATGTTGATGAAATCTGAGATTTTCATCAAGGACTCCAAGGAACTTCACATTTTGGGAGGGACAGATTATGGTTTCTATGGTGGTACTGTATTTGTTGTCTCGTACTTTCTTGGTGGTGCCTTTAAAGACCACACGCTTAACATAGTGTGAAGTGCTGAATCTTCTGTGTTGTTGATGGCATTCTACTAAAAGATTATTTTTCAGAGATATACTTTTGTTTCCTTTTTTATGTTACGTTAGCTTCCTGTTACAGTTTATTATGTTGTTACCATTGCCATAGTTTATTATTGTTATATAGCCTATAGTAAATTTATTACTGTTAATTAAATTTACATGTTGTCTTTTTGTTATTGTTAATTATTTACACTTACACTGCTCTGGTTTTATCGAATTTCCCTATAGGGAAGTAGCTATTACCGTAGGTGGCACGGTAAGACCTAGACCCGGGACCGATTTACTTTTTCATTTTGATGTCCCCAGAGGCCAAAAACACCATTCGTTCCAATTTATATATATATATATATATATATATAGACTTATATATATATATATATATATACGTCCGTGAACGCGATAACTTGAGTAATTTTTGTCCGATTTTGATGAAATTTGGTTTAAAGGTGTAAAGCGGGATGAACTTGAATGAGTTCGCGAACCAGCATGATCGGACCATGGGAACGGGGCTTTACGGGGGGTTTTATGGGGTAAAAATTGGCTTTTCTCACTTTTGACCCTCAAAACACAAAATTTCCCAATTTCTCTTTAGACCTTATTAAAGAGCTTAAAAAAACAATTAATTTAGTTTATAAAAGTATTTTTGTTCGGTTAATAGTAACGGAGAAAATTAAAAAAATTGTAAATTCAAATTTCCCATGTTATTCTTATGGAGAATATTGTCAAATGTTGTAGTTTGCTTGTTTATGGATATGTTTTGTATTTTGATCAAATTTATTTATTTTGTACTAAGCTATCAATATTTTACAAAAACACACACTTTATTAGTTTCCTTGTAGTAGCAAACCTAGGTACTCGTTAAACCTAATGTTATTAAAATATATTTAATTGAAAATTAATTAAGACAAATGGAAATTTGCTTAGTCTGCAGGTTTGCTGCGGCGGGGGTATTGTTGTTATTGTTTTGTTACATTGTTTGTTGTTATATTGTTATTAATTTATTCACAACGATGTCATTTTGATACTTACTGATTGTTATTATTCACACAGGTAGTTGTTGTTTTTTTTTTTCAAATATTGTAACTAACTGTTGTAATTTCACCCACATTGTTCACCACACGACCACAATTACTTACGCTTCCATACCATGGTATGGAAGACATGCAAAAGAGGAATGTAAAAGAGGAATGCAAAAGAGGAATGTGTTCATGCATGTTTTCTTTTGTATTTTGAAATCTTCTTGCATGTATATCTATCTCATGTACTGTTTTGTAAAATGGCGATTGCCTTCGAAATAAAGAAATGAAATGTAGAAATGAAATTTATGTAAATCTGACCAAATAAATGACTTATAATTCAAATATATATGTTTTCTCATCTCTTTACTCTATGTCTGACTCTGAGTCACTGAGCTATAATAATAATAATAATAATGATTAAAATATTAATAATAATAATATAATTTTATAATAATAATAATTATAAGCTATAATAACTTATAATAAGAGTTATGGAGTTACTGTATAATCTATTTACCTCTCTGCTCCATCCATCGGTCTGTCTTTCCTTTTCTCCTATCTCCTACCTCTCCCACCCCCGTTCAATCATTCCTCGTGCTCTGTGTCTGTTCTGTTCTGTCTGTCTGTATTCTGTATTAAAATAAACTCGTGTGTCTGTCTGGATTTCGGGCCTCTTTTTTCTTTTCTTTTAGTTAGTCTAGTGACAGAAAATCCTGCAACGTGCAGATACAATTGAATTTACTAACCATATATATTTTCTGTCAAAATATAATTGGTTAAAGTAGCCTATAACTCATAATGTCGACTTTGGCGGCTCCACTCTCTGTTGCCGGATTACGTTCTTCAGGAACTCCAGTCAGAACCCAAAATGGTAAATTGGCTAGCCTAATTTCTATTAACATAATGACCACAGCATGATAGTTTTTAGTTTTAAAGTTTTTATGTTGGGTAGGCTAAGACTTAACCTTCCAACTGGAATGGGCGAACTCTTGGGTACAGTTTCTTAACTGGGCTATGCTAATATCGATTCGATTAATAAACCTTCATAATGCGATTTTTTCACCATCAGCAAGTTTGGTTGGTTAGGTTAGGTTATGATAGTTTAATTTTATAATAGAAATATTTAAAAATAACTTACCGTATCGTTTATTAATCAATATTTTCAATCGATATTAGCTTAGCCCAGTTAAGAAACTGTACCCGTTTAGGGGGCAAGGCATTTCTGGTGATTTCGCAGTCATATTTACGAAAATTCGTATGAACTTAACCAACAGAGCCAAATAAGTAAAACTTTGCTGCATGAACCTAAAACAATCACTGATATCCAATAACAATAAAATTCTGTAACCCTTTTGGTCCCAGCCCTTAAAAAAGCAAACAATATTTATTTGTGTAGGCCATATAGGTAAGAAGATTTTAAATGTAGATCTTATGAACACTCACTTTTTGAGAAAAGAAATAATCGTTGATTATGAAATGAAACTGTTCTGAACTAACCAAACCAACCAAACTTGCTGTACGATTCCCAGAGGAAAAAATAGGCCTAATAGTTCATTATGAAATGAAACGTTTCTAAACTAACCAAACCAACCAAACTTTCTGTATGATTTCATAAATGGTTTTATAATGAGAACTCGTTAGCTAGATAGGCCTATACAACCAAACAATAAAGTACAAACCATTAAATTAAATAGCTAATGATGTTACATAATCTAATCTAATCTAACCTAACCTAACCCAACCCAACCTTTATATTAATGTTTAAATAGCAGTTAATGTCAGAAAAGGCATGTGAGGAAGGTAGGTCGGACTTTATGCGGATTCGTGACTGTAGGCCTATTAAGTGTTTTGAAGTGAGGTTAGATTAGGAAGGTAAAGGTTAGGTTATAATGAACCGACTCATTAATTTATGCAACTTCCAGACTGTTTTTGCACAATTAAAATAGTGGGTGAAACACAATGAAATAACGATACGATACAGTCACGAATCCACATAAAACCCGACCTACCTTCCTCATATGCCTAAATAAGAACTGATTATCCCAATGTAAATATTTGCCAATAAATAAAGAAATCTATTAATAAATCAGATAGTAGACACCAGTGCACCCAATGTCACCAACATGAACTACTGTTAACACGATAAACGACTAACAACTTGTGTTGGTTAATTCCAGAGATAGGCCTATGTTTATTTAATTATTAATTCCATACTCCTTGAGGTGTTTGTTTTCTCTATGTATTCGTAACATATGTCTGCAGAAATATCGATACAGATTCGGTTCGATATATCGTTACAAAAATATTTTTATTTTCAATGTAAACAAACATGGAAATAGGTTATGATATGATTATATATTTTATTGGTGTTTTGAATGTAAAAATGCACCCACGATCGGTGTACGTTTTTTTAAGAACTTGAATAAATAAAACTATAAATATTCAAACAAAAGAAGACTGAAAACTTAACTTCACGTTTTTAGAGGATATCGTTATAGGCTATTCACACAGGGGATAGATGTTACACCACTTTTATTGACCTTTTTAAATATTTTTTAAGCCATTTTTTGACTAAATATATAGGATAAAATAAACAAACAACTTTATTTTCACTTTGTTATTGTTTTTATTTATGGTACAATACAATTCTGATGGTCTTCTTCCTGTCACTGCCAGCTCTGCTCCTCTGCTCGTTGCTCGTCTTCGTCGGCGGCAAAGGAAAGTGTACCCATTTATACAGACGAATTTCCCATTCTTGCTGGGTAATTACCTATAAATTACCCTTTTACCCGTTGAATTACCCTTTTCTCCCCATAATTAACCACGTTTTATCTCCCCCACCCATAACCCCGAATTCCCACCGGCCCCCTAGTGAGTTGGGATTATTGTTTAAATATTTAATTAAAAATAAAAGGGGGCTCGGCGCAAAAAAATCTTTAATTAAGTTGTAGTATTGATGTCCTAGAATAGTTTAAAAGTTATTTTAGAACGTTTTGTGTCCTATATAAGTACCAAGTTACTAGTGGGCAAAGTGGCACTTTGCTGCACACAAGAGAAATGTTTACACAAGCAGTATGCGAGTGTGGAATGTTTCTCGAGTGCAGCAAAGGCAGTTTGCACTTTTGTGACTGTACACATTAGGCTATATTTTTCCTACAGTTAACTTACGGTACTTAGGCCTAGTAAGTTAACTATATTAAATTATCTCATATAGCCTAACTAAAAGTCTTTCAAACAGTGTACAACACATTTTTAGGTTAATTAAATCCAAACATAGAACAAAATGGGAAACGCTGCACCACTAAAATGGTTCTCGAGTTATAAGCGTTTTAGTAAACGGCACCCACACCATATTCCTCCCCCCTCCCACGGGGATATTGACCATGCTGGGGGTGACAACATGCGTTTTCATGATCACTTACCTTAAGTTAGTGCCTATAAGTTAATCAGAAATAAAATTGTGTCATTTAAATGGCCTATTGTAAATATTCATCTAATAACTTTTAAGACCCCGTGTATTATTATTTATAGGTTCTAAGTATTAAGTTGACATAAGTTTAAGTCATATTTTATATCTACTTATTTCATGACCTAGCTAAATACAACTTTTACTTTTAATTCTGGCTCAATAAATTTGTGTCGGAACCTGATAACTTAGGGAATGTGTTAAAATAATGTCAACTTATGTTTCAGTGATGGCTGCAAGCTCAATTGCAAATATTGTGAAGAGTTCTCTTGGACCAGTTGGATTGGATAAAATGCTGGTTGATGACATTGGTGTAAGTGTTGAGTAGATAAAGTACCTAGCTTTAAAATTGAAAGAAGCATGCTTTGAGAATGCACATGAAAACTTTCGTATTTACTCAGGCTAACAATATGGATTTTTTATTAGAGTCCACAGTAGGCCTATTTTGTTTCATGAGTCAGCAGTGTGCTTCAGGTACATCCAATCTTAAAGCCTCGGTCACACTAGGCCGTTTAGCAGCCGCTACTAAAAAATATAAATATCGCTAGCAGCCAGCGGATCTGTCGGGTTCACATTATAACCACTAGCTGCCAGTAAATAGCCGCTAGTTTGTAGACGTCACCTGCTCCAGCATAACTCTTCTTTGACTTCTTTACGCTGTAAACTTCAATTCTATAGGCCTATGACTCAAATAGGCTAGATTTTTTCTCTTTCATAGGACCAAAGCTGATTTTAGTTTTCGTTCTTCAAGTCTTTGATTTTGATATGGGTGACTCATTATAGGCCCTAAGCTGTGTCTTTTGTATTCCTGTCAATGTTGTTTGCAGACAAAGCATCCCTCAGTCAAGGAACATTTTGGAATAAAACAAGACATGTTAAATGTCTTTTCCCGACCACTTGTTGGTGTCAACCATGTTCAATATTCACAAAAAAAGTATTAAATGCATTACATCGAAACTAACATTGCATAAAACCAAGATAAAATATAGACTCATGTTACCGGTAGGCCTAATTGATTTTGAATTCACCAGATGGATGATTTTAAGCTGTGTGGTTTTGAATTCACACAATCACACATTTTGAATTGTGTGATTTTGAATGTGTGAAAAGTGATTTTGAATTCACCAATTGAACTGGCTCGGAAAAGAAATACCGATGTCTTTTAATACACAGGGTCGAAAAAAAGTCCCGAGACGGTTAAACCTAAATATTTTATAAGCAATGAAGATAGAGCTTCAAAATTTGGTATAAATTACTAAGTATGATTCAGTAATCTTCGGGGGGACAGGAGTCAAAAGAAAATTTTAATTGTAATCATAGGCAGGGCCGATTTACCAAATAGGCAAGGTAGGCACGTGCCTAGGGCGCGAGGCAATTGGCTTTTTTGAGGGGCGCCAAAAGATTGGAAAAAAGAAAAAACATTGTGGCCGTTTTTGCATGCGATCGCGGTAAACTGATAATCCCTTGCGGCCGTGAAGACACCTTAACAGTTTCCCACAATTGCGGCAAGATGTTAATTATTTACCGCGGTTGTATATACGTCATCATCGTCCGTCTCCCGCTATCGCGTCAAAGTTCTGGCTATTTCCAGTGGATGTGTGGACATAATTATCGTCTTCCTTGATCGCGGCAATATATGAACACTTCCCGCGGTCGTGATGAGATTATCACCGTCTACCGCAAATGAGGCAAAATTGTAATCTTTTCCCGGGGTCGTGTGGACATTATCATCTTCTTGCGTGATCACGATAAAATTCTGATAATCCCTCACAGCCATGAAGACATCATCGCCTCCCATGGTCGTGAGGCATTGTCATCCTCTCCCGCCATTGCGGCAAATGGTAATCATCTCCCGCAGTTGTTTGGAGATCATCATCGTCTTTCACGAATGAGGCAAATTTCTGATCTTTCCCGTGGTTGAGTGGACATTATCATCGTCTTACGCGATTGTGGTAAAATTCTGATCATCCCTCGCAGCCGTGTAGAGTAGACATCATTATTGTAACTCCCGCGATCCTGTAGACATCGCAATCGTCCCCCGCTGTCGTGAAGACTTCATATAATCGTCTCCCTCGGTCGTGAAGACATCGTAATCGTCTCCCGCGATCGTGAAGACATCGTAATCGTCTCCGCGCGATCGTGAAGACATCGTAATCGTCTCCCGCGGTCGTGAAGACACATCATAATCGTCTCCCGCTGTCGTGAAGACATCGTAATTGTCTCCCGCGATTACGGCAAAATGTTAATAATATCCCGCAGTTATGTGGATATCATTATCGTCTTCCGCGATCGTGGCAAATTTCTGACTGTTTTCCGTGGTTGTGTGGACCATGATCATATCCTGCGGTCATTTAGTCATTATCATAGTCTCGCGCGATCGCGGTAAAATCATGATCATATCCCATGGTCGTTTAGACATTATCATCGTATCATGCGATCGCGGCAATATTCTGATTATCCTCTGTGGATCTCATTATCGTATTGCGCGATCGCGGTAAAATCATGATCATATCCCGCGGTCGTTTGGATATTATTATCATCTCATGCGATCGCGGCAAAGTTCTGATCATCCCTCGAGGCTTTGTGGTGACATATTATCGCCTCCCGTCTCCCGTGGTCATGGAAACGTCAATGTTGTAAATTGACCATTCCAGGTAGAAAATTAACACATAATTCCTGGTTCAAAAAAATTCACGCTTAGTTAATATTTCCCGGTTGGTGGTCACCCTGTTATATATTGCAAAGGGGCGCTACTATTAGTTGTGCCTAGGGCGCTGACATGGTCAAAAACGGGCCTGATCATAGGTCAATATGCACATCAAGTTAAAGGTAGAATATAATAACTAGTAGAATATAAAGCCCCAAATCAGAACTCAAACAGGCAATCGAGTCAAAAATGGCAGCCGTTAAAAGATTTCTTGAATCTGCCATTTTGAATCTTTGAATGGCTGCCATTTTTTACTCAGTTGATCTTTTGAGCTAAAATTTGTGGAAATTGTATTCTACTATTAAAGACCTTTAATTTAAAGTGTAGGCCTACCAACCTATTCATACGTCTACGATTTTCTTCAAACTTCTAGCGGGTGCCCCCTGAGAGGTAGTATATAGGCCTAATAGCAATCCAAATTCAATGCATCTTTAAAATAACTGTCATTTTTGACATGTTTGTCTGTTTGAGTTTGGGTTTGCAGTATTGAATTTGACTAACAAAGACCTTTTATTTTATGTGAATATCAACCTTTGCTTACATTTAAAATGTTCTTCTTCAGGGAAGGCCTGCTTGGAGTCAAAAGAACATTGAGTCAGGGCAACCGTTCCCCTGATTAGGTAGAGGTCGTGCGGAACGAGGTGAAGCCTGAGATTTTCGGCGGGAACGGTCTAAAGCGGGGAAATCCATGGTGGGGGTAGGAGACGAGCCGATCGTCGCCTCGCATAGCGACACTTCCCCCACCACACCACTATTCCCCTCCAAGCTTCACCTCGTTCCGTACGACCTCTAGCACATCTTTAAATATATTTTTTGTTAATTGTCTTAATGTCAAGTGACTGTGTACCAAGTTTTAAAGTTCTATCTTTATTACTTATTGAAATACTTAACCGTCTTGGGACTTTTTTCCCACCCTGCATAGGCCTATTGTAGGTAGATGTTATTGAATAGTTTTTAAGGGCTATTTTAAGAGAATTTTCAACTTGAGCTTTTTTAAGCCTACTTTTCATTTGCATTCATCCTGACAACACGTATGCCTATCTACAGCTGATGATTAATAATTAGCCTATAGTGTTTCTAAGTGTGAATGGTTGCAGGATGTGACCGTGACCAATGACGGAGCCACCATACTGAAGCTGTTGGAGGTGGAGCACCCAGCAGCCCGAGTACTCGTCGAACTGGCTCAGCTGCAAGACGAAGAAGTCGGTGATGGCACTACGTCAGTTGTAAGCCTTCATTTGTTTAACTTTAGCTCGTTAAGAGGTTAAACTTTCCTAATGTGTGGATTATGTTACAAAACTTTTTCAAGTTTTTTTTTTTACTTTACAACTGTGCAATTCAATATTCAGTAAAAGTCCACAGCATTGAATGGTCCGGTACCTACTTTCAATAATCCGGCATTTGTTTGAAATTTTAAACGGCAGGTAGAACACATTCGATAATCCAGAACTTTTAATAATCTGGCAACGCTGGAGTCCCAACCGTGTCGATTACCGATCACCCACTGTATTTAATTCCTACAATTTCAATTTGATATATTCTCACAACTCATTTTACAGGTAATTGTAGCAGCTGAACTTCTGAAGAATGCTGATGAACTTGTCAAACAGAAAATTCATCCCACTTCAATAATTAGCGGCTATCGTTTAGCTTGCAAGTAAGTATTTGTTGTTATTTTTATTCTTTTAACTGTTGTACTAACTTACTCAACTATAGAAAATAATTTAAGCAAATTTTAAATAGTTATTGATTTATTTAAAACTATTCCCTGTTTTGCTACTGTGGGACTCATTATGATTAAACTTCACTATAAACCAAATTATTATTATGTTTCCGGCCATAGTCAGTTTTTATATTGAGAATGAGTTAAGTATTCAAACTAAGTGTCAAGGACAACACACAAGTTTTTTAAGATAGGTATGTGTGATGATGAGAAAGCTACTGTGTAGTTTGTCATAGCCTATATCAATGCTTATCTTCTGATTATCATATGGACTCTGTTGTGTCAACTTTATGGTTAATTTCACGTTACCTAATAACTAATGTAACCTACATCCAATTTCAATAAACTTTATATTTAAATCTAGTTAATGACTTTAAGCTTAGCAACAGTTTTTTGTGAAACCCATAGACTTTTTCATTGTTAATAATTTTTTTCCTTGTTAATCAAGCCAATGATGATATTTAGCCAATTCTTAACATTCGGTGGAGTTTTCTGCCTTGAGTGTTCATGCAGAGATGGTGTGTCGAGAGCGTGATCTGAACTGAGGCTTGACAAAAACTAGCATTCCTTAAACAAACTTGTAAAAATTGGACAATTATGCAGTAAAAATTGCATTGGTTATAACATTGCCGTCTACCCTTACTTGAAAGACAAATTTTATCTTTTTTTCAGGGAAGCTTGCAAGTACATCCAGGAACATCTGACTGCAAATGTAGATGAGTTGGGACGGGATTGCCTGGTCAACGTTGCTAAAACGTCCATGTCTAGCAAACTCATTGGGTCGTATCCTTTCTTATCAACAATTCTTCTGTAATTTCTCAATAGCATTAGGTGTTTTATTTGCTAATTTCCTTGAACAGAATGTCTACCAGTCGGTAATTCTGGTAAATGCGGGAAAAAGTCGGGAGTTAAAGTCCTGGGAAAGACGTGAAAAAGTAATGAATTTCAGTTAAAGGTCAGGAATAATCTAACCCTTCAAGATTGGGGATGATCAGGTCCCAAAACTTCATAAAAATGTTTGTTATCGTGTATTCCCGATCAATGAGTTTGGGATAACATTTGAAATGGGATTTACTCGGCATAGGATTTACTCCGATTGTTGGCGATTTCGCTGATTCGCGAGTGACGATGATGATGATTCCGCAATCTCAAAAAATATCTTCCTTATTGCGGCTGACTATGATGGTGTCTCAACAATCGTGAGAGATGTTCAGGAGACAATGATGATATCACCGTGATCGCGGAGATCTTCACGCAATTTGTGCCGCTGGCCTGGGATATGTTGACGATGGTGACGTGACCCTGAGATATGTTGATGGGATATGTAAAAATACAGGACAATCCAATGTTAGTTAAAGGGAAAATACTAAATAAAAACTTAATATGAATCAAGCAGGTAAATTACCATGGGTATATAATCTACCCACATTTATAAATATAATGTTACATCTCTAGTCTAGCCAACCTGGAAACCCGGAAACAACTGTCGAATTAGAAAAATCTTCAAGCTGTACATAAATTTGGATGTACAAATTTAAAACTGTGGAGTTTTTATATTTTGAATCACCAATAATCACAATCAGTTTTCTTTTCACTTTTGCTGATAACGATGTTGCCGCAATTGTGGGAAATTCATCATGATGCTGTTATAAATCGCTTGAAGAAAATCATCACGAATGTTCCTTATGTTCGCTGGATATGATTAGGAATGTAAATGAAAAGTTAATTATTTATTCATTCAAAGTTAGGGCCACATAGCCTTTTCTTACACTTGACCGGAACGTTGCTAAAATCATGAGAAACTATCAGCTGCATACTCAGTTGTAACTTTTATAGATTGATCAAAGTTAATAATAATTTACTTTCATAATTTAGAAGTAAATGAGAGAGATTCACCGTTCGTTATCAATCTGTATTGCCCCTTGACCCCGCCCAGTGATGACGAGTTTTTCTCCAACATGGTGGTAGATGCGGCGCAGGCAGTTAAGGTGACGGATAACAAGGGAGTCGCCCATTACCCCGTGAAGGCAGTCAACGTACTGAAGGCGCACGGTCGCAGTGTGAGAGAGAGCATGTTGGTGCAAGGATACGCGCTCAACTGTACTGTCGCCTCACAAGCCATGCCCAAGAAGATCGTCAACGCTAAGATCGCCTGTTTAGACTTCAGCTTGCAGAAGGCTAAGATGAAGTTGGGCGTTCAGGTAGGTTTATTAGGTAGACTAAAAAAAAATTTATGATCAAAATAGTTTTGTTTGGTTGAAACTATGCAATGAGAACTTACACTGTCATATACAGGCTAGTTGGACTAAAACCATAAATTAAACATATTCCCTTAGTAGATTTGTCATCCTTATATATATCAGCTGAAGACAATTTTATTGTTAGTTCCTCCCGGTGCTGCTAGGATTGTATTTTTTTGTTACCGGTACTATTTGAAACCTTGTTAAACCAAATAAAACAATTTAATCACAAACTAAAAATAATACATCCGCTTATTTTATTACCAAACACAGAAGCACAAAATATGAAATTAACTTTAAATGGTTTAACTTGGTTAAATCAATATCTTTATGTAAAAAAGACTGTAAATCATAACTAAATTAATTTATCAACTAGATAGATATCAACTTTTAGATATGTGTTTGTCCCTTCTTTTTTGATTGGGATTGGAATGAATGAAAGAAATAAACAGTTTTGATAGCTTCCTAGATTCACTTACCCAACCGTCCTCTGCACAGGTTTTGGTGACTGATCCTGAGAAATTGGATGCGATCCGTCAACGAGAGAGCGACATCACCAAGGAGAGAATACAGAAGATCTTGGCTGTCGGAACTAACGTAGTGCTGTGTACAGGAGGAATTGATGATCTCTGTCTGAAGGTGATATCTTAGTTACAACAGCACTGTTTCCATACCTGCCTTTAAACGGTAGTATCAAAAATCGTCCCATGCCTTATTAAAATTAGATCGTATAGTATCTAAAGTCAATGGATGATACTGTACACCCCTATCCGTTATTTTGTTAGTTTTAAACTGCTCTTTTTTAAATGAAGAATAGGACTAAAACATGTAAAACTATGTACATTTAGATTTTTACCTCATGTTGATGAATACTACAATCATAATTACTTACAGATTTATAAATACAGGTAATAGCCTACCAAGCTATAAACTTATGCATTAAAACTAAACTTGCAGAAAGGTTTTTCCAATGTAATTTCAATGTTTCAGTACTTTGTGGAAGCTGGAGCCATGGCTGTCAGACGTGTTAAGAAGGCCGACCTGAAGAGAATAGCCAAGGCTACCGGAGCAACCTACCTCACTTCTCTTACAAACATGGAAGGTAAGAATGTGAATATTTTAGTGTTTAGACTTTATATACAATCAGGGAATGGCATGACAAGCTAATGAAAAATATTTTACCAACGGCCGTTTTTTAAAGTAGCCATTTCAGTCCAGTTCTTAGAATTGAAAATTTTCACTTTACAGCTGTTTACTTTCATATCCGCATAGTTTCATTTCATATCCGCATAGTTTTCTCATATCCACACAGGTAACGGACCAATGAGGTTCAAGTATTGAGAGAAAATAATTAAAATTGTAATGCTTCGAACGTCAACTAATCAGCTGATCAGTTGACCAATTTAATTGTTGATCCGACTTGTTCATGTTGATACTCGAGTATTCTTAATTAAGTTGGTGGAAGTCCAAAAATAAATGAAATATTTGTCGAATTGTACCTGATACAATATTATTTATGGTAAGAATGCTGCTAGCAATGTAATATTTAACGAAGTTTAACAAACACGTAATTACAGGAAATCAGCTGATTATACAACAAGTCGTTGCATCACTTTCAGTGGCAATGACAATACACGAAAACATAACCTCTCTAAAAAGTTATCAGTAGTGATTGTTAGTAATTAAATCCAGATTGATAGTAATTAAAAAACGGTCGTAGGTAAAGTAGTGTACGCAACTCGCGTTAATAGTCTTTACGACACTCGTAGAAGTTTTTAAGGCACTCGCCAAGGCTCGTGCCTTAAATTTTCTACTCGTGTCGTAAAGACTCACTTAACGCAATCGTTGCGTAAACTACTATAAATACACCATCATTGTGTTAAGTTGTTCTAATGACATGGTATTGCATACATGTGATGTTGACTAGGCTATTGAGTAATTTTTGGGCGATGAAAATTTTTGCTGTCTAACATTGCACTACTTTTTAGTTTTTGTATTTTAAGTGCCTAGAGTTTGTAAAAGAAGATCAGGAGTTGAATTGTAAACTTGGTTGTCGTAGTTGATCAGAATTGAGATTGGTTGTTATAGAAAAGTTAATTTTTGCCTTGAGAATGAAATGGGTCTAAGGTGTAGGTCAAACTTCAATGTTTAGTTTGTGGACAGTGGCAACACAGGGTTCACACTCAACTGTGAAAACCTTAAAACCGTAAATTAGCCGTGAATTAATTCAACCGTGAAAAAACTTTGATTGAGCCGTGAATTTGTTTTTGAATCCTTAAAACCCCAAATATGTCGCCTGGAGATAACACAAGGGGCGATCCGTGTGAAACTGAATGCAGTGATATCGAGATTGTTTGTGTGTTTAAAAGAGAGAGAGAGAGAGATAAGTCATAGAGGTCTCAAAACTCAAGGCCATGGCTTGAATTATGTCCTAGTTGTATTTTAGATAGGGAATGGCTGATAACAGAATTTCTCTTTTTGATACCAGTTCTGAAGTATTCCTCTCGATTTTCGATACCGATTCCATATAAAAACTCATATTTTAGGAAGTTGCCATGGTCAATGTTTTGTTGTTTGTTTGAATTCTGAATCAGGCAACCGGCGTAGTTCATGCCAGCCCAAAATTATCGTGCGCTCTCAGTTAAATATCGTATCCAAGTCTGATAAGTAAACGGAATCAGGGAACCGCTCTTGCTTTTTACAAAACAAATTAGTCGTTGACTGAAAACATCCTAATTGGAATTAGATCCAATCCTGAATTTTTGTTGTTAAATCAAAGACCACATTTACAGGGGAGGACAGCTTTGAAGCCAGTAATGTTGGTGAAGCAGCTGAAGTCCTTCAAGACACTGTTTGTGATGATGAACTCATCTTGATCAAAGGGTAACTATATTAGTCAAGTTAAATGAAAACTATAAATAAAAGTGTACTAGAAGAATTCTTGTTAAAGTCAAAGTAGTGAGTGTTGTAGTAGTAATACGTAGGGTTGGTTCATTTTAATTATACCTTTTCATGTGTATCATTGTTTTACACAATTTTATTTAAGGCCCTGTTCACATGAGCGACATACCTAGCCGACTAGGCTGTGACTAGGTAAGCCCGACTGGGTGGCGGACCACAGGATGAAATGGAGCCGTTTACACTAGCTAAACGCCGACTACCGTGTTCGAGCTTGGTATCCCAAAACCCAGTCGGGCCCCGCTTCCCAGTCACTCGTAGCAGCTACCCAGTCGCTCAGTCGAGCGAGGTAGCAGTACACGTAGCCTTATGGGAGCGTTCACACGAGCGATCGGGTAGTAGCGCTGCAGCTCACATTCTTCCTTTTGTTCTCATTGTCCACCAGTTATGGATCCGAGTGGTTTTGATATTGATATTTTCATCTAGTCCGTGGACATGTCGCTCGTGTGAACCGGTGTTATCCTGTGGCACGCTACCCAGTCGGGCTTACCTAGTCAGCTAGGTATGTCGCTCGTGTGAACCGGGCCTAAGTCTGCAACAACAGTAACGTCACTAATATGTAATGTCTGGGGTCGTGACAACGTTTTTTATATGAGAGTTGGAACAGAGTGAAGTTGGTGAATTGTCTACATACTTATCAGAGGTAATATTTTTACTCTCACCAGTTTGTTTATAGCCACAAACAAATACCTTTTTGTCCAATGCCGTTCAAATATATGAGTTAATTTATTGTTAATAAAGCCGTTTTATTTATTTCCAACTCATAATGGTGACTAAATCCACTATTTTAACTTTTATTGGTTCTTAAGAGGGAGTTTTGTATAACTATCTTTAGTTTGTCTCAATGTTGGTATTCATGGAGTCAACCTGAACTGATAAACAAATGTGTTGTGTGTATGTGTGCAGGCCCAAAGCTCGCACAGCCAGTTCCATCATCTTGCGCGGGCCCAACGACTTCTACTGTGATGAGATGGAGCGCAGTATCCATGACGCGTTGTGTGTAGTCAAGCGAGTGCTGGAGTCCAAGACTGTGGTTGCTGGTGGAGGTAGGCCCTATAGTCATCAAACATATTCAGTTATAGAATGCTGTACATAAGATTGGCGTAAATCTAGAAAGAAGTTTACTTTGAAACATGTACAAAGGCTAGTAAAAGGCTCATTCACCTTGACAAGCAAGTATTTCCCGCTTTCAAATCTATGTTATGTATGTTAACAGGCAATTTACTAGGGATGGTCAAGTCTCGAAATTTCAGGAAATTTTCGGGAAATTTTAAATCTCGTTACACGAGACGAGATTTCTTTATGGCCGAGATTTTTATCAAGACGAGAATAAAAAATAAAAAAAATAAATTAAAAACGCCTGCAGAAAGTCAATGCAATACCCGCAATACAGTAGCATGTTGTAGTTGCGTTTCCTTTGCGAAGGCGTTCTTATTTAATTAATTCTTTAAATGTAAATATTACTTTAATTATTTTAATAATATTACTTTAATAACATTTGAGAAGTTTTGTTAAGTGTAAGCAGTGTGAGGAATGTTTTATTACTATAAAAAGTCAAAACAAGTAACTATTTTATAAAAATTAATATTGCTTTTATTTTATTATTTATTTTATTTTAGGATAAGTTGAACTCTATCCTAACTGATATCACTATGTTTTCTAATCGTAGGCATTTTTAATAAGTTAGGCGTGATTAATAAACAAATGTTATGCTGATGTTTTTTTAAATGAAAAAAAAATGAAATTTTTAATAAAAGATTGTAAATATTCTTGCCAATTGTCATTATTTTTGTATTTAAACAGTCATCTAACAATGTTACAAAATCAGGTAAAAATTTTGAACGCGCATTTCCCGTTGTGTATGAGAAGGGAAATCCCGTCTCAATCTCGTCTCGAAATTTTATGAGAAATAAAAAATATCGTCTCGTCTCGTCTCGAACTAAAAATCCAATCTCGTCCATCCCTACAATTTACTAATAAACTATCTGTTGATTCTTGTTTGAAAAATTGCCAAGCCAGCTGAAGGAGTATTTAAGTTTGATTAAAACCTCTATTGTAATAGTTATGTATACTGTCTTGAGTAAAAGAACCACCAAATTGCTTGGCTCCACTACTTTTGCCCTACTATTTGACTTTTTGCATAAAAGAGATGTGTTTGGAAAAACTAGTAAGCAGCCTCTCTATTCTTATTCTAAATTTAAATACACTATTGGTGTGTTGCTCCCTGTCTACAATCTAGAATTGTCTGGGTATCCGAGTGGTTATAGTGCTCGCCTTCAAATCTGAAGATCGCTGGTTCGATTCCAAACGAGATCGTTTCCAGACCCAGATGCTATTTGTCATTGGGCTATGAATTAATGATGCTATCTAACAAATAGGTCGACGTTAGACAGTAACAAGACCAGGGTTTGGACCGTTCCCTTTCAAAACGTAAAAAATACCACTGGCGTAGAAACATAAAAAATTAAAATAAAATAGAGCTATACCAAGTAATTTAACATATTTTTTTTACATTTTATCGTTCATTTACCGGAAAAACAAATCATCTGTTTTATTCAGGTGCTGTGGAGGCAGCTTTGTCTATCTACTTGGAGAACTTTGCTACATCACTGGTGAGTGAACAACAGTAGTTCTTACGAGTGGAATTTTTCTACCGAATATCAACATTCATGATTTTTAGGTGTTTGAAACTCTTAAGATGATGAATTAAATACAGTAGGAGCCTCAGAGTTGAATTTTTAAAGTGGTTAAATAGATCTTTTTGAGATAGCTTACCATTGACTATACACTTGTGCTAAAGTGCCAGATATGTGACACTAATTTTTTACAAAATATTGTTCAGTGCTGCGGCCCAAACTAAGAAGCTTTCTCTGGTATAGTTAGTGCCACCTGTACAAGGGAATCAAGGTGCAGGTGCAGGAAGGAGACGTAAAAAGGGAAATTCCTTTATTGTTCCTCAGTAAAACTAGCTTGCTACTATGTTCACTGTTAACTTTTTGAACTAACCAAAATTTTGAGACTGACATCAATTAATTATAGGTTTAAATTTTATGTCCCCTAACCCCTACTCTTTTGAGATAATGAATAAAGCTATTACTTTGTTAAATTTTTATATTTAATTAAATAATTTTGTTTTGTTATTATATCTGTTTCATATTGGTAGGGGTGGACGAGATTGGATTTTTAGTTCGAGACGAGACGAGACAAGATTTTTTATTTCTCATAAAATTTCGAGACGAGATCAAAACGGGATTTCCCTTCTCATACACAACGGGAAATGCACGTTCAAAATTTTTACCTGATTTTGTAACATTGTTAGATGACTGTTTAAATACAAAAATAATGATAATAGGCAAGAATATTTACAACCTTTTATTAAAAAACATCAGCATAACATTCTTTTATTAATCACGCCTAACTTATTAAAAATGTCTACGATTAGGAAACATAGTGATATCAGTTAGGATAGAGTTCAACTTATCCTAAAATAAAATAAATCATAAAATAAAAGCAATATTAATTTTTATAAAATAGTTACTTGTTTTGACTTTTTATAGTAATAAAACATTCCTCACACTGCTTACACTTAACAAAACTTCTCAAATGTTATTAAAGTAATATTTACATTTAAAGAATTAATTAAATAAGAACGCCTTCGCAAAGGAAACGCAACTACAACACGCTCCTGTATTGCGAGTATTGCATTGACTTTCTGCAGGCGTTTTTAATTTAATTTTTTTATTTTTTATTCTCGTCTCGATAAAAATCTCGGCCAAAAAGAAATCTCGTCTCGTGTAACGAGATTTAAAATTTCCCGAAATTTCGAGACTTGACCATCCCTACATATTGGCATCAATCTCACAACTTTAAAAACTCAACGTTCTGTGTGGTCCTGTTTCCCTTTGTAAATCCATAACATGAAAAATCGAATGGCTAATGTGTTTTACGATATTTTTGTAGACTAATAATTAAAAAATAATTTTATATGTCAATTTAAAGTGTTGAATTATTTTTTGTCGAAGTATTGTTAACACAATTTTGTATTTGTTATGTGTTTTTGTAGAGTTCCCGTGAGCAGCTGGCCATCGCAGAGTTTGCTCGCTCTCTACTTGTAATTCCCAAGACTCTGGCCGTCAACGCTGCCCAAGATGCGACTGATCTTGTGGCCAAACTGAGAGCTTTCCACAACTCCAGCCAAACAAAGAAGGAGCACGCTGATCTCAAGTGGTGAGTAACATTGTAATTGTAGAGCATAAGAGGAGGGGGTTGGTTTTTAACCTTCCATCGGGCGCACCACGGTAGAGATGGGAATTACCGTTACTTTTGAGAAACGCGTTACACTGTTCCATTACAACTTGGTAACAGGTTACAGTAACCTGTTAATTTTGTAACCTGTTACCGGTCCGTTCCTCCCCCACCACACCGTGACATCCCAGCCCCAGCTCGGCGGGCATGTAACAAAATTCTCGCTGGGTGTTATTGCTCTACCCTGTTACTGGCCGTATGTTCGTTCTCGCTCGGCTGGGCTGTAACGTTATTATTCCAGCTTGGCGTTACTCTCTGCGGGTGGTTTATTCGATCCAGTTTGGCCGTAATGTAACAAAATTCTCGCTGGGTGTTATTGCTCTACCATGTTACTGACCGTGTTCGTTCGTTTCGGCCCGGATATACTGTAACTTAATTCTAGCATGGGTGTTACCTAGCTGGACGTTTCGTTCCAGTTTTTCCATAATTATTGTTGGTGTTAATGTTGCCACACTATGTACAGTTCTCGTGTACGTTAAATTCCGGCTGGAATGGAACGTTTTCTCACATTTTATTATTTTAAAGACTTATTGTTGCTTTCAGGACTTTGATCCTGACGGAACCGGAACAGGAGATCAATTCATAAGCCAATGAGCGCAGCGTTACAAAAATAACAGGGTATTCTGAGTAACGTGTTATCTTGATAACAGGTTACAATTTATTAACAGTGTTATTTATCCTGTTACGTTAAATAACGCCCATCTCTACACCACGGAAGTTACCTCCGGGTCACTACATTTTTCGTTATAAAACCATAGTATGTGTTCGGCAGGGCTGTCACCTGATTTACCTCACGCACCTCTTTCGCGGAATCGGTTTCTGTTACTCTTACCCCTTTTCCAGTTGTCAGTCGACCTTGGGGGTGTGGTTTGCATCACTACTGGAAGTAGCTTCCGTGTGTGCCCTGTGATGCAACGGGTTTCCCAGAGCCTAGTTCCATGTGCGCCCTTGTGTTTGACCTTATTTATCAATATTATAAAATGAATGAAGCAGAACGAATAGCGATATTGTTGGCTAGTGTTGAAAGGGAGGACAGGGAACAACATTTGGTGGGAAGGCCTACTGGCACGTTTGTTCGGGAACTTTTTTTTTCAAGAAAAAGATCTTTGACAAAATGAGTAGTCCTTCTAACAAATGAAAAGTGCCTTAACAAAATAAGTTGTCCTTATAAAATGATTTTTTTTTGTAAGGTGTTTTTATGTCATACATTGATGCAATTTTTGTCTAAGAGCTTTGATCAAATGAGTTGTGTATTACTATTAAATGATTATTTTCATTAGACCATACCTACGTGTTTTTATATTAATTATTGTAAACACTTTAAATTCTATGATTGGTTTGGTATATTATTGAATTCTTACAGAAAAACAAGGGAAACAAAAGACTGATTGAATAACAAAGACTGATTGAATAAAAAAGCACTGTGAAATAACAAAATTAGAATAATTGCTGCAGACAAACCATATTGGCTTTTGTGGCTTGGAATTGTATGTGTTGTAAATTTGTATTTTTTGGAAATAAAATAAATAATTAAAATAAAATTAACATTTTTCTCTAATATACGATAGTACTGTATTATGTACAAAAAGCAATTCTTTTTTATCCACAATACTTACGGATTTTTAATGTTTATTATAACATTTTCAATTTGATATACATCTTAAGTAATAGTGTAATAACTGATAAAACATGTTTTTCTTGCAGTTTCATTGATATTAAAATTTTTTTTACTAATCATTGTATAGTTTTTGTACTCCCGGAGCCAACTTCCGTGAGCGCCCTTAGGTGTTGAAAATCAATGCGCCCGACGGAAGGTTAAATAAGCACAAGATGAGGATTTGAACCACTTCCATGATAATTCTTAGGTATATCACCAGTTTCATGGTATTATCCAACCTGCACAAATTCTGGGATTGGAATTAAGTGTCTGGATTAACATCCCTGAACCTAGTACACATTTAAGAATGATCCCAAGGTTCAGTATAAGTATGTCATGGTAGTAACTTTTCAATTAGTACTATGTCTTGCTTGACAGGGTTGGACTGGACCTAACTGAAGGTAAAGTGAGAGACAATCGCAAGTTTGGAGTATTGGAGCCTGCGATGTCAAAGATCAAGTCTCTCAAGTTTGCAACAGAAGCTGCCATCACGATACTCCGCATCGACGACATGATCAAACTCGACCCTGAGCGTAAAGACGATGGTGGCTACAGACAGGCCTACGAGTCTGGCCAGCTCGGCTAAGTGCTTTATTCCTTTTTGCGAACAATTGTAACATATTAACACTTCTGATTCCTCGAGGTTAGACCTTTATTTTTATGCGCTTTTTTACAAGATGTCGGCGATGAAAAGTCACCCAAGTATTAACAATTACTTAATTTTCTAAATGTTGCACACGTTAATTTTCTTATAAATACTTAACTAAAGCTTTTTGTTTTATTTTACCTTGAACCCTTGGGAAATATTTTAGAAAATAATAACCATGGCATTAAGATGGTAGCTTTAGTACTGACCAAGATTAGCCAGTATCGTACCACTAGTTATGAGCTATCAAAATGTTTTTGACTTTACTTGGAGTTGAATGGTCAAACTTTTGAACTAAGTTGTTGCATCTTAGAATAGTTATCATAGTAAATCAATTTAAGATTATGTAAGTTATCTACCGTTTGATTTAATGATGTGGACTATACAAGGCTTCAGGTGTAAGGATTTGTTGGAATAGCAGGCTTATTTAAATTAAAAAGAGTCCACCTAAGAAATACAAAATCTCAGTGTACTCATTAAACAGTGTATATTGGTTTTTTCTGATAAAAAAATACAATGGGTAAGTCCTGGTTAGACACTCCAACGTGTTTTCACTGGTCAGATAGTCGGGAAACAACTAATAGACTGAAAAAATCCTTAGGCTATGTATAATTAATTCTATAAACAAAATAAACTAAGCAAATCGCTCATTTTTTTAAAAAGTTCTATATTTCGGCATTAGCCTTCTTCAGGAACAAACAAGCAATAACAAATAGAAGTGCTTACCACTCTGTATCAGATGGTTTTAGCAAAAATCCAAAATACATATATAATTTATAAAGAAGAAAATTTTGATAAAAAGAAAGAAAGAAACAAAATATTTTTGTATACTATCTCAAATTTAGACCAGATGGTGTTTTAGATTTAAGTATTAATTGATGAGCTTGCTCTAGCTGTCTTAATTTTAGGTTTGATGCGTCTTTTGCCAATTTTCTTATTCCTTTTAATAAATAACGTATTTGAACATTTTGAGAATGCTCTCTATCATGAATAGCCACAGGTTTTTGTTCATCAGGATGGTCTACATCATGTCTGTGGCCATTCATACAAACTCTAAGAGCATTTGTGGTTTTGCCAATGTAGTCTTTAGGACAGTTTTTGCAGGAAATTTGGTAAATGACTAGTAGAATCACAAGTGATGTTGCTGTTTCTATTTATGTTATAAGATCTTTTTTTATTTATGTTAAGGCTGCTAGTGAAGGTTTTTGATTGGATGATTAATTTACAAGTGGCACATCGTGGTTTATGGCATTGATTACAGCCCGAAGGTTTTGCTGATGGTTGGGAAGTGGGAGGTAGTTTGGGTTTTGAAAGAATGTCTTTCAAGTTAGGAGCTTTTTTGTATATTAGGCTTGGGGGTTTGGAAAACAAATTATGGGTCAGAGGTGAATTTGAAAGAATAATATGTGCCACTCAAAGGCCAGGAAAGTATTGGGTGATGAATTTTTTATCTTTTTTGAAATTATCTGTGTTAGGATTTTTGAACTTTTTATTTGACTGTCTATTAAATTTTCAGGATACCCTCTTCTGTTAAGTGAATTGCTGAGTTTTTCAATATAATTTTGGTAATCACGGTTTTCAGAACAAAGGTTTTTTGCTCCTATTGATAGGCTGTTTGGTATGGATTTTTTAATATGTGCAGGATGACAGCTTAAGTATTACATTGTATTGGTATCTTTTACATGGATTTTGGATTTAAACATACCATCTCTAATAAAAACGTCAAACATCCAAAAAAGTAAGAATATCTTCTGAGAAGTTCCAGGTAAATTTAAGGATTGAGAGTTGATTTAGATTTTCAAGGAAAGTTTGCAGGTTTTTTAGTCCATGTTCCCAAACCATGAAAATGTCATCAATAAACCTATACCAAATTGAAGGTTTCAACATTTTGTGAATTTCTTCAACATGCCCAACAAATAAGTTTACAAAAGAAGGTGCCATGCGTGTGTCCATAGCTGTCCCTTTCCCTTGAAGGTAATTTTGGCCAAGGGATTTAAAATTGTTCATGGTTAAAATAAAATAAATTATGATATCTGTGTTCGCTGTTTCTGACACGCTGAATGCTCAACCGCGAGTGCCGGCATCGCCTATATTCCATTAAATTTCTTAGCAGCAAGCTAGTATAAAATTGATTGTAAAATTTGTGCCGGACAAGAAAGCGAGCTAATAAACACAAGCCCATGGGGCGTAGCCCAAGAGAAATATGAAAAGTAAATAATATAATTATAATATTGTATTGTCATCCATTTGTGAGCTGTTTTTAAGTCTCTAGCTCATCAGGAAGTATCAAAATTTGCAAGAAAGCGAGTTAATAAAAACAAGCCCAAGGGAAATATGAAAATTAAATTATATAATATTGCATTGTCATCCATTTGTGAGCTATGTTTCAAGTTTCAAGTCTCTAGCTCATCGAGAAGTTAGTATAAAATTGATTGTAAAAGTTCTACTGGACAAGAAAGCGAGCTAATAAAAACGTTTTAAAAACAGGATGACCTGCCAGCACAATTTTCTATTGACGATCTATATTTGGACTGCATTTCTGTTATCCTCCTAAGAACAGCTGTTGTTTTTAGAGGATGTTCAGAAATCTGACATTTTTAGTTTGACCAGAGTTAGTTGAGGTCTAGGTCCAACTAGGTCTAGATTCAGGGTTTTTGGAAGATAACGAGAATTTTGGCCAAGTATGCGATTCACAAGGAGTTCACCTATCTGTGGGAGAGGCCCTCGTGAAATATACAGGGACTGCTCGCAGTTCACAAAATTTAGGCGGAGGGAAAGAAATCTATTCACTCCACATCTTGATCCTACCTTTAAAACAGCTCAACAGCTGAGATTTTTCAAAACCTCAATCAGCTGCAACATACATTAAAGCAGAAAATATTGGTTGGTGAGTCGATGGCTCAGTCTGTAGCGTCACAAACTTCGGGCCCAAGGCAGCGATGTCGTGGGTTAAAATCCTGGTTACTACCACAAACATTTTATCTTTATCAGTACAGTTCACCTGTGTACTGTACCAGCTCACCCCTTACTTTGCTGGATATATTCCTTGCATGGGCAGTTAGTCTGTGTGGGTGGGCAAATGCAAGGTTAAAAGAGGCCACCAACCTCTTTAACGAAAAAAAGAACACCCCTCAAACCGCCTAAATTTTGTGGACGGAATATAGTTATGCACGAAATGAGATATTGGGCAACTTTTTACGTAACCTGATCAATTGGAGATTGAAACAAAGTTAATGAACGTTAGACATCAGCACATGGCATTTTAGCATAGCTGGGACTATGAGAATTCTGTATTTATTATAAGTTTAATGCTTAATTAGGACAACTGCCAAAATTACAAAGAACACATAAGTTTATAGTAAAGATTGTTTAATTACATTTTTTACAATATTGTGTACAAATGCTAAACATCAAAACAAAGGAAACTCGTGACAGTCGGGGCTTGCTAGCCAGTTACACAGTAAAACAAGAACACTTTCATTAACACACACTACCTTTATCCACAAACAGTCATTTACAAATATACAAATCGTTACATTATCATAGACATAAAATATAAGGTAGGGGAAAATTAACCGAAATCTTAAAAGCCTTGTAGTCAAAAATTAGAAAAAAACTAGTTTTAAAATCTAAACAGTAAAATTAACAACACTTTCTGAGCAATGCAATTGCGTAAAGACTAAAACCACTTCTCCTCACAGATAAACTAACATTTTTTATGCCTAAGTTAAATACAATTAAAAATGTATGAGGATATAATTCATTAAGTCATGGATAAAAGGTACGCCTATTGATAATTGGATTGTAAATTAGGAAACTGAATAGTAAATCGACAAAAATGTCCTATACAGGGTGTTTCAGTAAAGCGTAACAGGCTATGCAGATTCAGATTCTACATGCAAAAATAAGTCGAAAATGTTGAATAACTTTTGTCGATTTCGGCTTAGTTTAGCTGTAATCTTCCATTTTTTTTTTATAATTAATATCTCAAAAGGCCTTGGAGATATTTTTATAAAACTTGGTATAAAATTTAAGCCTACAGGTATAAACATTCTCCAAAAATATCTTTTAACAGGCTCACCAAATTTCAAAATGACGGCCATTTAAATTTTTAAAAGTAAAATTCCATGAAAACCAGCCATTAAAACAAAATTTTTAATGGCTGCCATTTTGAGATTTAATTAGCCTGATCAAATATATTTTCGGAGAATGTTTATGCCTGTATATTTAAAGTTTCTACCAAGTTTCATAAAAATATCTCCAAGGGTTTTTGAGTTATTAATAAAAAAAAAAATACAAAATGGCGGATTACAGCTAGACTAAGCCGAAATCGAAAAAAGTTGTAGATTTTCAACTTATTTTTGCATCTAAAATCTGAATCTGCAAAGCCCGCTACGCTTTACTGAAACATCCTGTATGTTAGTTGCACATTGTAAACAACTGTATCAGATGGTTTTAGCAAAAATCCAAAATACATATATAATTTACAAAGAAGTAAAAGAAAATTTTGATAAAAAGAAAGAAAGAAACAAAATATTTTTGTATACTATCTCAAATTTAGACCAGATGGTGTTTTAAGTATTAATTGATGAGCTTGCTCTAGCTGTCTTAATTTTAGGTTTGATGCGTCTTTTACCAATTTTCTTATTCCTTTTAATGAATAACATATTTGAACATTTTGAGAATGATCTCTATCATGAATAGCCACAGGTTTTTGTTCATCAGGATGGTCTACATCATATCTGTGGCCATTCATACAAAATCTAAGAGCATTTGTGGTTAAGCCAATGTAGTCTTTAGGACAGTTTTTGCAGGAAATTTGGTAAATGACTAGTAGAATCACAAGTGATGTTGCTGTTTCTATTTATGTTATAAGATCTTTTAGTTTGGCTGCTAGTGAAGGTTTTTGATGGGATGATTAATTTGCAAGTGGCACATCGTGGGTTATGGCATCGATTACAGCCCAAAGGTTTTGCTGAGGGTTGGGAAGTGGGAGGTAGTTTGGGTTTTGAAAGAATGTCTTTCAAGTTAGGAGCTTTTTTGTATATTAGGCGGGTTTGGAAAACAAATTATGGGTCAGAGGTGAATTTGATAGAATGATATGTGCCACTCAAAGGCCAGG